AGCAAAACTCGTTATATACTAATTGGAGCGAAAAACACTTCCGATGAAAAGTCGTAGAGGTAAATGAAGCACTCACTTTCTGTCCAGTACATATTTCTGTAAGTCTTCTGGTTTCCGGGATAATGAAACAAACGTTTGTGAACGGCCCGGAACTGTTACGCCATGGCCAACGCAATTCCTGATAAGGTATGAAGTGACCCTACCACACAACAAAAAACAGACTCCGTGGCTTGAGTCCGCAAGCGAACTATACCGAGCGAGAGACCGCCGCTTGTCGGCGAAGTTGGTGCCAACTTTAGCGGATAGAGGGTATCGGGTGGTCAGCGCAACGAATCCCCAAGGCCGTTAATTTCAGTTTTCTAGACCGGAGCCTCTATTTCTTTCAAACAGTTCCTCGATTATCCTCACGAGGCTGAGCGGACCACGTTCCAATCCCACTACTTCTCAGAAAAGCTGGTAGCTCCGGGAATAGAACTCTGACCACTAGGCCACAGAGGCGATCGACCCTACCATTAATCCTTATTAACAACGGCAGTTCTTTGCCAGGATTAAAACAACTCTGTCAACGGCTGCCGATGTGTATTGTTACAGGAATGTTCTCTCATTCAAGACTTGCAGATCTGAAGTTACCAGCTGCGGCTTCTTCATTACAGTTTGACTGTCGGTCTTACTTTGCAAAAGATCGCACCCAAGCTAAAATCCGAGGAAAGTGAAACACAACACACGGTGGAGACAATCCTTAGCTTATATCATTTTATGATTTTCGAACTGTGGGTCCACTTCTTCAGCTGCGGGATTGCAGTGTGGGTCGGTCTTGATTCTTAGTATACCTATATGCGAACGTTGGTCTGGCTGTCTTGTGGTTTTCACGTTAGACACAGAAGTTTTTATATTCTAATTGTTTTGTGGAAAGAAAGGAAAGTGGCTTCGCAATGCAGTGGTAATAAAAATAAATGCAGAATATCTGCATATAATTTTAAAGAAAAAATTGGATATTTAATATTTATTCATCAATAGTAATAATGTATTTGAGCCGGGACAGCTCAGCCGATAGAGCGACGGGCTATGGGCTGGACGGCCTGTGTTCGAGCTGTCTTTTCTTTCACCCATAATGCACTGACTTATACGAAAACAAATTCTGCTTCAGTGAGAGATCGCAAACAAGAAAGCAAAGAAAAAAATTCTTGGTTTCGTTTAGCCTGAACAGAAATCAGATTTATATATTGGGTTTTTGGGCTTTATCCATCGTCCTGGTTTTTAAGATAACTAATAAAAACACGACGTTTCGGAAACTGGATCTGTTTCCGTCCTCAGGTGAAGGAAAACACCTATTCTGTTGGGTCCGTTAGAAAGAGCTANCTCACGGCAAATTGCAGCCGCGGCGCGCACTTGATTGTACGCACTGTACTATAGTTACTATAGTTTTTTCCAGTGATTGAGGCTAGCTCTTTCTAACGGACCCAACAGAATAGGTGTTTTCCTTCACCTGAGGACGGAAACAGATCCAGTTTCCGAAACGTCGTGTTTTTATTAGTTATCTTAAAAACCAGGACGATGGATAAAGTCCAAAAACCCAATATATCAGTGTGTTATACACCATCGTCAGAATCCTATAGTAACTACTTAGAAATCAGATTTGTTTTGCTCTTCTAATGTAGTGCTCTATTACAACACGACTTTGAAGCATATATTAAAAAAATTTTATATACTTATTTTCCTTCTAGCGTACATAATATGTCTGAAGATTGATTATTTAATATTCAGTTTACAATACGACGCTTCCATAATTACTTAGTATCACTTCACTTCTTCACGTAATATACATTATCCTTTCTGATGAGTAATATGTAAAACAAGGCACTGGCATGTCATAATTTTTTCTTCAGAACAAGTATGTAAAGTGTATATTGCATAGTTTTATAACCTTGTTTATTCTAAAAATAAAATGAAATTCGTTGAGATTCCGCTGCCAGTACGCCGAGTTTAACGTGAAAGAACGTAAAAAGCAGCAAACGTAATACGTAAATACATTATTCGGCGTGTTAATAATCTGTTGCACTTAAGGAACTTCCGGCATACATTTGGACTCAATGCGTTCGTTGTTAATCCATAATCCAATTCGTGTTTTTGTCAGCATACCTCCGAAGGAGAAATTTGCACGTGTCATAATTACAGTAGGCCACGTATAGTGTCCCTTTTACTGTTCACACATTGGTAGCATTGGTTTCCAGGTTTACATATTTCATCACTTAAGCTTCCGTGAGACAATTTGTACATGATCAAATTCGGGCATAACAATATCGCTACATTACCAATTACACTTACCTATAAGGAACAGAGTGCTGCCGTTTACAGTGAGATGTATGTTTGGTGTAGTACAAATGAACACCTTTTATGTGATTTCACCTATAACTCTCGACGTAATACACTGTACTACACATGTTGGTCAAAGTGCAACTCCCCTAAATGACTGCCATCTATTGGCCGAATACTGAAATCTAGACATGATATCGATGATCGATATCTTTCTGGGTTATCCGACGCAGAAGTAATCGTTTAATTTTACGATTCGATTGAGTTCGCAAATAGCGATATGATGTCAGGTAATGGTGGCAGACGACTGCAAAAATTGTGAAGTCGATTATAATTGTAATTTTCCTCAACAGAGTGCGTCAGAGTGCCAGATCTATATAGTATATAGCAAGTGCCATGATGCATGGCCTTTACGCTAAAGGTGGGGTGCAGAAGTGGGCTATGGAGAAATATCGGACTGACAATAAAGAGTATAAAGAGGGCCAGTGTTACTTCTACAGAGCTATGGGCTCAAGCGGAATGTAATATTAGAATGTCGCCAGAGATTTGACCGAGAGCTCCCAACTGGAAAGTTCCTGCTTTGTGAGCCAAACACGTTCTTAAATTGTTCTCAGGCCCATGTTTCTGTATTTAGCAAGATTGGGATGAGCTGAATGACCTCAGGGTAATACCAATATTACCTTGGATACAAGGCCGGACTTCACAGCCCAGATGAACGAAGGAGCTGCATGGGATGAAGAGATTTTTGGGGCGATACATTTTATAATGTGGGGCCTGAAGTTGACCACTCACCTCCAACTAGTGCTGAGGTCAAGAAAATGTGGATCTATACATCCACCCCCCCCATACGTCTTGGTGGCGTAGTGCTTAATTAGTTAAGCGCAGGGACAACTTTACGTTTTATAATCACCCTCCACCACCCAATTTTTTGGCTTTTAAAATTATGATTTGTTTACACTTCTTAAAATGAAAATTAATTTCTGCTGTGGTTTTGTTCATACTGCGGCCGTTAATTGGCAGTAATCTGAACACATTATGCAGTAATGGAAACATAACTGTGAACAGCAAGGACTGGAATTATTCTGTAATTCTATAATCAAAACCTGGTGGCAACATTGTGCCTGTTGTGATGGGACAACACAATACTTTCATAACTGTTTGATTGTTTTTTCAGAATTACAACATAATGGCTACAATTTCATGCTATCAGCTGTGATGGAGGCAGAATTTCTTGTGTCTTTGGATAATAAGGTACATCAAAACTTTTTTTGTTTTTTTATGTCATCTGAGGTAGGGGAACCTACCATTTCATGACAAAATGGAGCCATGTATAGAAAACTGTTAAAACTATGGAGTACATACCTAATTATGTGGCGAATTTTGAGGGTCCCATGAAGAAATTCTGTAGGTTAACATATAATGGAGTGTTTGAAGATATTTCAAGAAGTTCAGTCTAACAGTATTACTAACAGACTATTCCAGATAAAAAAAAAAACAGGCATGTGTTGTACAGTGTCTATTTTTGTCTTAGATTATGAAATGTAGAAAGGAAATACTTTTATGAACCAATTCTGGTAATAATGTAACCAGATTTTTCCTGAAATTGTGGCTGCCTGTATACAGTCATATTTTCGCTTTCTCTGTGCAATGGCAACATTGCCATGACCAGAACAATTAATGTACACTCCAGTCTGTAGGATATAAATTTATCTTATGCAACAAAAAATAAAAAATTATTTGTTACATTTAATCTTGGCTAGAAGCAAAAACAATTTTTGTCAGAAAAACCCTACGGTAAATACCTCCTGAAGCCAATATTAAAAAAAAAAAAGTCCACACATTACATCCATGCAAAGAGCATAAGTTAAGCGCAAGGTTATGGTTTGGCACAGACATACCAACACTTCTAATAATATACTGCCTCTCTCTTCTGGGTAGAAGACTAAACCAAGCTTCGATCCTAGCCTTAATTCTTGGTTCCTCCCTTCCACAGGGAACACTTTTTCCCAAGCAGACATACCAACACTTCTAATAATATACTGCCTCTCTCTTCTGGGTAGAAGACTAAACCAAGCTTCGATCCTAGCCTTAATTCTTGGTTCCTCCCTTCCACAGGGAACACTTTTTCCCAAGCAGCACACTCTTCTAGTCATAAGACATCAAAAATATACTTTAAAAATTGTCTGTTACCATATCCTGTATGTGAGTGGGCAGAAGTAAAAGGAAGAAACAGATACATTCTAACAAACACGTTCATGCTAATTCACAGAACCTTCAAATAGGAAGTATACAATGTGAACTGATGAGGTACAATGTGGAGTAAAGACTGACAGTACCTCTCACAAGCTTCAAGTTGAATCAACACATGACTGTAGTAGAACATTATTAAGTAAATCTGTTTTGAAGAAAGCAGTCTTCTGGGATTTGGCACCGTGTATATGTGGTGTTAACCGACGTTTCGGAGGAACGTATCGCCTCCATCTTCAGGGTAGAAGAAAAATATATAAGAAATCTGCAAGCAAAGAGACCGTGAGAACCGGTAAAAGCAGACTGTGTTTTCTGTTTTCTTCACGTTTTCCAAATATGGAAGCTTCTATAAATATTTTCTCCATGTTTTCCAGATGTGAAATTTCCTGTAAATCTCTTTCACACATATGGAATATTCAGTTGAATCAAGTTTCATTCAGTGCAATGGACCTGAGTTTTATTTGTAAACTTTCAAATTCTTAAATCACATTTGTCACTTACAGATAAACTTATACCAAAGTAAACTTAAAATTTATTTTTAACACAAGAGATTGAAAAGGGCATTAAACAATATAAGGTCAAATACTTGTTTGTCAAAAAGGAATGTCATGAGGATAACAAGACACAAATAATGTGCAATAATATATTTTTTTTTAGTATTTAACTGTGCAAAGGCTATTCACATTTTCTTGTAATGCAAAACACAACATTCTTAAAATATCTTCTTCTTCACAGTTTCCACATAAAGTGGAATTTGCTGGTTGACTGTCCGACATAAATCATATAATTTTGCATACAATATATTCCACAAAGCTCTCCCAACTTCAAAGTATTCTTTGACTGTTGGGTCTGTATTTATCCATGTGTAAGCAGCCTCAGTTTTGCTCCATATAAATGTTATAGTTGAATTTGTCATTTTTTTGAACACCTGTCCCATTTCGACAATCTGTCGGGGCATGGCTGCCAGTGTTGTATTCCATACTATTTTTGCATGTGCCTGTGCTCCATGGAACCTTTCTTCATCAAGATGATATAACATCCACAACATCAGTATTGTAATAAACGCTCCAAGCAACACTGACTTCAGAAGTCTCAACAGAAGTGATGAAACTGAAAAAAGGAAACCAAAGACATATTGCACAAGAGATTTACCAACTACATAATGTCTTCATTCTATTTACTATATGGAATTGCTGTTTATGAACACAGAGAAATTCCATTTCATCTTTCATATGTATGTTATGTGCTTTAATGTTAGTGTGTTTTGTTAGTATTTTATGCCTTGTAACTTTTATGCTGGCGTATTTTATTGTTGATCATTTTCCTGTGCACTATTTGCTAGAAATATATATCTGCATTGCAACTCATTAATGTACATAAAATACAAAAATTCCCATCATTAAAACAACTACAAACCATGCATTTAAGTGAACAAATAAATGTATGACCTTTACACATGACCAATATATATATATATATACAAACATCACAAAAGCTGAAGCCATGTAAATAACATGAATGTTGAACAATGGCCAAGGAAATGCCAACATCACTATTATCAGCAGATTTATTCATACATTATATAAAACTAATAAAATATAACCAATATTAACAAGATACTAAGTTCTAAATTACTTTTTTTACACTGATCATATATTTATGATACAATCCAAACAGAAGATATATTAAAGGAATTTAACTTAGTAAATCCATTACTGAACCTGACATGGGGAAAAAGAAAAATAACGCTTATCGATTTTTAGACCTAATATGAAGAAAAGATAAATCAATTAAGTCTTTAACATACAGAAAACCTACCACCACTAATGCATTTATAAATTATACTTCATGTCACCCAATGTAAAACATCTAACCAACAGACTACATAACTATTCTTTTTCATTTTTTGTGGGTTATTAAAAAATGGGGTTTCAGTATCAAGACTGCACAGTATGAGATGGTAGGATGACAGGTGAATGATCAATTAGAAAGGCCTCGGAAGGAAGTGGTCATGGACTAGAGGCTCCCACACAGACGCGATACTCAGCTCGGTATGGTACGGGACAATATCTAATTAAATTGTGGTAAATGGAGGTCCACACAATGGCGCGGGAATCCGAGGAATGCTATATTATCACAGTCAGTATATTGCTTCGGTATTTTGGTCTACCAAGCGCACTCGGTAGACCGCGCTGTATCGCAGCGGTAAATAGTCATGGATCCATCTTTGGAGGAAGAAGTTTTGCTTTTAGCTGTCGCTCTTGATGAAGATGGTGAATCTGGATAAGTATTTTACTGAACACTAAATATGGGTAGTTCTTTTCCTCCACATATTCAGTATGTCACATACACAGGGCGTCCGAGGAGAAATGTGCCAGACTTTGGGAGGGCGTTCCTTATGTTAAAGTATGCTGATATAACCCAAAACACCGCTGTCCAAAGTTGAACGGTTATGGAGATAATGGCCAGAGAAGTGTGAAACTTTGACAGGTGTTACACACTTGTTGATTACCAAATACATATTAAAACTGGCAGGAATATGTGGTTTCTGTAATGTTGATAATGTACGTAACATCAAACTAACTTGTGAGTGACATGAAGCCATTAAATTGAACTAAAAAAAACTCGCACGCCGTGTCAAATTTGTCGTTAAAGAGTTCCAAGCACTATACATGACATATGAATGGCAAGCACTGACGTAACATGGCTGACTGCTCATTCTGGTAAGCGGCTAGTGTGAGCCGTCATCACCAAACTCAAGGACAGACATCAGTAAGACTTGTCAGCTGACAGGTACAGTGCGTGGACCTGCCAAAAGACCATACTTTTCTCGCGCCATTATCTCTGTAACCGTTCAACTTTGGCCATAGGTGTTTTGGGCTATATTGGCATACTTTAACATAAGGTACACCCTCCCAAAGACTGGCACATTCCTCCTGGAACACCCTGTATGTACAAATATTTACAATTCCATAACAAGTCTCTAATGAAGTATGTATATGTGTGTTCCTACTTTAGGCGAAAAAGACGAATCACTTGGGTTCATGATATAAACTTGTCAAGAGAGGAACTGGGGGTTTTATACATTGATACCCCATCTCCTGAAGATGAAAAATGGTTCTACATATATTTCCAGATGAATATTGACAGGTTTGATGAAATCCTGAGAACCATCAGGCAAGATATCACTAAACAATATACCCCAACTCCTGAAGATGAAAAACAGTTCTACATATACTTCCAGATGAATATTGACAGGTTTGATATCCTGAGAACCATCAGGCAAGATATCACTAAACAATACACCAACTGGTGAAGGCCTATTCCTCCAGGGGAGCGACTGGCAATTACGTTAAGGTAAGAAGGTAATATAGGCTAAAACTCATTTAGTAATCACATATTGCTTTTATTTGCTTATTTCGTTAAGGTTATACAACTAAATACATTTTCTTTCTGCTTTTCTTGTATTTTAAACATGTAAAGAAACGCAGTTTGAAGTTTTGATTCTTGAGATCTTACAACGTATTAAAAAAAGATTGCAAGCGTCCATCCTCTGGAGTCAAATTTTGTTCTGTGGTTTTGAGAGGAATAGTTTGAAGTCGTTGAGGCAGAAAAGTGTTGTAATGTGGAGACATGGAGATATTTTCTGGTGTAGCTGGTGATGCCCTTGAGGTGGTTGCTGGTGCATCATAAGAGGGTTCTGATGAATGTGATGATGGTGCATGATTTATCATAACCTTGTATAGCTCCTCTGCTTCCTGCTGCATGATAATATTTTATATTTTCATTTTTGTTTGCAAGAGCTGGCGAGGTGAGAAATTTTTACAGTTTTCGTCCAAGAAAGGAAAATGTGATCCACAGCATCAATATCTGTTCTGCTTTGTAAATAGTTCCCAACTCTGTCAACGGTTGAAGTAGACTGGTTTGTGTTTCTTGGCCTTTTTTGTAGGATTGAGCTGAATGTTTCCAGTTCACTAGTATTTAGGCGTTTCGCTGTAGGTTTTTCACATGTCTTGTCCACGGGTGGTGTCTGTGGTGCAGACAATACCAACAGCAGGGCTGGTAGCTACTAGCTCACTAGTGGGTGAGATATCAGGCGAGTTGGGTCCCTCTGCTTTATCATAAGGTTGCTGTTGCTGCCTCTCTGCGCTTTCCTCAGGTAGTGAAGCACTACGCTTTATATTAGTGTTCGTTTTTGCGAAAGCGAAGTGGGGTTTCAAAAATTCGATATGCTTCGCCCATTGCCAGTGCTGATATTTTTGTGTGGCCTGCCCGGTGTGAGTCTTCTTTGACTTCAAATGTCTTTTAAAATTTTCCACTGTCCCTTAAGTGCTTCAGCTGAGAACAAAAAATGAAAATTCTGTTCATTTTGTAAGCATCATAGTATTAGAGAGCAACTAAAAGGCTACTAATGGCTGTTCTTATGTGTTTATGGGTATTTGGTGACTGGAAACACGTTTTCTACAATTGGACACAGCTTTAGAGTTGGCTTTTCAACGGTAGGCAAAATTGTTCTGGAAGTATTTCTCGCCATCTGGAATAATATGAGATCTCAACACGTCACCACCATCAAGAAAAGTGTGGGAGAATTGTGCACGAGTTGCAAAGGAAGGTGGGGTTTTCCAAATTGCTTAGGTTCCATGGATGGAACGCCCTGATAACGCTGGATCTTCGTATTATGATTACTTGGAACGACATTCTGTTGTACTATTGGCTATTGTGGGACCAGAATACAAATTCCTTTGCATTGATATTGGAGCCTACGGAATGAACAGTGATGGAGGAATCTTTGAGGAGTCTCAGATTGGTAGGAAATTCATGAATGAGGATTTTGATCTCCCGGAGGACCTACCGCTTCCAGGGCAAACAGAACCTATGTCACACGCTGTCATTGGAGATGAAGCCTTTGACTGAAACCATATTTAATGAGACCTTTTCCGTACATGCAATCCAAACATGATATATGGAAAGAGAAATACAATTACAATTTGTGTTGTGCATGAAGAGTGGTCGAAAACTGTTTTGGTATTCTTGCCATGAAGTGGAGGATTTTTTGAGACCCATAGAACTGAAAGAAGGAAATATAAAACACACTGTATCAGCAGCGTGTTTGCTTCATAATTTTCTACATCTCAAAAACTGTGATGAAAAGTACAGGGAAGAACTGCTATGAGTGGAGCCATTAGAAGGAGAAATGTTCCCTATCCAACCTTTATGTCTCCCAAGGGCGGCAATATTAGTTACGCCATTAGAGAGCGGTTTGTTGCATACTTCAACCAGGTAACTGCCCCTGGAATTCGTGTTAGTGAACGGAACTGGTGCATAGAATGTCGACAGTTACCGTATACTTAACCCTATATAAATATACACAAATTTTTCTACTTACTGTCTCTGTTCATTGTAACAGCCAATTCCTTCCACTTTCTATCCTTACCATGTGAATCCTTGCACACTGAATGATGAGTACTGTACAATAAAGCATGTTCTTTGATGAACTCTATTATTTGTTCCATTTAGCTACCCATGTCGTTTCACGTATGTATAGATACTGACTGAGTGTGAGTCATGGCCAGCTGCTTATCAGGTGTCAAAGATTCCTGAGTGTCGCGTCTGTGTGCGCGGCCCATTCGGTAAACAGCCGTTTTTGTCCCGAGTGCTATATCATCCCGAATCGTATTGCATCTGTGTGTGTGGGAGCCTTAACTGAGGTACTACTCTGGCATCTGCCTGGATAGATAAGGAAAACAATGGAAAGTCGGTCAGGATATCCAGCATCCTGGTCAAGATTCAAACTGAACATTTCCTGATTACCGGGCTAGAAAGCTACCTCTAGATCAACCTGTTTGGTGAAAGTGTCATTAATATTGAATGGAATACAAAATCTAATTCTTGTTGTCACCTTAAACCATGAAGGTACATAAGGCTGGTACACTCTAATACCACTAAGACTGCATCATCCTGATAACATCTACACTGCCTGTCAAAAAGAGAGCCCCACAAACCACTACAATAAGCGTTGACTACTGTATTAATTACTATGAAAGAGTGTAATTAAATACCAGCATACATTGTAATTATATTGTTAAAATATTTACAACAAAAGAACATTTGATTATAGATATAAATGTGCCAAGGACAGTAAAAATAATGCCTAACACCTTGACAAGAAAATTAAGCATCAGATCTACAAAACAATTTTATGATTAAAAAACTCTGAAAAATCCGAATTATGTACACACTAGATTTATAGTTTCACAGTGATACTACTTTAATACTACTGTAACATGGTGCATTCTATATGAATATTTAACTAAGTGAGGAATTTACGCGTAGAATAAGCAAGCATGTTTCAGTCAATAGCACAGTCTTTCTGTTTACTTGTCTGATCTTGGAACACATTCCAAAACATGTTACCATATTAACTTATATGTTAGAAACCCATGCTGATGTAGAGAGAGAAGAATAAATATATACTGCTTTGAGTGACAATAGTATGCAACAATTCGTGAACTGCTCTTATTATTCAAAATATATACCTTTTCTGGTAGGTCTGCTATGAGTAAAGGTCTCGTTCTGATATTTTGGTGCTGCTTTCTTTACATCACCAACGTTGTTACCACCTGTAACACTGGTTGTTCCATTCTCAGTCTTTACTTGTGTACTGTTGTTAGATTTAGCAGCCTTCTTCTTTTTTTTCTGCAGCTGTTGTTTCTGTTGTTCCTTCTTCTGTGCTTGCTCTGCCAGTTCTATCAAAACAAGAAATTAAGCTGTAATGAAATACCAAAATAACTCACAAGTTTCTGTCCATCCAGCTTTTTACAGCATTTTCATATGAAATTCAGGACCAAAACTCAATACACATATAGATACCAGTGCCCATAAAAGTAGAAATACCTAAAGCAGGTCTCTGGCCACCTTCTCCATTTGCATCCTCTAAGAGTAATTAAGAGAAAAATGAAGAACTGAAATAATTGTCATGTTAATAACAAATACTTTTAAAATCTCAGCTGGAATGCTTCATTTGGAATACCTTGTTGCTTACGCTTCTGGAGCAATCTGCGCTGCCTTTCTTCGTCTACTTGAACCTGCATAGTCTGCAAGAAGGTCACCACTTTACGGGCACTCTGCTGGCACTGCTGTGCATCCAGACAAGGTCCAGCTATCTCAGCTAACTTTGGTAGCAGAGGATTATTCTTCAAGTCCAGCCAACGCAGCATCTTGAGTTGTCCCAAACTTAAGGGAAGATGTGTTATCTTGCAACACATGCACATCTATATCACTAAATCCTAAAATTATATTCTATATAATAAGTGTTATACAGTAAGCCCTCGCTATAATGGACTAATGGGGAGGTCCATTATTGCTGATGTCTGCTATAACTGAGTGAAAGGGTATTCACAGAAATATGCCAGAGGATAAATATCCTTTGCACACAATAAGGAATTAAATGTATGTTGAAAATAAGACTGGAATCAATGGTGGATGTGGGAATTATGAGTAATATAATTTATCACTAACATTTCTCTAAGGCACGGATATTTAAAACAGATGTGTTTAGAGACCTGACCGTCAAGCTGCAGGTAAAGGCAAAAACATTAAGTAGTCACATTTAGTCACTGCATCATGAGATCTACAGCGAGCATGAAGATTAGATAACACATATTCAAGACACTTGCATTAGATACAGGCATGTGATGACCTTTATGTGCCAGCAGCTTCATCAGCGGAAACTCTCAGTGCACATTACATAAAGGCAGAAGCAGAGGACGAGATACCAAAGAGATTAATCCCAACACGGGCCTGAACCTCAGCCATGCAGCTACTTTAAATCATAAATAATTTTGAACACTCATTATAGATATCTTGATGGAATTAATAATGTTTTATGCCAAGTTTACTAAATCTCAGGTTATGTTGCCACTATGCAATGAGAGTATAATACACATTATTCAAATTTAAACCAAGCTGCTACACACCTACTAGAGCAATTATGTTACATATAAATTAATATATATTAAGATTAATGTACTTGCCTATGGATATCATGGCTAATATTGTACTCTGCTGAAAACTTACTACTTGCAAAGCATTTATTAAAATATATTACAGAATGTAATGAAGTGTAATACATATGTGAAGAGTGTAAATTAAATAATAATACAGTAAAACTTGGTTATAGCAACATCGGTTTCTGCGACACCTTGTCTATTGCGTCAAATATTCAATGGTACGAACTAATTCCTCATAAAGCAACTGTTTTTATACCTTGCTTAGTACGACATGCACAAATGCATCAACCTCGTATGTAACGTCATTTTCATTCCTGAATTTCTCTGATATCGTGGGAAAGTTCGATGTGTCTGCCCACCCTCACTTTCTCTACTTGCTGACGTGACTGTCCTGGAAGAATACGACCGCGGGCTGCAAGAGGAGCGTGGGTTTTATGCGAAAACAAGGGTGTGGGGTGGGACTGCGTGAATAGTGCAAGAGGACGCGGCAGGTTGTTAACTGCATTCCTTTCCTTGAATCTCATCTAACAGGACCTCACATTGTCTACTTACCCTATAGTGTTCCTGCCTAAACCCAGAGAAGTGCAGTAGCGAAAACATGGCAATGAAAAGGAAAGTTTTAAGCATTGAAGAGAAAGTTAAAGTGATTCGTGAAATAGAAAATGGAAGGAAAAAAGCTGATGTATGCCGCGAATTTGGTTTGGTGAATTCTACAGTACAAACGATATGGAGAATCCATATTAATTCCACGTTAATGTTACGTTAGTCTGTACTTAACTACGTATTTCACTAAAAAATGCAACATTTTAACTCGGTTTTTGTAGATTTTTACGTGACTAACATAAGGCTACTGTGGAAGTGCCCATTTCGGTTACGACATTCGTTTATAACGACACTATTTTTAGGTTCCTTTGATGACGTTATAACCAAGTTCTACTGTATATCTTCTCTTGTCAACTATCCCTTTACACTGCCTACCCAGTTCAGTGATTATGTTTCACTTAAATTTATGGATAAATCAAATATACAGTAATATTTTCCACAACAAACCATTTTCACAAAACCTTATGCGAATCCTGCTCCCAGTTCTTTTATGAAACTTTGGAAAACAATATGTGTAAATTATGCAGGGACATGAACTTACAATATTGTACCGGGCCATGACATCAATAAACATAATTCCAATCCAGTAGACCTAAATATAAGTACCTGATTGTTGTAGAGATCCAGGTGTCGAAGGCTGACCAACTCCCCAAAGTTGTCTGGTAGTTCAGCCAAGTGATTGTTGCTTAGGTCCAATTTTATCAAATGTGTAAGCATTGGTGCAAAATTTTTCTGCAAAGGAAAACAAAATATAAAAAAACATACAAAACTGTTTCTGCACCTCACATAAAAAGAAGTCACATAAAAGGTAAAATTGTCCCTGTACTTAATAGGCAACATGCTATGAAGATATATGGGGGACTTGAGGAATATCTCCACAAATTCTTAATTTCAGCACTAAACAGAGGTATGTGGACAGCTTCATGACTCAACTGCTCTATCATTGGGGGGGGGGGGAATGGTACCCAGTGAATAGGAGTCTTCATGGGCTCCAAAGCTCTCCAAACACATTGGCAAAAAGGAAAAAAACCCTGCCCTTGCTTGGAATTGAACTCCAGTTGTCTAGTTTATACGCCTGCTATTCTACTGGCTACCGAAAGAGATTATACAGAACAAATTATTATACACTTCAGATCACATTTGTTAAGTACATGAAGCTGTATGAACTTGTGGACACTATAAATGTAATACTAGTAAAGAACAGACAAACATGACATACATGCAAAGAAATTAGAATATACATTTTAAATCTACACCAACATTTTTCTGCAGGAAGGGTGGAAAACTGCAGTTATTGTTCTCTAAAGTAACACTGAAATGTATTATCTTTCACAGTTATCACGTTTTCACTTGTATTAACAGCTAAATAAGTTTTCTTCTTCGTATGTGCCGAATTAGTGTAAAGGTCTGCTGATAGGAGGCTCAGTCTGTTCAGAAGCCATGTGACAGAAGCATTGACAGCCAAACTGCATCACAGCAAGTTGACACCTGTGCCTTGAATACTGTTGCAACTTTGTTTTCTGATGGAGAGGACAGGTGTGGATTTGCATACCAAAACTTATGAATTAATGTACACTATTCATGAGTACTTTATGAGAGAGGTTGAAAACAAAGCACCACTCATATCTGTCCCAAAATGTGAGGATTGGGCTGCTGTAGCATGTGGTATTGGAAAGAGAACACTGCATGAAAGTTTATGTTCCATTAAAAAAGAAACCCATGGATCTATATCATTTCTTTCACCAAGGGAAAGTACAATAAGGTATAAGAAAACAACTGAATTTGCATAGATGACAACCTTAGCCAAGAATTATACTCAAGACTTGAACAAATTACTGTAAGTAACTTTACTTTTTGATATTGCTGTGTACCACTCCTTGTAACTGCAGCTTTCATAGCATGCAATGGGTATATAATCATCAAATACAATAGTAATACTTGTTGATTCTTTGTGTGCAAACACATTTACCAAAGCAATTCACATTCACTGAAAACCAATGTTCCACAATGCTACTCTTAGCATCACTATGTGTTCAATGTTTCCTTGCTTCCTAGCCACTCCTTTACCCCCTCCAAATCACATTAAATGCGATCAATACATGCCTCAGCCATCAATTATCATGAAAAACATCACAGATATTTTGATGTGAAAAACTTAACGAATCTCTGCCAATCATCGCCACTAATTCTGTAGAAGTCTACCTTTTCTATTATTAACGTAAAAAATATCTTTCATATTGAAGTCTTCTGTGCCATGACACTGTGTAGTTTGGTATGTGGTTACCAGTGTTTTGGAGGAACATACTATCTCTTTCTTCATGGTAGAAATTGTCATGTGTGCCCTGAATATCAAATAAACACAATATGATAAATATTTTATAAATGATAGGGAAGGTGAGATTATTCAGAATTAGCAAGGATAATAGGCACTGATTAGCAAAGTGAGCATCTCTATGCAGAGAACAGAGGCAGTGTTTTGGTATGGTGTTCATTTTTTGTTGTTTATTTTGTGACACTGTCAGTATCTCAGACAGAACAGTGTTGAGTGTATGAGGATTGCAGGATAATGAATTTGAATGGACCTGCAAAGAAGTGGTCACAGTCTAATTAAAGCCTTAACTTGGCCAGACTGACAAAAAACCACAGCAAACCTCAGTCAGGATAAACTGGTGGAAATTCAAATGAATCACCTCCCAAATAGGCTATAACATTAGCCTACACTAATCTGTTTGGTTAAACAGTGTAATAATCCAGAAGATCACAATATGAATCTTAACAATGCTGCAAAAACCTCAACCTTTTTTTTTTTTTCCACTGACACTGCATAATACTGTTTTTATGTTATATCTGCGAAACACAGTACAAATCTTAAGTCCTTCTACACGTGAATGAATGTAAGAGTAAATCTGACCGCTAAAATATAAATCTCCTCAGTCAAAGGGCATTAGAACCAACCTACACTACCTTGTACTATCCAGTAAACTCTAATTTAAATACAGTACATACCCCAAGGGATTTCAGCTGGTTATTAGACAGGTCCAGACTTGTAGCTTTCTTAATCTGTGACTGCAAAAAGATCATAAACATACAATCATGGCTGTGCTTAACTAAAAACAGACACTATTTTTATTCAGTTATACTTTATTAGAGGGCAAGCCCACTGGAATTTAGTACGGAATCACTTCTTTCATATCTTCACACTTCTTCCCTTTTATTCCCTTTCCTTGTCTTTCATACCTTTACAGATCACTCCCTCCTTTCTCCTCCTTACATATGTATCCTTCAGATACACAGTTCTGAACAAAGAGCTGCCACCAGCATAAATATACGAAAATGACTATGATGTATGACATAACATACACATATGGATAACACACATACACAGTCATTTAGTTTATAGTATACTTAATGATGCCACATACAACTCAGTCTGTCAAATTAGAGGCCAATTAGTAAAAAATGACTTGAAGGTTATGTGGAACAAAGTGGTGGCATAATTTGAGGTAGCCTCTGGGAATTTGCCTGAAAGTACCATGGAAAACAACCTCAGTCAGAAAAGCCAATTTCTACACCAAGATTTAAACCCTAAACATTCTGAATATGAAGCCTCTTAACCGTGATCTTTTGTGGAGGAGGAGGAAAAGGGGGTACTATTATATATAGAACTCAAGGACACAATAGCAATTACGCTGTTTTTAATGCATGTATACTAAGTGGAACAAAAAAGCAAATTATGATACAATACCTAAATTGTTTTCAATTTCAACTCACAATTTCTCGCACTGGCACCTCCTCTATTTGAGACATGCTGAGATCCAGCACGGTATCTTCCAACCGCTCGCGTAGATTCAACTTAGTGCCACGCATATCTGATAACTTGTTTCTACTAGAAAAGAATTAATTAGATAAAAGTTTATTATAAAAACATAAAGGAAATCGGGTTATTTGGGGTCAATTAAGATGTGAAGGTAACTAGATGAACAGGAAGTGAATGGCTCAGCCAAGCCTCTTTTAATCCACTACTCTTGAATCGAGTTTGGAAGAAATGAGGAAGACAACATCCATACTGGGTACATCTAAAATACATGTGAGAGGAAATAAATAAAATACAGATCTCATTAAGATGAACAACTCAAACAGTTTTGGTAAAGAAACAGATTACAACTGATGTAATGAGGTATCTATATTGCCAACCACAGTGGCCGCATGGTCTAAGTCATGAACTGTCTTTACCCGCTCAAACACTGGGATTATTGGTTTGAATCCCACTCAAGGCATGAATGTCTATGTGCGCTTATTCTGTGTTTGTGTAGGTAGCGGCTTTGCTACGGGCTAATCCCCTACCCACTGAGTCCTACCGACTGTCTCAGGATTAAGAGACTGAAGTGAAACAAAGTGTTTCATGGATTCCCTATACTCCAAAGTGGGAGCAACAGGAAAGAAAGAGACAGAGGTATCTATATTATCATCTGCTTTGCAACATAAACTTTGTAACTGGAAGAGGGAACAATGGATAATGCAAAATTTAAGAACATATTTGGAAATTACATCTTCTTGCTCTCCATGCGTCTCTCATATGTCTCTGTTTTGTGATTCAGCTCAGTCCCACTAATTCAGAGAATAAATGACCCATGTTCATGAAGTCTGAGATCACCACCATGACACTGCAGACCCTCTGATCTTAGCACAGTGAAGGGCCACACCACAGCTCAAGCGGTTAGTCGCTGGCTTCCCACCACGGCGGCCCCGGTTCGATCCCGGGTCTGGTCAAGTGGGATTTGTGGTGGACAAAGTGGCGCTGGGGCAGGTTTTGCCCGAGTACTTCGGTTTCCCCTGCCAATTTTCATTCCACTAATTGCTCCACAATCACCTTCACCCATCTGGGGCTGGTACAATAGGCCAGAAGTGGTCGCAGTACAAGGGACTTAGTCTCACCCCACTATCAATAAAAAAATAATAGCATAATGAAAATAATACCAGCAATATTCCCCGCAGATCCCGAAACACTGTACAATGATGGAAGTCAACATGTAGAACTTGCAGGGTTACACATCATTATGCATCTATTGGTAGAACTAGTAGCACTAAAATATGTAATACCTTATAAAACTTAAAAGTGCCATAACAGCAGCAAGTACTTTTGACACCTGTTATAACAAAGCAAACACATATTAGTGCTAAAAGTACAATTCGCCATTTAATATTTTGATTTGGGGTAAATCTTCTTCAGTGACTGTTAGGTGTTGTCTAAACATGTGACTATACTGAACAAACACTTTTAGCACATACTATTTCAGCTACTGAAAGCAATGGTAATCCAAACTATAAGCCTTTACAAATAAAACATCACACTCTCCCGGCAATTTGACATATATACAATTCTGTAATGTATAAATTAACGGCGTCAATTCGGTTGTGATTATTACAGAGCAGGAAACATTTCAAGGAGCTGCTGTTTGAGGATTCAGGAATTAAAAAAACTGAATAAATTAATCTGTTTATTAATTTATATAAAATATTTAAATATTCACATAGCTGGTTACTTTTACTGTCCTCTTCATGATTCTGAAAGTATTAAGTAAAAATGATGTCAGTAAACTGAAATTATAAATTTGATAAATGCAATGATAAACTTTATTGCTAATATATCTCGAAACTCGTAAAAGAATGGTCGAAGTACAAGCCCGAAGCGTAAGAGAATATGGGAGTATCATGCTGCAGAAATCTAAAACGTAAACTGCACATACCTTAAAACACCAAAGAAAACTTCGCATCAGCGACAGAAAGAATGTGGATAACACTTTAAACTTCAAACGTTTACGTGTCTTACAAGATTCCGGTTAACGTACACGTAAACACTTCAGCTTTTATTCGGCAACTAGTAACTCAAAAGGCCAAAAAAACAATACTGTGAAAATGGATAAAAAATATGTAAATCTAAATATTATGCAGCCAACTGATTAATGAATTCATACAGTAAGCAGTCACTACTCCCTCCTGTTACCTAGTCTTTGTTCTGATTATCAAGTTCCTGTTTCCATAGCAACTAAACGCTTGCAACAGCAACTAATCGAACATAAAATGTTTGAATGGCGAATGACAGTTAAAATTCTACAGCAAATACAGCTGACTGACATTGATCGTGATCGATCGTGATCGATCATGAAGATAAAAAAAGCATAACACACTCACAGGCTCACAGGTTCCGCAGGTTGTAGTTGACGTCGTGGTTTAAGTACAAAGTGGGCACACGTGATGAATTTTTAAATGGACGATTTAGGCACAATGGAACAACGGCAGCGAACGTGGAAGAAAAATTTGTACGAAAATACAGACTATCCAGATAATTACACAGATAAGACATTTCTAGAAGAATTAAAGAAAAATGTTAATATTACAGAAATTTCTCCTCTAACTGCTATTCTTGGAGCTGGCCTTGTTACCCAGGAACTGTGCATCATAGTTTTCTTTGTAGCTGTGTATGTATACTTACACAGTGGTTGGATCGAACCTGAAACAGTGTTTGTTCAGAGCAGTTTGGTTGCAGCTATAGGTTATCTTACGTATAGAATTGTACTAACAGACAAGAATTATAATGAAGTGCTGATTACAGATTTGCGAACTGTTCTGATATTTGTTGTTTTTGGTTATGTGCTGTCACCAGTATTAAAAACATTAACAGATACAATCAGTACAGACACTATATATGCAATGACAACATTTATGATGATTATACACTTAATCTTTTTTGATTATGGAGTACCATCAGCTATAGTTTCTAGTTCACTGTCTATGAATGCAGCAATATTTGGTTCAGTATGTTTAGCTTCCAGGCTGGCATCACCATTCCATGCCTTTGTTTTGCTAACTAATGCTGTAGAATGTTTTGTTCTGTTACCCATCTTATTATCCAAAGGCAGGGGTTCAGTTATTGTACTTGCTGCCATGATTACTACAGCAGTTTATGCATTGTGGACAGTTTCTTTAATTATGATGTTCCTATTTATATGTGTCACACTTTTTGTTACTGTATTATGTCCAGTTTGGTTTCTAAGATGGCAGAAGCACAAGGAAAATATATATGGGCCTTGGGATGAAGCAGTAGTACATGATGTGAGAATGTAAAGTACTGTAGTCATTACATGAGTTTTAATAAAATTTCACTACAAATTTTGACCAAAATGGTCATCAGGTGTTTAAAATTATAGTTGAGGAAACTGCTATGCTTAAGCTATAATGGTTTCAGTTATTAATTTTTTTAACATATGGTCTGCTTTATGTGCATGTGTATTCCAGGTGTTCATAAAAAAGACACAGAGCACAACACAACAGGAAGAGCCTGTCACTTGGAATACACATGTGCATAGAAGGGACCATAAAAGTAAAAAAGTAACGCTATCCCTGTACCAGGCCGTGAAGGCCCATAGGGTTGTGAGACGTTGAGGGTCCCACACTATCTAGACAATCGGCTCGAAGATGGTGGTAAGGTTGTCAGCCTTATGCGCTGGCCGCACTTTACTCCCCAGGAAAATTGTTTAATTAATTCCTTGTACTCATTTCTGTTAGAAGCTGAGTTGACCCCAGGGCCATAGTGTGGCTGGAAGGAATAGGTCAATTGAAAAAAATCCAATGACCTCATCAGGAAGTGAACCCACGACCTTCTGGCTTGTAGCATAGTAAAGTAAAAAAGTAACGCTATCCCTGTACCAGGCTGTGAAGGCCCATAGGGTTGTGAGACGTTGAGGGTCCCACACTATCTAGACAATCGGCTCGAAGATGGTGGTAAGGTTGTCAGCCTTACATGCTTTACTCCCCAGGAAAATTATTTAATTAATTCCTGGTACTCATTTCTGTTAGAGGCTGAGTAAACACCAGGGCCTAGTGCGGCTGGAAGGATTAGGTCAACTGAAAAAAATCCAATGACCTCATCGGGACTTGAACCCGTGACCTTCTGGCTTGTAGCATAGCCCAACTACTACGCTACCGCGTGCCCTTTGTAGCATAGTGCCTCAACCAACTATGCTACCGAATGCCCCACACATAGAAGGGACCATACTTACAATAAAATTAATGATGACCATATTGGTTGAAACTTGTAATGCAAAACTTTTAAAGTGAACAACTTAATAAATTTTATAAAAAGATGTGTTGCACATGAAATGGTGGAACCAGTGACATTTGATACTAAGTGATGTGCAGTGGGATTCCACAATATAACATTAGGAATGGAAAAATAACATCCACTATTTCTGTTTGTAATGTGGGTGACAGAATTTTAAAACTTTTTACATGTTGAACTTTGCTAGTTGGCTTTTCACCATACATATCATCTAATTATTTATTTAGAGGATAATTTGGAGGTTGATGTTTAAGACATTAATAAAGGATATTCTGACTTGGTGATAGATGGAAACAAAGTTTATGTGTTGCATGTGGTCCATATGATAATTTAACACAAGTCTAGAAGGGTTATTACTATGAAGATTTGCATCTACTGGGATAGGGTTGTGTGTTCTGTAGAAGTCACCCCACGTTTTAGAGGAATATGTCACCTCCAACCTCATGGTTGTAGATTAAGCCAAACAATAAAATTGCATGAAGAAGCAAGCAAAATGTTGACTTTAATGGACTACACAGTGCTGATTCCCAAAAGATCAAAACCCTTCATAACCACTGCTGTTAGAACCTCCAGTCCTACATGTGTTTATTACCATGGTCACAAGAATCTGTTACTGGACCTTATACAAAGGAAAGAATCCATCAGAGCCTGAGATTCTAATTTTTATAGTGAAGGATTGTTAGTTACTTGCCCAACCCTCAATATATTCACAGCTAATTGCCATATTTGTAGGCCATCTGTTTCTGCAGTCTGAGGATGCACTATGCTGTGGGGACAAGGTACCCACTTGACATTTCATAAACCCTTCACCCAATCATAACCTAGAATTATATGAATTGTTTGACCACTTAAATATATCAAAATAGGCTAAGGATGGGAAAAGGTGTTATCAGACTTATCAGGATAACAGGTCATTATATCATGGCTGTGATCATGTCCCTCACTACAACTACAAGTTTTATATCATATAAATTTCTGTGAAATGCTTAGTTACAGTAAAAGACTGTATTCCAACATCCCTTGCTGTAGTGTGCATGTACAGAGGGTAAAGTTCATAGCCTGTTATGAATGGGTTGTATGTTTCTTGGGATTCTTTTGTTCAACTACAGGATTTAATGAGTGCCCCTTTTAACTGCTTCAATAGAATGAAACATACCTCAAATTTTCATGTGTGTACTCAGTCTGTAAATATTCTGTACATAATTTTGGGGATCCAAAAATTAAATAAATGTCCTGTTTATAATGCAGGTACTGAGGCTGTTCCCTGACACTTGCTTCATATCAAGGGTCTACTGTACTGCTTTCATAATATCTATCCCTCAATTTCGTATGACCTTACCACCATCCTCTCCCACATTACTCCTCGATACATTTGCAATAAAATGGTCGTGATCAGTGCAGTTTGTTTTTATGTATAATGAAGTACATTTATTTTTTTATATGTATTAACAATCAGAAAGTTCCTGGACTAGATCAAGAAAGAAATGCTGGCTTAACTCAATTTTGGCTGCCATCTCCTTCATCAAAGTAGTCTCCTTGGGAACGTAGACAGTGATCCCCTCGTTTTTTTCCTGCTTCCAAAGCACCATGGAAATCATTTTCCTTAATGTTGTCAAGTACCGCTTGTGATTCCCTTTGGATGCCAGACAGTTTCAAAACGTCCCTTCGTTCTTATTTTCAATTTGGGAAACAAAGCGAAATCACAGGGGGCAACATCCAGTGAGTAGGGAGCATGGCGAATGATAACCATGTTGCTTTTAGTCTCAAAATCAGTGGTTTTCAGGGGTGTATGGTTGGGCACATTATCATGATTAAGGAACCCGTTATTAACAGTATTCATTCTTTCAGTCTGTTAAATTGGTTCTTACTTCCCTCACTGAAGTCACTGCCTGTCTACAAAAAGACATTTATTCCTATCACATGCAACTCATGTACGCTCGGTAACGTCTAAAGTTTAATCTGAATCACAGTATTTTAAAATTTACATTTCAGATCTAATTTCTAGCAGTTGATCAACAAATTTCCACCTACATCTCTTATATGGTCCTCCTTTAGTAAGCAAAATTTTCTTTCTTTTGAGGTTATAAAAGGGTCCTTATATGTTAGAAATAAACGACATCCTTACCATTTACTTCAGTGTAATAATAAAGATGCATCAATCTTCCCATTTAACAATCATGTCTAAACATGAGTCAGGGACACTTGAAATAGGCTAACAACTTCTGGTTTATTGGCAGATCTTAAGATGTACTTACCTTTAATTGACAACTTTCATTTTTCCAAGTAGGCCCAAAATTCTTGAAAATACTGCAATAGGAGTCACTCTAATCATATACAGGAGTAAGAACTACAAAATTCCAATTTAAAATTAGTCTAAGAACCCCATCCAGAAAAATCTGCAATGGACTTTCAGAACTAAGCAGACCATATAAAGAAAATTGTATCCCCATGTTAAAATGACCAAGTCACGTGCAAAACTTCAGGCACATAAAACTGTTTTATACTGTTTATAACTATTCAAACACAACAAAGTTATTTTAAATCAAAAGTGAAAACACATCATACCATAATCTAGTTTAAATTTTAATTTTCTTTTCAGCAGAACCTGCGCAGTAACTTGAACCTCAAGTGTTACAGAAAGAAAGTGGGATGATGACATGTCTGATGATCTTAAGTGCTATGGAATGGTGGGATGACAACATATTTAATGAACTTAAGTGTTTTGGGAACAGGAGATGATGACTTTGTGTGTTTTGAAAAGAAGCTGGATGATGACGCATCTAATATATGCAATGTGCTTAGTTTAGCAAGCAACTAGATATCCAGAATTCCACACTTTCATCACAACAATACATTATCAATTCTGATATAGAATAATGCCACTGTTATTGACAATTACATTGTATTCTTGTCTCACTGTAACAGTTTCAAATAAACATTAATAACAAGTGGTCAATACAAGGAACTTGTTGCAAACAAGTGCCAACCTCTCTAGGCCATCATTTGCAAATGCAATTTCCGCATCCATTTTATTATGTGGCTCTCTAGATGCAGTGTCTTCCCAGATTTAATTAATATATACATACATATGCATACAAAAAACCTGGCCACATTAAAAGTAAAAAATACATATTCTATATTACCTCTCGGAATTACGTTCAGAAGGAAACAGCACCCACATATCCACAGAAACACTATGAACGTCCCAAACATCGTAAAATTTGAGGTTTTCACAGCAGTGACAATGAAGAAAGCTGTCTTCTGGGATGTGGCGCCGTGTAGAAATTTCTACACAGTGCCGCATTCCAGAAGACGGCTTTCTTCATCGTCCCCAAACATCGTTTCTTTTGCCAGGTGTCTTTCCTTGCACATATACCACAAAAGTAAACACAAAACATACGACATGTTTGACTAAAAATCATGAATTTTGTGGGTTGGCATCAGTGAATATGAAATTTTAGCACACTGCATAATGTCACCATTTACAGAAGAGTGCCTGTTACAAAACTCGGACAAAATGTCCCCAAATAAAGAACACCACATTTCAAGATGTCCTTCAAGGTAAGGGTCCATTTTCTACTTGACTGGAACAAACTGTATAAGTCTCTTTATTCTTCGGAGGAGAGCCTCAATAAACCCTCTGTCAGAAGCAGGCTGATCCTGTAAATAACAAATAAAGGAAGGAAACTGTACTGTACATTACAAAAGGTTAAGCTATCCGTGTAACAAGCCATAGAGGCCCCCAGGGTTGTGAGATGTCGAAGCTCACACATTCTAGAAAAATGATTCACAGATAGTGGTGAGGTACTCATTTCTGTTAGAGGTTGAGTCAACCCTGGGTCCATAGTGCGGCTGGAAGGATAAGGTCAGTTGAGAAATCCAATGACATCAGGAACTGAACCTTCAACCTTCCAGCTTCTAGCATAGTGCTTCAACCAATTAGGCTACTATGCACCCACTTACTGTACATTAAGTTATGTTTATTACAAATATGTGCTACAGTAACAAAGTAATTATGTATAGCATGAACATACAAAAGTATTTGGTTAAAAAATTGTCATTTATTTATGAGAAAGGTATTTTGAAACTGATAGAGAACATATGCCTTATAACAAGGATTCCATACAACAATGAAAATCACAGGCACAATCATTTTATTAACATTACATATATGGAAAATTATCCAAAAAATAAGGGCATTTTCTACCTTCATTTTCATCTTAACAAGTGATTCACAACCAGCTGCCAGTGTTTTCCCATAACTCTTTGCACTATGTTTGCAGTCTTGCTTCCAAAGTTATTCATGGCTAGCAGCTCATAAAGGCCTCATTAACTCACCCTCTCTGTCCTACCCTTGCTTAGGAAAATGTCTGTATTCCAGAATCAGTAAGAGCAGTTTACTCCTGCCAAGTTTCAACCACTGAGGAATGTAGAACACACAATGTCCTCTGGATTCCCTCATTAGTCCATTAGCTCATTTCATTGTGTACTCTGTCATTTGGCTTGTTTATGGAAGCACTGTGCAATATCTTCCCCTCCTCATCACACAGGTTTCCCCTTCCACTGAGCTTGGATGAATACAATATAGCTACACAAATATGTGCATAACTTTGTCCCCCATCAAGTATGTACTGTGTTTCAGTTGGTTCAATTGCAAAATTTGATAACCCCTAATTATGGCAAACAGAGGAGCTTACACTTGAATAAGAAGCTTTAAATCATATCCCTGTGAGAAGTTTGCAGCTCATCAAAACGTAAAACAGAAAGGTGAGGTGAATTAATTTCAACACTTTGTGACATTAAGAGGAAACATAGCATATATTAAACCCAAGAAAAATTAAAGGTTAATTTTCATGTGACATCAGTCATGACATTTGTGCAATGACATGTCATTGCAGCAAGTCATGATATCATGACATCTAGATTAATGTTGCAACTTCAATGTCACTGATTCAAACAAAGTTTGATTTCTGGTGACATGTAATGATTTTTCCATTCACAAAACATTTCCCACTATCACAGCCACAAATGTTGCACTTCAAATGTCACATTAAACTAGTCTTAACACTTCTCATTTCTTTCATGAATATATATTGGTGAGATTTGTTCTGTGATCTTGGTATGTGACTGTGATGGACATAATGAGATGAGACCTGTGCTGCCAACTTAACATTATGGGTGTGGGAGCTAAGATGTTAAAGATCCTATCCATGTATGTTATAAACACTTTCATTGAGTGTGGTAATTTAAATGTTACTTAAATTTAATTGTACTGGTTTAGAAGACTAATCATTTATGGGTTCATGTACAAAATATGTGCCATTACCATAACGTGTGTATCCCTGTAACAGACCATGAAGGCCCATAAGGTTGTGACATGGCTCCAACAGTTTCTAGACAATTGGCTCACAGATGGTGGTGAGGTTGTCAGCCTTGAGGCAGCCAGGACAGTGCACTCAATATAGTAGCAACTGGCTACAGGCTGAATGACCAAGTGGCTGGAGTCTGAATCCTGGTGGGGGTAAGAATTTTCACTTCTCCATGTTGTCCAGACCAGCTCTGGGACCCACCCAGCCTCCTATCCAACATGTACCAGGGGCTTTTTCCCGGAGGTAAAGTGGCCGGGGAGTGAAGCTGACCACTCACCTCAAACTAGTGCCGAGGTCAAGAAAATGCGGGTCTATGCATTCACTCCCCCATACATCTTATTGGCGTAGTGTTTAATTAGTTATGGATAGGGAGAACTTTACCTTTTACCATAATGTATGTTTTACAGTTATGCTGTTAGGCATATTGACTGTCTCACAGCCACTTCTTATGTACATGTAAAAAACTGTATTTCAACCAGCGTTTAGAACCTGTAATACGTATAATGCATGTATATCATATGTTAGTGAGATGTAAATTGCTTAAAATGTTGGTCTGTTACTGTGAGTTGACACATTTTTTATCATATGTATGCACCTAAAGTGAATACAGTAATAACCATAGACATTTAATTGTGAAAAACAAACATATTACCTAAGGCTTCTACACTAAAGTGAATGTCATATCTACCGAATATAAATTACATTACTTTACCTGTTTTGTGTCAATCAACTTCCTGCTGAAACTGTCATTGAAGATGGATATCAGACCTTGTTTCAATTGGCTTATTTCTTGTGGTGATACAAGCCACATTGATTCTGAAGTTCCTAGAAATAATGAAAGTCAATGCTAGTCAATGAAAGCAACATTCCCACAACTTTGGGATACTCAGTCAAGTGACTAAAATATAAGATGATCCACTGCAGTATGAATTATGAATGAAGAATAATTACGACAGGCGGGCCTTATTGTCATTAACAGATAAATAGAAAACAGCACCAGATATTTTGTTCAAAATGTGAATTAAATTAAAAGACATCCATGATCCCCTTCCTTTTCTCAGTAGGTCCCCTCTCCTAACCAATTAAATGCTACTAAGTGGTTCCCACATTATTCAGATATAATATGCCTGAGAATTCTTTGATACAGTTACAGCACGCATGAAGAAACAAAGATGATGATCGATCACTTTCAGCTAATACAACTTTTAATAAACTGCGAGGACAAATTCCTTTGACTGGATAAAATAAATTCATTATATTGTTTTACCTAATATTGTATTACAGCATCCTGTTGCAGTTTTCACTTAGTGTCAATTAGTTTCTTAGTCTCACATAATGTTGCATGCGAGACTATAAAACTATCTGACACTATTTTACCTCTTGATATAACCAGAGTAAGCAACTGATATTCTGATGTTATAATACTGAGGTTTGCTCAGCAATAGCAATACAAACAACTACACCTAGACACTGTTCTGAGCCAGTTCACTGTAATTTATTCCCTTCAGATTAGATAAGCAACAATACATAAACCGTTTCTAGGCTACAGCTTGATAAACAAGTTCCTGTGGCAAAAACAAGCATGCAACAACAGAATTACTGTTAGAAATGGGGTGTCACTATGTGGTCCATGCTGAGGTGTTATAAGAAAGGGACAAAGTTAGTTCAGTTTAGTTCTGTATGGCAGGCTGTGAAGAAGAGTTAGTTGCAACAGTGCTCAGTTGAAAGTCTGGCTGTGAAGAGATTTTATGTGTGATATTTGAAGAGTGTGCAATTCAGCGAGACTCTTTCAGTTCCTGCGTTCAAATCTGTTGCCAGTAAATGGCTAGTGGAGACTGTAATACACTGAAGACACTAGTCTGTGTGTGTCAGTAATCTGTAAAGTGTAGTCACGAGTCGTGAGTGTATAAGTGGGCAATACATCGAGTTACAAATCCAAACCCCATCCACATTCAGTGGATTATAACTTTCTTTATATAACTATCCAAACAATACCACACTAATTGAGGAAAATCACAACAAGCTGCAGTCAAAATATCTAGGTAACCCCTGGAATATAAGTCTAAAGTGTTATCACTCCACCAGTTTGCTAAAAAGACAGACATAAAACATAAACTTTCTCAATGTATAATTTCCATTTTCCACTTATATTCTCTTACATCCAAATGTTTCCTATAGCACTTGTTTTCAATAAGTGCAAATTACAGACATGCCACTCTTCAGGGTGATTTACAATCCCATGGGAGTGCGTAATTCTGGTTATGTGCGATTTTCTTAGCCTGGGGAAACTTATATCATATTGCAACTTTTATCTTGTTTTGAGATATGTTTTTATTTATTTTCTTCATCCAGAAATTGTGTTTAAGTGGGGGGGGAAACACACACACACAACACAATTTCTGAACAGAATAACAAGCACTTTTTCATATGGTATTGTAAGACATGTAATAGGATATTCTGGAAACACATTTTAAAGTAACCATGGCATGATTCAACATTATTATAAGGAACTGACCTTGAGTTAGAACAGGTGAGGGTACTACTTGAGGAAAACCACGGGGCAGAGAACGTAACATGTAGTAGTCCAGATGACACCATACTAGATAGAGGCAGTTTTCAATGAGGAAAGAGCAATACCGCAACTCCTGACGTTTGAGATTCAGTTGGAGTGCCAGATGTTGAGAAGCTAAGGATCGGTTTTCAGCCACATTTCCAGTGTTAGCAGATCCCTCTGGAAGGAACTATGACAGACCAATCACATGCCATGATTACAATCAAGATTAAAAGCATTCACTGCATACAGAGTACATTTTAAGGTTTCAGAATATTAGACCTCAGATATTCCAAATATGACAGAACATATATCATAACAAGAAGACCAAAAAGGATAGACACGTCTGTCACTTTATAAAGGGGAATGATCATAACTGTTCATAACAGTAATCCATATATGTATTTTTTCTTATATGTATAACATGAAATATGACTAATAAAACTATTACTTTTAAGTCATTCAGGTTAAATATACGAAAAAATGACCTTCGGGAATATTAAAAATTAGTTCTGCTTACAGTATGTATTCAGTGCCCCAATCCTGATTATTAAACACAGTACAGCCCAAAAGTACAGTGAAAATGCAGTAGAATGAGTACGGCTCACAATGAGGACTTCAATATAGCAACAAAAACCACTGATACTGTTAATTTCTTAACACTGCGCATATGGAGAACCACTTCATATGCTCAGGGTTATTTTCCAGCATGTTCATCATACTAAGTGATTCCTAACTAGCAGTCACTGTTGCCCATAACTTTTGCACAAACTAAACTTGAATATTTGTTTCCAAAGTTATTTATGGCTAGCAGAACATGTATGGTGCTTGGTTCAAACATTAACTGAAAATTCAATATTAACCACTGCATAGTGCACATATTTCCCCATTTTCCCCACTAATTTAAGCACACATAAAGGTTAAGAGGGCCATTATGCAGAATATGTTTCTAACAGATTCTAAACAATGACAATGAAGCCGTACTTCCAATATATTTAGTTATCTTGACATCTTATCAATATGGTCATCATGTCACACTGTGCAACTTTTGTTTTGTGACTGCCTCTTCGAACCCCTGTATAAAAGGCAAAAAGTGATGGTGGTGGCAATGATGGAGGCTGTATATTTCTTTCCAAAAATGGAGAGGGGAAATTACACATGTAAATAAGATAGTCACTAATTATGAGTACTTATAACATACCTCCTTGAGCTCAGTACTGTTCATATTTGGGACGGACGCCAACTTACGAGACAGAAGGTCAAGAGCAGCCTTCTCAAGGTGATGATGCTCCACACACCGAACAAGTTGCTGCACCATCACTCCCAAGTTTGGCACTGTGCTCTCTTCCATGTGACCCTCTGAAGCAAGAAACAGCAAAATCTGGATAAAATGTAATCCCCAAAAGCATAGCTAATTCTGTATCACAATGAGATGTGTGGGCAGACTGGAAAGGCAGGAGGTTCACATGGGTAGGGACGTCTGCTTCTCTCCACCTCCCCATGTGTATATATATTTATTTCTCTGCCCTTGACCGCCCCCTCCCAAAAACACACCCCTCTTACAGACATAAGTTCTTCGTTGTGGTGAAAATGAAGTTCATTAAGCGAAAAATAGGTACAAATTAACATGCTTTGTTGTAGTAAAAGTTTGTAAACTGAGTGTCGGTAAAATGAGGGATACCCATATTTTTAATTATTTGGAATTTAAGTAAATATCCTATGATTTTTTCTAATTTACCGAATTCTAACTAATGTAATGCTGAAGTTCTTACCTCTCATTCTTCGCTCTGTGGTCATACCCGGTTCTGCAAGGGATGCCTTAAAAATAACAGTGGAGGCACGATGATCTGCTTCACGACTAGCAACAATGTTACGCGCATACAGGACCAGGTGGCAGGCCACCTGAAAAAATCGTAGCACAGCTTCCATCTTGTCTTTACCAGCCATAGTGTCCGTCTGCTGTGCATCAGGTCCACTGGCTGCTGGAGTCCTAGCAGTTGATACATCTGCTGAACCTGTCAGTTCTCGCAACAATGCTTCAGAGGCTACAAAACGGGATAGGAGTGCCAACATCAACTTCTGGATACGATGAAGATAAGATGAAGTTTCCATTCGGGATTCACTTGCTCTGACATGATACATGTCTGCAACAGTTTAAAAATGCATAGTAAACTGAAATCTCATTACCAGAGTACACATCAATGTAAGTATAATGTAAATAGCAGCAAAAGTTCAACGATATGCCTGGAAACATTTCTACATCAGAACATGTTTTGTGATCATATGGAGAAAGGCTGTAATAAATGACCACACAGTCAATCTAACTCTGGATATGTTGCTGAACCAAATTTCACTATCCTCTCCACTCTCCAGATGTCACAGAGCCCAATGCCCAAAACAGGACTTCAGAAGCAGAGCATTTTTCATGATCACATTCCAACAAATGCTATTGGGTATATAAAAACATACCATAAGTATATCATACAGCACACCATGTGACATTACTTGAAGAAGAATGTTTGAAAACTTTAACAACTTGAGGTGGGCCCTAACATTCAACATATTACTCCTATCAAAGCCAACCCTGGTGTTCACATCATGGAGATGGTACTATATGTAGACTGGATTCTGGTCCAAAGCTGTGGTGTGAGGCATCATGCCAAGGGCTGCATGGCATTAAAATGGAGATGACAGTGTCACGAACAATTCCCTTAGGACATCAGATATAACCCAGTTGTATTTGTGTCCTTCACCTGGAGCTCTGCAGACGGTGACATTTAAATCCCCATTACTCTCAGGGAAAAAACAGTTATGAAACACAACAAAATAAGAGATGTAGAGATGGAAATATATCATACAGAGTCTCTAACAGGGAGGTATCTACAAAAAGAAAAGAAGATATTGCTTAAAAGGAAGCTGGTGGTTCCAGTATACTGCCACAAAAATAAGTAAACAGCCACAACCGCCACTTACCTAGATAAGCCGAACGGGCTATGACTCCTGTGAGGCGTGCCAGTTCCTTAAGATGCCCAATCTGCATGTATGGACTGCCAGCTCTCAACACCATCGTAACCATCTCACTATGGTTCAGCAGGAAATGAAGAATCTGTAACCACAATAGAAAAGTACACTTACTCTATATATCAGTTCAGGTTCATCAACTCTAACTTGGGTATGTGTTCTTTACTTTCTGATCAAATTTATTTAAAATATTGTGACGTGGACGGGGCAACACTCGGTAAACACCCCCCCCTCCACCGGTGATGTAACAGCATCAGAGCAACTGCCGCTGCTATGGTAACAGGCCAATCAACATTCCGTCCCCCTCCCCCACGGTTACTACGCAGCAATAAACAACTCTCGGCAGCATTCCCCAGCAACGCCTGTAAATACGGTGTTTACGCAACAGTGAAGTGATGTGGGTTTTCCACAGTCCGACTGAGAGTTTATAACAGTTACTAGAGAGAGAGTAACCAGTCAGTTGCAGTCTAGCATTCGCCGGAGTTATTTGAAGTCCACTGTTATTGAGTTGTATAGAGTGAATGGAAATGACTACAGGAGAAGTATTTGTGATACTGCAGATGGCAGTAGTGGTGTAATTGTGAACTGTATAAGTGTACGAGCGAATATGCAATAAATTTGCTATATTCAATACGGCGTAAAGTTGTTGCGTGACACACACCCAACACGTGACAATATGTTAAGGTGGAGAACATTACACATCATACTACTAAAAAGTTAAACACAAATAAATTCAACTGCAAAGAAAAGTTAGAAGTAATGGCCAGTGACTCAGCTCTATTTTGTTATTTATAGTTTATTTAGTAATGTTGTCAGTAGTTTAGACTATACAGAGTCAAACTGTAGAATGATTAGTGAACACTGAAAAAACATGGAAGGGATTTCTCACTGTTTAACCATTAAGGGACGGGCCATTTAAATTCTGGTAATGGTAGCGGGCCGGAGTTAATTTAAATGCCTGCCATTGTAGAGTAATAAAAATTGTAATCATGTTACTCAAAATGCTGATTTCTACAATTTTTGTGATAAACGAACGAAATAAAAGCTGCTTTTATCTAGAAAGATTATAGAATCAGATACTGTAATTTACAGATTTTAGAATCTGTAAAAATTGTTACACTGATTCTAAAAATTTTTTTTTCCCCCAATTTTGAGCGTCTGTCCACAAAAATGCTGTCAGTTTCTGCAGTATAAATGCCTGCTGCTGACATCATTCATACTGCCACTGGCTTATCTGGCCAAAGGGGAGGAAATGTTTATGCTTTTATAGCACTCCGAACCTTTCTGTATACAGGAGTGAGGTCACGTCCCTCAGAAACTCTGTCTGTGTATACAAGTATCTGCCACACAAGAAGTACAATTAAGCTTCTTAGAAAGGCCTGCACATGGCTCCTTGCTTCTACGTACTTTCAGTCTTATGTACCACATTCTAAATCAGTGAAATTTATCAGCTACCTATTAACTTCAGCTTCTTCCATGTGAAATGGGGCCATGGGGGATAGTTGAAATTGCGATGTTTTATAAGCGTTATGATTAGAGAAGGCAAATCGGCAACACTGGCTGACTTCCTGCTAATACGAGACTGATATTGCATGTGTGCGCTTCGTGTGGAAAACAGAGTTACATATGGACAAAATGCATGAATTGCGACGTCGGACTCTGCATTCAGTTACATGAAAAATTCAGTTAGATGATGCAGGAGGAAAGACAGTCTACTTATAAAGCTGGTGTCCAAAAATAATGTAGAAAGGCCCCAACATGGCCCCTTTCTTCTACGTGCTTTCAGTCTTATGGTGTGATTTACGAGCGGCCTCTCAATTTCGGCTTCTTCCATGCGAAATGGGGCCATGGTGCATAGTTGAAATTGTGATGTATTATAAGCATTATGAAAAGAGGAGACCACTGGCCTACTTCCTGCTAATACAAGACAGATGTTGCATGTGTGCGCTTCGCGTGGAAAACAGAGTTACATACGGACAAAGTGCATGAATTGCGATGTTGGACTCTGCATTCAGTTACATGCAACATTCAGTTAGATGATGCAGGAGGGAAGACTGTCTACTTATAAAGCGGGTGTCCAAAAATAATGTAAGTAGAACAAGAATTTCTATCTTAAAATTAGATTTTAAAACACTATGCGCACCTGTGGATTGCGGGTACCCATACGGTGACGCACGGACACTCGGCTTCACTTTAAAGGTCCCCATACGGTGTCCTTCGGCTCATAAAGGTTAATTTGAGATACTTTTATACACATATAATTGGTGGGACTAAGTAAGACCACAAACTGGTCTAGAAAACCGAAATTAATGGCCGTGGGGATTTGTTGCACTAACCATGCGACACCCTCTATCCACTAAAGTTGGCACTAACTTCGCTGACAAGAGGCAGTTGCTCAGTCAGTATAGTTCACTTGCAGACTAAAGCCACAGTTTTTTTTAAATAAGACCACAAAAATCTAAGTAAGGACAGCTGATCTCCAGGCTAACAGCTAAAATCAGGACACAATTCTAACAAGTCAAGATGTTTCCTGCAAAGAAGAATATCCTACAGTCATATAGTCATACAGTCATACAGAAGTCCACCCACAAATTCATTTCGGTGTCAAACACCTATTTGGAAACTTCGTGTGGTTGTTTCACTCCCCACTGATGGAAAACTACCTGCATTAGAAAGTATTTATCAGTTTCATTTAACTTAAAGCTTGCATAATCGGCTCTTCTTGGAGGATCAGTGTATTTCAATTTCACACCTTAAGTGAAATTTGTAAGAATATAATCTCAGCAACTTATGCAACATATTTTGGATTGTGGTTTTGGGCATATCGAAATGCAAACTGACGTCAGCAATACTGAACTCTTTACAAGTAATACCCTTATGTGCACAATGTCATCTTCTGAAGTCCATGGTCCTTCTGGTGATCTTTTGCTTTTAACACGCTGCCCCCTTCCTTGAATTGAGTAGATTAATGCTTAACTAATTTCACACATGGAGGTTCTCCTCTACACATATGCTGCAAACTACATTCACAGTCTGAATCCAGCTGTAGTACATATACCATGCTACTTGACTCACCAGGACACAGATGGTAGTACATGTACCACCACAATTTTAAAAATGTGCAGTAAAAAAACTAACTGCAATAATGACATTGAATTTCTACTGTTCAACAGCTCAAAGTTTGTAATTTTACGGTTCAATAGTACACGTCTCTGTATAACAATGATGTGAATCAGTGACACCTACAGCAAGGTGCTACATTTACTGTGCCTCAGGTTGCATATTCTCTCCCTTCATTAATAAATCGTCACCCCCACTTGAACTGCCCTTATTTTGAACCACAAATCAAGAATCAAGTGGAGGTCACATACTTTTCTATGACGAGTTTACTGTGTACCTGAAAGGTATACAGTCAGAGCATACTTTGTAGCATTTTACACCAATGATAGTGCTCTATATTTGAATATAAGTATCATTAATACAGTCAACTCTCGATTATCCGGGGGCGGATTAACCGGTTTGCGGCTTAACTGGGGCTTTTTTGAGGCTTATATGTTGTTTAATATTCATTCACTTTTGTTTCACATGGTGAGTTGTAACACTATTTTCGCACTAGTGTGAACCGAGCTCTGCATTCTTTGGTCCCATTATGCTAACACAGTGTTCTAGGGTAGGGGTGAAAGAATGCAAGGATTTGTGGAAAGTTTCAAGGACAGATACACTGCCCCAGTTGGTCTCTTTGTATCGATTTTCAAGTGCGTTAGCAAAATGTCAGGGTGTAAAAGGAAGCATGTTGTGTTAAGTATTCAACAGAAACTCGTGTGAGCTGGGCTTCAAAATGTTAAGCAGTGACAAAACCGTAAGTTCAGTGTTGGTGCAGCCAGAAGAGCGGGAAGAAAGTGAGAATGAGGAAGAGGTGAACAGTGCTGCTAGTAAGAACATATCACATGGTGCTGCTCTTAATCATTTGGAATCCTTACTAGACTATCTTGAGAGTGAAGAGAACAGTTTATTAAGTGACAAGCTAATATTATGTAGGCTTCGTATGGATATCCGTGAAAAGGAAAATGCCACGAAAAAGCAAACAACAATATTAATTTTTTTTTAAGTGTTAAGTGTGAATATTCGTAAAAACTGTTGGATGTTGTTGAACACCGTGATTGAAATAACTAATTCACACTTCAGTATAATGTAAAAAAAGTATTAAATAGGCCATGAGATGACATAAAAATAAGGTTGAGTAAATTTAAATACAGGTTGGCCTATAGTACTATGAAGGTACAGTATTACAGTACTACTTTTAATAACATTTGTCTTAACCAGGTTTTTGATTAATCTTGATTTCCATGCCCACCATTATCCCGGATAATTGAGAGTTGACTGTATTTTATTCTGCATGTTGGTGCAGCATTTTCCATCCACAGGGAAAAATATTCACAAATTATGTTCCAAAATTGATGAAATCATGAATTTCTTTCTGTGGCCCTTTTAAACCCTCTGGCACAGAAGAAAGAGGTGTTCAAATGCCACTGGCTACAAAGGGTTAAATGGTTACCATGGACTTGGCAAACCATATGATGCAATTGGCTCTCTCCTGGATGGACATCATATACTGACTGTGAGAGCTGCTGAACATCAAACTCTGTCATTATATGTCACAAATTAATGAGATATTAAATGTTAAAACTAAAGGAGTTCTAGATTTAGATTTATGTCACTTCTTACCTGTACTGTGGAAGACTGATTGTCAGTGCCAAGTGAAGTAAGAATGGCATCACATAAATCCAGGGCTGGGAACAATATCTGCAGGTATCGAGCACTAACAGAAGGGACAAAATCCAGTTCTACAAGCAAACTGTAAAATAAACACATAAATTAATTACTTGTACAATTGTTTGCAAAGGCTAACACCGTGCTCATACTAAATTTAATGTTCTTATTCAGATGATGAAGTGCCAGCATTGCTATGAAAACTTGTGCTGGTAAAGGGTATATTATTCCCTGTTATTCCATAATAATGCAGCTTAAATGTTCAAAATAGAATTGAAGATAATTGTATGAAAACTGCAGAACATTATCTCTTTCCCATCCTCTACTGGAAGGCCTCCACAAAGAATGGGGCAGGGGAGGGGATGTCCAGACACCCTAAGCATTCAGATCTCTAGACTGGTACTTACTTTGATCTGACAATATCTGGGTGGCAGTCAAACACTGTCATCGAAGAAAGGGCAGAAAATGTGCCCTGCTCTAGCAACAGCTCAGCTCCAGAACGGGTGGATGCAATGCGACACAGCAATGCCTGTAATCACAGATGTATAGGAACACTGCACATAAAAGTATCGCATATACAATTGAATGACAATAAGCAATAAAAAATGTGACATTAGCTCATAAGGTAACACAACTGCTTAAGAAAAGAAACTAGTTTGGCAATAGAGTTCTTCAGTAAGTATGCCACTAAACCTAGAAAGGAAAGGAGCACTTTGGCTTTCCAAATACATTCCTTGATTCTGGATACCTTGATGGCACTGATTTAGTGTCTCCTGAAATGTTTACCACTGAGCGAGCAAAACAAATTTTTCTGCTGTTATCAGCTACAGAGCAATTTTGTTATCTTTGCTATCTGCTGTTTTAAATGACTTTTAGCACCATCTACGTACAATCCTCCACATTTTAAAATTGAACTTGTTGCCTTTTGTATGCCCTCTGTACTGTACAGTACGATCCATGATTCACAGCAGGGTCACTTTTGTCTGTAGTCTCTTTATAAGTGGGAAGGCCAGCCCTGTGATCCTTCATGACCAATCAAAAATATCCATACCAGAAATTCAGGTATTCTGTTGTTGACCAAGATGAGGTGGAGTGCTGTCATGTTGTAGCCACATGTCTGATCTGGCTTTGAAAGAATATGGTAGGGATGGAGGAAGGGAGAGTTGGTGTAGAAGCCATAATTCCATAGTGGTTGAAGTAACTGGAATGTAAGGTGGCAGGTTTGTTTGGGTGCACAGTAGCAAGGATTATCACATGATCTGTCTAAACTTATCAATATTACCTCTAGCTTGTGACAAGATCCCTCATGTGCTGGATGTAGTATATTGTGAAGTGGGAGGGAGGGAGGGAGGGAGGAAGGGTCAACTTAAATTTCTATGTTTGGATCTCCAAGTCCCCATTTCCTTACTTTCCATAGTTTGAAAATAGCCTTACCATTTTAGATTCATACAGGTAGAGTGGACGAAGTGTAGTAGGAATTGTTTCGAGTACTGAAAGTAGTTTCTCCTCAGAATATAGCAAGCTGTCAATGAGATGCTTGAGGTAGCCATGTGATGACAGGAATGAAACCCAACTGGTGTGGGGATCTAGCTCTATAAGCTTATCCAGACAAGACAGAGCCAACATCTGCAACACAAAGTACAGTAATTCCAGCAAATGCGATTTGAGGTCATGGCATCACTAAAGAATGCCATCTTCTAGGATTTGATGCCGTGTAGTCTGGTTAAGTTCACTATGTTTTGGAGGAATGTACTGCCTCAATCTTCAGGGCTGAAGAGTAAGCTAAGTAGACAGCAAGCAGAAAAAGGAGTAAAGCTACCACAGTTATTCTTCTTGCTGCTTGCCTGGGTTATACTCTGACCCTGAAGATGAGAGAAGTATATTTCTCTAAACTTCTCCTAGAGTAAACAGTGAAACATCCGAGGAGATAATTACACAGCTTTTCTGCAAACCTTAGTGGTCAATGCTGGCCCATTTTGGTAAAAAGAACATCCAGAAAAGGAACTGCACTATCTGATTCTATTCTTGCAGTAAACTAGATGTAAGAGGTTTTATGTGATTAAGCCTTTTTAAATTGTACATATTATTACTTGCACTTCTTATTACCAATTATACTCAATTTATCTTATATTGTCAATGTTTAGTTACAGCTATTATCATTAATTATATTAACATTCCAAACTATTTCTTATATTATAAACTGGTTTTTAGATAATTGCTTCAATGTATAAGCAAGATTTGTACATAATATTTTGACTGAATTTTTTATTCTAAAATTGTCAATGTTTTTATTGTTTTTAAGATTTATTCTTTTATAACTAATGTAAACCTTATCTACTACTGTTTTTTGACAGCTGCTTGATTGATAAGCAAGATGTGATTAAGCTACTTGACGATTTCTATATCTAATTGGTTGTTTTCCGACCTTGTAAAGATCTTATGGAATGTGAATAAATGAATGAATGGATGGAAGATCTTAGGTTATGAGGTGGTTAAAGAAATTCTGTAACCTGTATGGACCATGTGGCCGAATCCCACCATTTCACTGGAGGATGGACACACATCCAGTTTCCAAGACATTCTTTCAAAATATCTGATAAATGACAGTCTAGAAACTCAGTAATCCCAAGTGTAATACACCATCATCAGAACCATTCTGACAAATAGAGAAGTTCAGCATCTTTTTTTTTTCAGAATGGTGGACTGATTATTCAGCTGATAGAAACTGACAGTCCATTCTTTCAGAACAATCCTAGCTTGATAAACTGTCAGTTGTCATTTCTAAGGTTAGTAATTGATCTTGTGATCACTGATGGTGATATTAATATTCAATAAAATGGGTTAGACTATCTGGATCAATGGGTCTTGTTAAACAATCTTCATCCACTTATTATTATATCGTTTGCACTCATCTTACATGCATCAACACTTATTATTGTGTTGATTTCACTCACCTTACACACATCATGGCCACCTGTGCAATCATGGCACAGAACATCAACTAGTCCCTCACCAAATGCAACAATGACCTCGAGACTAGATTGGTACTGACTACGTTGCTCAGCAATACCAGCCCGATACCGTGAGCTGTCCAGCCGACTCACATACAGGCTCTCCGTGTTGTTGAGATTCTCACCAGGCACATCTGGCATTAGTGATCCACCAACACGAGCAATATGCAGGAAGTTGAGAAGTGCACCATAAAGATTTGCTCGCAGCTGTTGTGATGCAATACCTACATACACAAACACAACTGTAACATACACTGCTCCAAAAGGCATATTGATGCCACAGTGGATAATGGAGACTATAATGTATTCAAGGGAACATTATCATCTCATCAGACTATTATTTTTTCAATGTATTTATAAATGACCTATGTGACTCCGTTAACTACTCTAAATTTCTAATTTTTGCAGATGATCTGAAAATTCTCCGCATTATTAACTCTCCTCATGATTGCCTCTTACTTCAATCTGACATAAATTCCGTAAGTGACTGGTGCACTGCTAACTCCATGAAACTTAATATTGCTAAAACGCGTGTTGTATCATACACCAGAAAAACAAATTTTCTGAGCTACGAGTATCAGCTTTGTCATGATATCATTACACGCACCAGCAGTATTAAGGACCTGGGTGTGTTCTTTGATTCAAAGTTACATTTTCACACACATGTTAATTACATATTTTCTGAATGCATAAAGCTTTTAGGCCTTATTCNATCTCATCAGACTATAGATTTGTTGCATTTCATCACTACAATTATTATTTCTTTTTTAAAGCCTTTAAAGAAAGTTATATTTATAGTGTAGACCATTAAAGGACAAACATATTAACAGATTGGGAAGAAAGAGTGCAAAAATCATGAAGACACTGATAGAAGGGTGATATTAGACTTGTGCGTGTATATTAACATTATCACTGAACTCACAGAAAATTACATTTTCTTTCTTCCATTCCATTTCCACTTCCTTCTGATTCTCTTAGCCTGAACACTTTCTTACCTGATTTCAATATCCATTCAACAATGCTAGATAGGATCACTTTTAGTGTTGCTGAGTTGGCTTGAAGTGTTGGCATGTTGTAAGTGCCAAAACCATCTGGCAGACCTGAACTGCTACTAACAACATGGTCCTTCACTGGTCCAAACGCTGCTTCCTTTTGCTTCAGCATTAAGCAATGGCGAAGGTTTACCAGGAGAAGCAAAACCACACCTGATGCCAAGCTTGCCAACTCAGACAATGCATCTTGCAGCAGTACCTATTAAGTATATAATTAGTGTAGACAGATTACTATCGAGTGCTTGATTCTTGGGTTATTTAATAACAGTGTTTTGCTGCCTGGAGTATGTAAGACTGAATGGTAGGATGCTGTGAATGAGAGTAGAAAGGGCACAGGAAGAAGTGATCATGACTCATATACAGTGCTATCCCTGCATTTTCAAGGAAGGCCAAGCAAGACTGAGAAAACCCTCGGCAGCAGAGCTGGTTTTGTGGCCAAGATTTGAACCTAGAACCTTCCAAATACATGTTAAGGATACTAATTACTGGAAAGCAATGTTCAGTAATGGGAAGTATTAGGACAATTAAATACTTTCTGAGAATGTGTTTGCTGCAGAAACATACAAGGACTATGGCTGTGAGAAGCAGATAATACATGGTGTGTCCAGGATCTGTTAGGACTCATTCTGACCTTGAATGTAACAGTACTGTTCTGATGCTCGTCGGAAAATGGCAGTTGAACACAGAGCCAACATCAAATTTTGTTTGAGGTTAGGCAAAACAGCCAGAGAAGGATACGAAATGATGAAGAGTGTGTATGGTAGTGACTGTTTGAGTCGCTCGAACATTTTTTGATGGTATGCTGTATTTCGTGATGGCAGGGAGGGCATTGAAGACGCTCTCAGCATCAAAGCTGAGAACAAGTCGCACTGAAGAAAATGTGGAAAAAGTGACCGAAATCCTTGCATCAAACAGATATGTTTCTGCAAGACTCACTGAGGAGCTTTTGGGAATACCAAAAAGTACTGTGTATCAAATTTTGACCAAGCATTTGGGCAAACGGAAGGTTTGAAACACTGAAAAGACATGTTACGGTTGGCCCAAAGTGATACAAAATTTACAAAATCGATTGTTACTGGTGACGAGACAATAATATAAGCCTCTCACAAAGTGGCAGCGTGCAGCATGGTTGAGCCCAAAGAAAGTGCGCATGCAAAAGAGTCGAGTAAGGACACTGCTAACCCTTTTCTTCGATTCCATAGGAATCATTCAGAAGGACTTTCTGCCAGAACGTCAAACAGTGAATTCTGATTATGATCTCGGAGTCCTCAATCGTTTGTGGGCGAGCATTCTTCGAATTCGACCTGAATGTCGAGAGCAAGGTTCCTGGTCACTCCTCCACAACAATGCCCCACTCCACAAATCGAAGATTGTATGCCATTTTTTTGGTCAGAAAAGGGATCACAGTCCTTGATCATCCTCTGTATTTGCCAGATTTGGCTCCAGTAGATTTCTGGTTGTTCCAAAAAGTTAAGTTGGCGATGAAAGGAGACCATCACGACACAATCCAGGACATCCAAAAGGAATGTACCACAGTTTTAAATGCGATTCCACAAAAGGAGTAGAGTGACTGTTTTCAAAAACTTTTCAATCAATTCGAGCTATGTATTGATTTAGGAGACTATTTGAATAAAAAGAGTGAAATTTTGAAAATAATTCACGTCTTGTATTTTTAATGAACACAGTCCTAACAGAACCTGGACACACTGTGTATGATTAACTATACACAAGAAAAGTGTTTCCTTCATCAAGACAATTCAAGTTAACTGTTTGTCAACATGCTTACATCAGGATATTGTGTAGAATACTTCACAATAAAACAGAGGGCTCAGAAACTGATCGGTGCAATGAAAAGATTACAAAAATGTTTTGTATTATGCACATTCTTAAAAATGTATTGAGACAATGACTAAATTTCATGTAGGTGTAGATTCCAGTTTAAAGGGGTGGGTCATACCAGTTCTGACACTGTAATGCCGCTAAGGTTACGTACATGTTGATATAGTTTTGGGGTAAAATTGGAATAACAGTAGCTAGACTATAAGATTAAGAAGTAGCCGTGATGAAACGGCCCAGGAAGTTTAGGTCTACAAAGAATTGTAACAGGGAATGCCTGAGTCATTAGAATGCTAACCCGGCAGTGTAATAGCGCTGACATTGAGGAAGGAGCTATATGAAGTGGGTCATAAACACTATGGCAGGAGGAAAACGCTGAGTCAGAGGAGGCGGTAGACCCGAAAGAGTCAACCCCTTCTCGATGGGCAACCAATGAGGGAGGCCAAAATCACGTCAGAATGGGCAGGCAACCTACCCGGAACTCAAAGAATCAGCAAAGAGAGGTTATATAAACCCTAGAAGACTTAATCAAAAAAACCTTTTGCCTTTAGACTTTTGATTGATATTAAGTAACTTAGAGTTCAGGGGAGGCTATCGCCAAGAGAGCGATGGCCGTGAGTGTGCGCTGGTGGCTGATGGCGAGCATCTATTTCCTCATCTCAAGTAAGTGAAACCAACTTCATATAGCCATGAACATTAAGTGTAACAGTGATAATTGTAAAGTGTAAAACCACAGGGAAAGATGGTCTAACTAGATTGACTAGGTTCATTCGAGATACCGCGGCGTAGAATACCCGTCAGTAGGGTGACAGGAGGTAGAACCAATGATGACTGCAGGTTCATTATCCAGTGTAGTACAACCGACGAACGTCGGTAAGAGTGCATATAGATGTATATAGTGACACAGAGAAATAGAATAGAATAGACATGCGTGTGAGTTTACTTTAACTTAGCAATTCCTTAAGTGTTACCCTCTTCCTTGACGACTCCAGGACCTCCCAACACTCCGGCGAATTACGAGTTAAGCCAGGACAGTGACGCAAGCTAGGATAAGTTTACTAGATTTCTTGAAAATAACAAGATGGTGGCAGCATACTAAACAGGGTGACAGAGCGGGATATTTCCATGCCCTCTGTCACCTCGGCATAAGAAAGGTGTAGCGGCGGCTTAAGAGAGGCCCAGTGGCGGAAGCGGTGGAGGTACCTCCACGCCCCCCTCACGCCATAACAGTGGTGGCAGCGGTGGGATACCTCCACGCCCCCTGCCACCACGGCATAACAGACACCATGACTCCCTTCCATCTGCTGTGTCCTCTTTCTGAATTAGTTGCTAATAGCCCCACACTTTAGATGAAGCACAGTATAAATAGTGGATACTTGGAACAACCGAGTTTCTTAGGTTATTTAATGACCCCACTTCAGCTGTAAAACTAACAATATGATTATAACTGGTGGTCAGGTAGGGATTTGGAAGATGCTCATTGTCTGTCATGCCAGGTACTACCTGGCATTTGCTGAAAGAGATTTTAGAATGTCACAAAAATGTTATTACTATAAGTAGTAGCGGAAATGAATGCATTCCTGCTACATCAAATTGCTCCATGAAGGGCTGGGAGGGTAAGCTGGACTGAGAACCCACTCTATGGAACACCTACACACAAGGTTGAAGCCATTATGTGTAATACCTCAGTTCTGTCACTCAGAAAATTCATGCACTCTAATTTTCACTCATTAGTAAATAATTTCATGACACTTTATTACCAGCATTAGGTATGTAATGTCAAACAATATGAGGATAATCACAAATGAATAAAGAATTTGAAAGGTGGTGGTGAAGAAAATTTAGGGGAGACACCTCTATGGATGAGATTCAAACCAGATATGTTTTGAATATAGAGCAATCAGCTGGCTAATTTACTTTGTCACTAGTTTTCAGATGACTAAACATGTAAATTAGAAAACAATGCTGAAGACTGACTGCCCAAACAGAAATCCATTCCACATACTTCAAACAAAATTAACTTAAACAAATACATACACAATAATAAATTTGATATATTTTTTAGCATAAAAGCTAATTACCTTCCTCAGCAGCAAGTGAACGGTCTCCAAAAGCAGCTGCTTGCGTAACTCAAATGGAAGAACCTCAGGTGGAGTAACAGCAAACAGAACCTCACACACTTGACGCCATGCATCCATATAGCGTACCGTGGATCCAATACGAGAACGATGGACATTGTGCTTCAGAGCATACATCAATATAGCCTGATACGTGAAAAAAATTCACAAGATTCTGAAACATCAGTTCTCATTTAAAGTATAAACAAAGGGTTGAGGGATGATAGCTACAAGCAGTCTTTCATTATATCAATGGACATCCTGCAACTCTCCTGCCTTTGGACTCTTAATTATAACACATTCTCAAGCCAGGCAAAATCACCTTTCTTCCAATGCATATCAACCATATTGTTAGGTATCAACATACTGTCATGTGTAGGGTGGTACGGGTGCTGACTATTATGGGTTCTAGTTCAGATGATTGGATTTATTAGCACTTCAGTTACAACCTCTCTTAATTACACTTAAATACAGGAAATACAGCGCTATTGCTGATTTACACACTTTCCAGTTCAACACTGTACACGCACAAGGATTCTCTGTTTCCACTAGTCGTCTCCTAGCAATGGATCTCAACACAGAAATTATCACTTCAAATCTCTATGAAGTCTTCTTGTTATTTCATCTTCAATCACTCTGTACTCCTCTGTCCTAATCTGTACTTGATCTTCACAATTCACATTCCAGTCTCATTCTTGTGCTCTCGACTGTTGAACCCTCCTGGATTCTCTATTTCACTCCATGGGATTCTGCTGCTACTATTTCTCTCTGTGACAGACTTAGAACTCTGCACTCAGAATTCTGTTGCTCACTTATCCAGCCAAGGGACCGACACTGACTAACAGTAAACACATATCACGTGACCCCTATCCACTGTTGCTGTGTGATGTCACCCCACATGCACAGCTGAAGGACACGCAGGAAACATGTCACGTGACGGCCACCTACTGCCGATGTGCGACATCACCGATCCTACGCCAACTGCTGGACACACGGAAAACACAGCTTGCTCTACTGTTGTGGGCGTGTATCATGTTTACAGAGCTGTTGCCTGGCAACGCGTTGATCAAATACGCTACAATATTCTTCTATCTAGCTTTGGCCACATTATTTATGTTCAATGTATCTCAGAGTCTCCTGAGTTATGACACTGTGTAGTCTCATGGCATGTACCTCTGAAATATGGTAGCCACCTATGAGACTCTACAATGCTATAACAAAGACTACAACCCAAACCTTCACTGCCATGAAAAACCCAAAATTTCATAAGAAAACATAATTTAAATACCCTTTATACACTACATCTCAGTACATTAGAAATGGTAGGGAACATTTAATTTTACACAGGTTTTGAGTTGGAAGACTGGGATTCAATTCTCTCTACAGGCTGATATTCTTTTTGCCACTAAGTGCAAACCAACAATGATGCTGGTGCAGTCTCCTATGCAACAGGTACTGGGGACTCTTGCCCTTGAAGTGAAACAGCTGAAGTGGAAAGCTCTCCACTCAACTTAATCCAGTGCCATGGTTAAGGATGTAAGGAGCTTCACCTCCATTCCTTCATATATTTTCATGGCATGGTGCTTAAGCAGAGTCAACTTTACCCTCTAATGCATATGATGGTAAAACAACTGACTCCAACTGTTATCCCCATGATTAACAACAACACATAAATCTAACAAATACAAGTTTACATATACTAAAATTTGGCGAGGGAAGTGACAGAATTTTCAATGAAATTTGCAAAATGCAGTTTCTTATGTAGAGAATGTCATACAATCTAGAGACAATTTAAGATGAAGAGTGGGACCAATGACCAACACTGATACATGGGAGGAGTAACATGTTAAGAAAACAACCTGAATCTCCTGCAGTATGAGCTGTCTCTGACCAGCAGTTGAGCTACCCTGTATGGCTGCCAGTTCCTGCATGAGGATATGGTGCAATTTCTTTACATCTATTAACTTCAATCCACTCCCCATAACTGACATCTCACACTGTACCAGAACCTGAAAACAAACATTTCTCTACATTACTGATACTCCAATAAGGAGAAAGAGAAAAAAATTAATAAATAATTTCTCATTATATAAAATGATTTAAAAATAAAAAGAATTTGGTTCTCCTCTCCATGTAAAGATGAACTATTGTATACTATGGCATAAAACTTGTCCTTTCCTTTCATCAAAGTGTGACATTGATAATTACAAGACAGATGCACCGTAGAGGTGAAGACTTGGGCCATAAAGGTATCACATCAAAGCAAAAAGTTATACAAGCATGGCTTTCACTGGACACAAATTAATACAGCTAGAAATAATATATATTAACATTATACAGCAATACCTCGCATAGTCCGGCTTCGATCAGTCCGGATTCACTATAGTCCGGTTTGAAAATTTCAAAACAAACTAAATTTTAATTGAGCAAAATAAAAATAAATTATAAAAAATTAATATATGAATGATTGGGTTTTTCCCTTTATACTGTCAAGTCTCCTTTTGTGTGGTTTATTTTATGTGGTTTTAAAGTTATGCGATACGATACATATTTCAATTTTTTCTGGGGTTCCCCGTTGTATATGTATGTACCTATGCTCAGGTCTTTTGTTCTTGAGCTCTGACAGCTATCGCTGGAGGAGGTGGGGAGAGCACTACTTTAACGGAATTTCTGACGAGCTACATCAGAAACGTTATCAAAAATATAGGCGAAGCATGGCATGAATTAACGGCAAGCATATGAGGGCAGTATGGAAACATATCATACCACATTGTGCATATTATCTAATTGGTTTTGAAACTTATTTTGCTGAAGTCACTATTAACATAGTGGAAATTGGACAGCAACTTGGTTTCAATAAGTTAGATTCCGTCAACGTAATTGAGTGCATGAAATCGAACACTAAATTATGAAACACTTACCGACATAGATGAACAATGGGCTTATGAAGCACAGGAGGACAACTTAGACAATGTTGACTGTGTTGAAGTGCCTGCACAAGAATTAACAGCTGAACAACTATAAAAAATTATTGCAATGGTTGAAACCTTGACAACGCATATTATGGAAGTTGATCCCAATATTGAACGTAGCCTTACAATTTGCCGAATGATAAAAAATGCAATTTGTTGTTACAAAGAAATGTATGAAGAGAAAAGGCCAAAGAAGAAAAATGTGCAGACATCAATATTTAAATTTTTAGAGAACAAAAAAATGAATTATGAAAAACATGAATTCTTTAAAATTATTTCTAATAAAGACATTTGAACTTATTAATCGCATTTTATTTACTGAAAAATGGAGATTTTTTTTTGGAACCAATTATCATTTTTTGTATGTATTTTGTTCCTTGATTAGTCCAGTTTCAAATAGTCCGGGATATTGGCGGAACCGATTACCCAGACTATGCGAGGTATTGCTGTACTGTGTATGTGAAGTTTCTTTATTTTATTGTCACCATAATAGGTAGTATGGACACACCATACATTTATTGTTTCTTACAACATGTTTCAGCTCACTGAGCCATCATCAGGTATTTGACTTTTTCACATTCACCTTTATTCGTTTGCTAGTATTCCTACATTGGCCAATGATTACATATTGGAATACCGGTGCTACAGGTAGGATTGGTAGCTAAGAAACCACTCCTTGAAGAGTGAAAACTACATTAATTATACCTGATCCATACACTGGAATACTCTCATTGGCAAATAAAACTAAAAAGATAATGGGGTCAGTAATTATAATTCCAAATTCCTTCAACAGAAGTTATTTGCAACAATTACTACCTAAAGATGGTAACATTTTAGTTCATATTACCTGTTCCACCTGGGAAGGTTCAAAGAATTCCCAGTTGGGCACTGTCATACTTTCCAGAGAGAAATCAAGGAAGAGAAGCAGTCTTAGTATAAGTGGATCACGATGACGAGCTGCACTTGCAAATGCTGCAATACAAACACAGAGACTTGATCATAATGACATATTGGTTCCATTCAGATTGCATTTAGAGAATACTCTAACACTTTGATTCTTAATACAGAAATATGTACAGAAAAGTCTTGTCTACAACCTCTCTAATTATAAAGAAATACTCCATACCATACAACAAAAAAATGGTCAGAAATAGGAAAACTTTGGGAAATTAACAGCAAGAAACCCAGAAAAGAAGCTGTTGCAAATTTTTGATTGAATACAGGACATGAATGCCTTGGAGCACATCTTTGTAAGATAGGAATATATAACACTGTGCAACTTGCCAGGATCATCTATGGGAAAAGAACACCTCCTTCAATGCCCTTCAGTGCCCTTCAATGCAAAAAAGCAAGAACTTGAGTGCTCTCTATTGGGAAGCAAGAAGTAAAATAGGTTAAATGATCCCAAATGCAGCCATTGGAAACCAACCAACCAACCAACACCCGTAATTAGACCTTAAACAATAAATCAAGAAGTAAGGGAAGCAAAGAAATTCAAATACAGCTTTCCCTCTTAAGAAGAAGGGTTTAGCATAAAATATCTCTGCAGGATTTTGCTGTATGTATTTAAAAATCCTATAAATAACCAACAAAAATTTGTATACAAACTCACTGCTGGGTGTTGCTAAGTAGTGGCTAAGCTGCATGATGGTAGCCATCTCTGTCACTTCTGATGGTGCATTCTCCTCTACAGAGACAGCCACCATCTCTTCACCTTGCTCCCGTACCAACAGGTTCACGAGGTTTCCCAGCTGAGAGTGATGCATATGAGTAGCTGTTACTTTCAACTCAACAGCCACTGTTTTCAGCAGCCAGGCCATCTGGTTCAACTCTGAAGCTGCACAAAAAATATACATTTGTTAGAGAGGAACTCTGACACCAGAGTGCAGTTCGATATAAAAAAAAAAAAAAGAGGAGAAAGAGCTTACAGAAACACTGATATGTAAAAGCACTGGATAGTTGATCCATACCATAAGACTTCCAGATATCAAAAAGGATGACATAAAGTCGTGCTCTAGATTTGCATTTTGGACGTGCACAATTCAAATCTCTACAAGGTCACTGGCTAACCTGACTAAGGTGTCCTGTGGTCCCAATAAGATATATCTTGACCTGTTACACTTCTTAATATGTGAATAAGCAGTAAGATCCATGAAGTGTAAAAAATTTAATAGAAGAATATAGAAATCTGCCATGGCACATTTTGGCCACTACTGGTAATCAACAGAAGACACAGCCAGCACTGTAAATACTTTACATATGTGTTTGAAAATACTCGTAAATACTTTACATATGTGTTTGAACATAAGTTGTCATAAAGGAAATTCTACTAGCATTAGAAATCAAGACTTAAATGTTAATGCAGTCAAAGTAAGATGCATATGTTAAAATCACTTAAAACAAATTGAAGATGGCGATTGTAAGAGAAGAACCCTTTTCTTACTGGTTCTTGCAGGCCGTACCTGACAGTCTCTCTGACCCAAAATTTTATTAATCTGCAAATGACTTTTCAAAAACACCTTCACAATCAGAAGATTTGTGTGTGATGTGCATTTACTGATAGATGAATAGTAGGACCCATATTTTTTTGAACAGGCTATTAATTCAGAGCAGTATGTCAATGACATTCTTCTTCAGCCCTTTTAAGAGTATTATAGAGGAGAAAAGATACATGGTTACTTCATGGAAGATGGTGCTAAGCACACACTGCTACTTACTCCATTGATGTTGTACACAAAGAGTTTGGACAGGCTGATAAGTCACACATTATGGCCTGCGAGATCCCCAGACTTATATCTGATTTTTATTTGTGGTGAATCATAAAAAAGGAAACAGTATTCAAATAACCACCATACAATGGATGAACTTAGCAAATTATCTGTGAAACAATTACGTCTATTGATGTCAGTGAACTCAAACTAGTGTCAAACAATGAAGAAAGCAGTCTTCTGGGATTTGGCACCGTGTATAAGTGGTGTTAACTGACGTTTTGGAGGAACGTATCGCCTCCATCTTCAGGGTAGAAAGAAAAATATAAGAAATCCGCAAGCAAAGAGATCGTGAGAACCGGTAAAAGCAGACTGGTGTTGGAAATATACACAGCTATGTGAGAGCAGAGAATGAAGGGGGGAAGGGCAAGTATACAAGTGAAATCAGTAGTGTGGGAGGGGGGGGAAAGGGAGTTGGGACAAGCAGGGTTTTTGTGTTGTGGGAGATAAAGGCAAGGTTAAAGGCTGGGCACTAACCCTTANTACTGTGTTCAGCTATGGCCGACTTGTCCGGATGTTTGAGACGGATGTGCCGCTGATGCTCCTTCAACCTCATGTCCACGGAGCAGCCTGTCTGCCCAATATAGACCTTCCCGCACTCACATGGGATACTGTATACACCCGGTGTCCTTAGGCCCAGGCTGTCTTCCTCCGGCCGGTTAAAGACAGCCTGGGCCTAAGGACACCGGGCTTTTACTGGTTCTCACGGTCTCTTTGCTTGCGGATTTCTTATATTTTTCCTTCTACCCTGAAGATGGAGGTGATACGTTCCTCCGAAACGTCAGTTAACACCACATATACACGGTGCCAAATCCCAGAAGACTGCTTTCTTCATAGTCACCGCCGTGAAAGCCTCAAATCTTACATAGTGTCAAACAATCTATTCAAGATACTTGAAGTTTGTTTAAGAGCAGAAGAGGGACATTTTGAGCACGTGCTGTGATGACAACTTCTTCAAACAATTTACTTATGTTAAGAAATTCACATCTGTGTTTTTAACTGAGGCATATTAGGCACCAATCAAGACTGTTTCCTCAAGTGCTAGCTAAGGTTCCAGCTGACAAGTTGATGGTAAAAGAGTCATGTGCTTTGGCCATTCAAGAAAGACTTTTGTGTGTGTGTGTGTGTGTGTGTGTGTGTGCGCGTGCGTGGGTGAGCTGCATACGTGTACTTTCAACTCTGGTCCTCAGTAATCTTAATATTGTCACGTGTTGCGTATGTAATGCGACAAATAACTTCATGTGGGTCTCGGATTTAGCAAATCTTTATTGGATATTCACTCTTACACTCTTTACAATTATTATCAGTTGTAGTATCACTTGGCTTCTGTCCCAATACTCAATACTTAATTGTCTGATACGTGTCGTAAGCTCTGCTTATATAGGGGTTATGCAGACTCAATAGAGAACACCCCTCACCAAGGTTTGATCTCATGTGTTCGGCAATCCGTTGTTTTGGGAACGCTCCTTATAGATTACACTAGTAATGTGTTTCGTCTCATCTGTTGTTACTCAACGATAATTCGTGGCTATGATTTGTCGCTGCGGGAACTCCACAATTTCCACGTATTCGTTGTCGTGGAAGTGTCCGTTCCGATTGTAGCGGTTGTCGCGGTGATGATCACATTCTTACAGAACAATATAATTCTACACGGTACTCAGTGATGTATGAAATAGATACAGAAATTAATTTTTTTTTGGGGGGGGGGATGTGTCATAAGAAATGAACTGACCTACCTACCTAGTTCAATATGGAAGTTGCTCTTTACAGCTACAAACAAAAACAAAAACTCCGTGATTTTAGTCTGCAAGGGAACTATACCGAGCGACCGTCGGTGAAGTTTAGTGTCAACATTTGTTGATAGAGGGTGTCATGTGGTCAGCGTAATGAATTCCCCGGCCATTAATTTCGGTTTTCTAGACCAGAGCCGCTATTTCCTTGAAACAGCTCCTCAATTATCATCACGAGGCTGAATGGACCCTGTTCCAGACTCACTACTTCTCAGAAAAAATCTGGTAGCATCTGCAATCAAACCCGGACCTCTGGATCTGTAGCCAGGAACACTGACTACTAAACCACAGAGGTGATAAAGTTAATACCAAAACTCTACCCACTTATTTTAAGGAAAATTAAGTAAATACTTACATCGGTGTGATTCACTGGTGAATGGAAGGCTTGCCAAGTGCCGGGCAAGGAAGTCATTGCAAGAACGTAAAAATCGCAGAACAGGTTCTGAAGTTTTGGGGTCCGCACAGAGTGAATATAACATGCAATAAGCAGAGTCCAACAGTCGGGGTTTAGGAGTTGGTGCAAATGGTACAGATTGTGCAGTAATTGATGAATCCAAGATGGTGAGCAAAGAGTGAAGGCATGTTCGAGGGAATCCCATGACACCTGGAACATAAGAAGACAATTATGTAAAACTACAAATAATTACACGTTGTGTATGCCCTCAGGTCACTTAATTTATTTCTTACAGTCTATTAGTTCTCTAATACCTTAATTCAGTTAATTCAGACAGTTTGTCTATTTACTGTATTTCATTGCATAATTCATACCATTATGTAATTCAAACATATTTTTCATTAGCTGTACTCGGCCATGCATTGCTGTGGCAGATCGAGTGAATTCAAAAGTTCTGTTGGATAAGTAACCGCTTCATCTGCTTCCACAACAGTGTCGACGGACTTGTATGTGACTGCCTCGCAGTGAATGTTAGACTGAATGATATTGTTAAGTTCGTAGATGTCTTTGTTCTTGGCCACAAGATAGCTCGTTCACTCAGCCAATCGTGATTCTTAGAATTGGTTTGAATATTGGGAAATACTTTTTCAACCAATTCTTCTTTTGACGTCACTAAATTGCAGAAGCTACGTGGCAACGAAATTCGTCCTGAGGTCATTCAACCGGCACCTTTCCATTCCCAATTTCCAGCAATTGATGTGAGAATATCTCAGCTGATTGATCGTTTTGCAGCTGGACACGCATATTTGTAGTTAATTTTAACGTCTTTACGTGTCGCCACAAAGTAGAGTATTTCAGGCAAGCATTTATTTCGTCCGCTGGTGTCGATCGAGGAATTACAGGTAATGTTTGCCTGAAATCTCCTGCAAGCAATATTAATGCGTTCCCAAATGGTCTGATGTTTCCACGCAAATCTTGCAATGATCAATGAAGAGCCTTGAGCAATTTTTTTGTGTGCCATTGTGCATTCATCACAAACAATAAGTTTGAATTTCTGCAATACCTTTCCCATGCCTGATGCTTTGGAAATGTTGCACGTGGGAGTTTCAATGAATTGCATGTTCAATTGCAATTTCAAAGCGGAATGAGCAGTTCTTCCACCTGGTAGCAATGTTGCAGCTATTCCGGACGACGCAAGAGCTAAGGCTATGTCACTTTTGGGATCAAATTGCTGCCAGACTCAATCTAATTAGGAACGTTTTACCAGTTCCTCCTGGCGCATCTAAGAAGAATTCTGCAACCCCGTTATTGACAGTTTGCATTATTTGATCGTAAATGCCTTTTTGCTCAAGCGTTAGCTTAGGAATATTTGATTGCACATATGACAAAAGATCACCCGTGTTGTAATTTTGTTCATGACGCAATTCTACATTGAGCGAAGAAGCAGCAGATCGATTTGGTGATGGTATTCCCAATTGATTGAGAACTTTGTTCGTGATTTCTAAGCAAAAATCTTCAATCATTATCAATGCCTCGTTGCAGATTTCTGCTGTGAAATCCATGTTCATATTGGAATTTTCCTTGCGTATTCGATGGAAAATATCTTCAGCCATGTACGATTTATATTTCTCCCATAACTCTGTTGGAGATGAAGGAGAGCAGGCAGTCAATATTATTGCAAACAATGTACGAATTTGATGTGGATGTGACGTGTTGCACGCGTCAGTAATTCATGTAGCGTGTTTGGGTATGTCATGCTACAAATAACTTTACGCCGTATTAATTATAGCGAATCTTTATTGTAATTCACTTGCACACTTTACAATTATCGCCACTTGCAGTATTAGAGTTACTGGTTACACAATCCTTCGGCCAATACTTCTGTATCTCTTGGAGTCTAGGTTCCAAACTTCTTCAGCAGCATCTATTCCAAGACTGAATGAATTCAACCCCCTTTTATAACCTCGGCCGCTGCTATGCAAATGAGCCTTTGTCATAACCGCAGAAACGCTGCTTTGTTGATTCCGCGATTCCTACGCAACAACCCATTGTTATTGAGTTGTCTCTGTGGGAATGCTCCGTGTATTCGTCGTAACCTTGGAGATTCGATACAGTATCGCTATTGTTACTTCCTGTGCAACGGTCTGTTCTAGCGTTTCCATAGGGGTGACTCTTCTGAATTCCAAATTCCAATTCTGTTTTACAAAAGAAGCATGTTTTTACCTGTCACAGGTGTGACATCTATATAATAGGCATATAAAAACGCGCGTATTCGAATGCAACCTTGTGTCAAAATTTCGAAGCAATCGGTGAAGAACTTTCGGAGATTTCAGATCGGTAAGAAACAAACAGTTGCATTTTTATTTATATAGATTGTGAAAATTAAGAAAGAAACTGTGGGAACATCCCACATACTATCACGCTGTTTCTACAGCGCTCACTTTTCACCATCACGCGTGCTAGCCAATCACATTGCTGGCAGCACTCGTATTTAAACAACATTTGATGTCCAGCTCACATTTAGATCATAACGTGCTAGCCAATCAGCGCTCAGCAAATTTTCGCTCCTCCATCATGCTTTGTATAAAAAGGCGCAGCTCCAACCCAGCAGCATTGAGCCGCACTGAGACACATTCAGTCAGCAGCAGTGACAACACCAGCAAGCCAGCTATCACACTTCGCACTGAGCAATCAGTCTACGGAGTCATCAGCACTTCACTGCGCCAGGCACGGCTGCCTCGGCTCTCTGGCGGTCATGCTCGACTCACTGGGCAACTGGCTGCCTCGACTCGCCGGCGGTCATGCCTGACTCACTGGGCAACTGGCACAGCTGCCGCCACTCCAGCGACCGCGCTCCACAACCAGGCTTCATCCTGCAACCACGCTCTGCAGCCAGACTACCAACTTAGCTGCCGCAACACGCCACATCCGACTTCCAACTTCATTTCTACCGGCGTACGTAGCACTACTTCACCGGCCAAACCTCCCAGCAGCCAACAGTCCTTTTCAGGACCTACAAACTTTCTGAAGAAGTGGGTTGTCATTGGAGTAATGACAAATCCCCACAAAACAACTTCCTCTATGTTTCTCACTGTTCCTTTTTTTGTGCCCCCCCCTTAAAAAACATGCATACACACAATGACAGAAAGAGAAAAGACCTTGTCTTCAAAGTCTGAAAGGTATAGAAGCAATATACAAATTTTGAGGATGAGATACTATGCCATACAAATAAATGTGATGGGCATGCCATGGACACTGAGAGAGAAATACATGAAGGGTTGAAATGGAAAATATTAACTATCTTTTGTTATAAATTATCAGCTACCCAGCTTCTTCACTCACCAGCTTGCTGAAATGTCGTTTTCCTGATGTCCTTGCTAAGTTCAAAGCCAAACAGATAGTGTGCAAGGTTTGGAGAAGCATGGCCCAAGCACTGCTGTAGGAGTTTCAGAATGGCTTCCTTCGTCTTTCCCACAACACCTGTTTCCTCTCCTTCAATGTCATCTCCCTAGGAACAATTGCATAGATCATAACATTACATTTATGTGTTGTTTCCACGTAAAAGATCCATTCATACAAGCACTACACAACACCCTATAACATTAATTCAATACATATTGTCGCGTGTTGGGTATGTAACGCAACAAACGATTTCACACTGTCTTGGATGTAGTGAATTTAACGAACAGTCACTCGCACTTCCTGTTGTGCAATCCAAGCGTTCACAGAGCTGTCGCCTAGCAAAGCACCGATACGATCTGTAACTCTCACATTGCGCGCGTGCCCCAAGGCCTCTGTGGCTCAACAGTTCCTGCATAGAGCCAATGTGCCACAATATTTTTATCAACAATAGAAAATATTTTGACTTAAGAAGGGTGGAAGGGGAAATTTAGGATATTATTATTACAAACGTAGTAGTGGGTTCATAACATGTGTCAACTGCTGAGGGCGTTCATGCCTATCTACCAGTTACAATATGTGTGGTATACAGTGATTTATACAGACCACCCAGTACTGTCATGAGGGTAACACTGTTACACAAAATTATGTCATGTTTTCTTTAATCATATCTGACGTTCACACAATGGTAACTATGAGTACCACCCACCTTCTGGAAAATAATGACACGTAGTCTGGCATATTTTTATGAGAGACATGCTGTCTCTATATTCAGGGTGGTCAATAAGAGAGTTAGAACACTTCCTAAACATAGTCTTTAAGCTTCAATAGTCAGCTAGTAAGGATTTTCATCAAAAACATTAAATTAACAGTTTAATTTACCACAGCTTCATGGACAACCAGAAGTACCGTACAGTACTGACAATGGCTCATGAAGCCAAAAAGCATATATCAACACAAAAATAAAACTATAGTTCTAATGTGGTAATATGAATGTTTATTTACAAAGTTATATACAATTGTGGAATGGCACTATTTAAACTTCAAGTTTCAACAAGTAGTATTTATCACAACTTACAGAAATAACTTCATCATCATCTGCTTCAAGGCATTCTACAAAGCCATGACAAATCTCCATCCTGTTTAGTGGAGATGAGGTGAATGCACTAATAAGCTGGCTGTGTGATGTAGGGTACATGGTAACAGCCAGCAGTATCCTTACTGCAGACAGTGCATGACGAGGGAGCCATGCATTGTATGTTACATATCTACAAAATACAGGCATATATTAATACACAGCAAGGGATTCTGGGAGGAATACATGAAGGCTCTTTACTCATTAGCCATACATCTAGGAACGCTGAGAATCTGAATCTCTGATGGTGTCGCTATGTGAACAATTCCACAGCACTGGGGGACACCTTCATACACACAAAATACTAAACATCTAAAGTCTACTCTTACAAATACAAAACTGCCTGCGAGGGGAACATGAGTCAATAACAAGATAACCATTTACAAAACAATTAGTAACAGAATCTACAAGATAGAAGTTAGAAGGATCCCCACACGGCACGGCGGCCTTTGATTTGCTAACAACCATGACCTCAACAACAACATTAAACTATTTTTAGTTTTAGCTTAATTTTCAAGACTACTTTTAGAAACAAAGTTAGAACTAAATATATAATTTGATGAACTGTTTAATTTAATTACTCATTTAAAATGTTTTAATAACTTTTGAACCAATTTTAAGACACATTACATTAATAAATTTTCTAATACTAAACAATAAAATTCCTAATATAATATGCTTTCACTATTTTTAATTTTAGATAAGAACAGCACATTAATAGGATTTGTTCTCCAAAAGGTGCATTCACTATACTAATAATAATAATAATAACAACAACAACAACAACAACAACAACAACAACAACAACAACAACAACAGACTGTAAATTCTTCACAAAATACACCTCCGCAATAATNAAGACAACCCCATTCAAAAACTTAGCTTGTTTCTCTTGTTAACTTGCCTGATGATGACCTAGAGAAGGTTGAAACATGTAGTGTACATCCTCACATAATAAATAAACAATAGTGATACAGTAGTACCTGTTTTGTCTTCATCTTGAAGATACTTTTACGTTGGGTTGATGGCCCAATTTACAAGATTATTAAACACAAACAGTATGCAAAACCATAAAGATTAAAAAAAAAAATCGCTACATTTGACTGGCATTTTGCATACATTTTCTAAATTCTTCAATTCAATATCAGGACAGACTTGTACCTATAGGTATCAACACCTGACTGCACTTTGATATGGCTTCTTCTGTTTGTCTCATTTGCCTGCATTCTGTAAAGTCATTCCTGTATAATTAATTATGTTCATTACAACAACTTATTAGGAGTTTGAATAGCTCAGCTGGTATAGCAATGGGCTACTGGCTGGATGCCTGCAGTTCAAGTCCTGGCAGGGGCAATATTTTTCTCTTTTCTACAGTGTCTACACCAGTTCTGGGGCCCATCCAAGTCTCCTACATAATGGATAACAGGGGTCATTTCCTAGAGGGTAAAGCAGCAGAGGAGTGAAGCTGACTACTCACCTCCATCTAGTATTGAGGTCAAGAATGGTGGATCTATACCTCCACACCCTCATATATCTTCAAGGCATAATGCTTAATTAATCAAGTACAAAGCACAGGCAAAACTTTACCTTTTGATGCCAATTTCCTGATCATTTTAAAAACTGTTATTTTAGTCCTATACACATCAATCTTTAGACCCACATCTGCACTTATCAATGGAGTTTTAATACTCTGCGCGGTCCAATGACTGTAACTGAAGCCCATCAAAAATTGGTATTGTAACATCATCCATCCCCATACAAACAACAGCAAGTAATTTTATACTGCAAATAGACATGTTTAGACATGATAGTAATAATTAGAATAGTAATACATTATCTGCATCACACTGAGCTTTAGTAAAGGCATTACTGTATTACAAGATTGTGATTCATACAAAGTTTGGAACCAATGGAACAGAGCACTCATTAGCATCAGTGTGTGTGAAAAGAAAATTTAATCATATGCTGAATATTTTCACTGAAAGACTGGTAAATGTTTTCATTTACAATAAAAAGGCAAAGCTATCCATCCCTTTTACAGGCCGTAAAGGCCCATGGGGTTGTGGGACATCGAGGCTCCCATATTTTCTAGACAACCGGCTCACAGCCTTATGCACCAGCTGCCCTTTAACCACCAAGAAGTTTCCTGATACTCATTTCTGTTAGAGGCTGAGTCAACACCATGGCCACAGGGTGGCTGGAAGGATTAGGTCAACTGAAAAAATCCAGTGGCTTCATTGGGAATTCAACTCGTGACCTTCTGGCTTGTAGAAGAGTGCCTCAACCAACTATGCTACCACGTGCCCCTTTTCAGCTACAATGGAGTATCATTTAATGTTTTCCTCAGTTTAGTGTTCAAATCCATTATCTCCCCCCCTCCAAAAAAAAAAAAAAAACACTTTACAGGGATTTCACTGTACACTACCTATATTTGAGCTTACTCACTTTGCCACATTCAGAAGGTGATCTGGTTTGCCACTACGAGGATTGACACCAAGAAGAAGTTTGTTGAGTCCGGAAAGAAGCAGTGAGCAACCTGATTTACTTAAAAAGCTGAAGAACTTCTGCTGATGTGCTAAGGCTCTGTCCAGCAAATCCAGGCAGCTAAGCATGCTGTCCTCCAGTGACTCTTTACCAGGAAATATTGAATATGTGTCCAAAAGGTGACTTCCCTCATCCACCAGGAACAGCACCTGCACAAAAATAAGTGGAAACTCTGGCAGACTTTGAATGTAAATATAGACAAAGAAAATCTCATAATGTGGCTGCATAATTTGCATAATTCACATTTTTAAAACAATCAAATTAAGGGAGATGGAATATACAGGATATGTAGTACATATGAGACAAATTACAAAATATGCAGAATTTCTGGGGGAAAATCTCAAGTGAAAGGACTGCATGGATGCCCTAAACAAGAAGTGAAGGACAATACTGAAATGCATCTTAGAATAACAGGGAGCTGAAAACATTTCTGTAATTGTGCTACATGTTGATGTTCAAGCATGAAGCTGGTAGCAACCAGAGCTCTGCTTGATGCTGGTTTCTTGCTTGCCTTATTCTTCAACTCTGAAGATGGAGGTGTGTCCTTTTGAAATGTTGGCACTTTCAACAGACTACATGGTATTACATCTCAGAAGATAGCTTTTCATAATTGCTGCTGTAAGAACCTCAAATCCTACATAAAATTTGTTTTAATAACACTGAACCAACTTGTTATATACCTTTGATATGCAAATTGAATACAATTTAGTATTCAGTTGTTGAATTCAGGGGAAATTAATTCTGTACTAATATAAATACAGTATATGCTAAAGGAATCTTGGATATGAAGTAAAAAGTATGACAAAGTTCAGAACTGATAATCCGTAAACAGCTTATCTTTCACATCAGCAACAGCAACAGCAACAACATAAGCAGAAGCAGCAGCAGCAACAACAGCACAAATAACAATTGATTTTCCTTACCTCCTTGCAAGCTGAAACTGAAATATGAGTTGCAATGAAGTAATAATTTCTGTCCCCTAATTCAGTGTAAACATTTATAATAACCCACCGGGAAATTACAGCTTCTCTGAATAGCAGATAAGCTATTTGCTGCATCTCACACCTCACTTGCTCAGTTAGGTACTGGGTTTGCTGTCTTGGCTAAGATCAAAGTGTGGTATCCACTTAATTTAGTTCAAGGTGTAGTCCTATATAAACCTGAGTAGCATTCAACATAACTGTATACTATAACACACTAACTTACCAGTCTCAGCAGTTCTGACTTGTTGTTAAGATGGACCATAATATGGTAACCTGGGTGAGGATTCACTTGAGCAGTACCACCACTCTGCAGCTCTACGCGACTGCCCACAAAATCCTCAGCTCGGGGCTCATACTGTGACAGGAACTTGGCCATCAGCCTGAGGCAGCTTTTAGCAACAACCCACTGGTAAGATTACAAATGTGTTATTTATGCTTATATTACTTAATGACACTGTTGCTACTGCAATAATGCAGGGTGAATCGTATAGAACCGGCCCGATGAATTTGCTAATAATTCCGCAGGTGATGCATATAACCGCTCACAATTATGACATAATAATCTGTGGGCCGTGCTGAGTCGAATGGTGTGCGCATGATCCGGCAAGTGGCAGCCCTTATGCTGCAAGGTCAAGGACAATCCCGAAACGTGTCTGCAGTGCGCAGGCGACAGTCATGGAGTACACTGTTGAACAGTGAGTGTTTCTAGTGCCTACTTGAAAACGGCGGACACTTTCAACACCTGCTCTGATCACGGCACACAATCCAAGATAAGATATGTGTAAATTACTTTAATATCTGTATGGTATATTTTATATTACAGCTCATTTCGTCGAGCCAGTTCTATATGAATCACCCTGTAGTATACAGCTGGAAAGATCATGAATGACAAGGATTTGGAAGGAGGTGTTCATTACCTACCTGAAGGTATGTAAAGTCCTGGTTATCAGGCTTACAAGCATTCCACTAGCAAAAACATCAAAGAGAATTTACAATTTCTATAAAGACATTCAAGAACAAACATGTGATATGTATATGTTCACCTGTTATATGGTAGTTCTCTCAGCCATCACTAGCAGAGTTACCTATTGTCCTACCACATGAAGGTGCTGCAGTAGACAGATGAATCTGTCATTATGTTACATATATACATACAAAATCTTTCACCCATGAATCCACTATGTTGCTTAGCAAGCTCCAGACATAAGAACTAAAGAAAAAATACGTTTTGATTTGTAAGGGTTTGTGTACAAGCATTTCCCATACAACTGGCACTCCTCATTCTTCACACATGCTGGATAACAGGGAATTTACTGCAACATCCTAGCATATCCATGAAGAGAACTAGGAAGAAAAAAAGGGGATTCATCTTAAAATGCTATTAATATGATTAGAAACTGTACATACCCACAGAACTTTGATAATTTTGAACTCAAAGTGCAAAAAATCACATAATGGATCACATGAATACAGATTCCCTCTCATCACAGACACATTTTTTTTCTACTGACTGAGGAGGTTGGTATAGAAGTAACACTTATTGCATTCTGGAAGTGTTAAGCAAAAATATTGGCCACGAGACAGACTCTCCTGATAGAGGTACAATGCAGGTCCTCAGCCCCTCTGGGCAAATGTCAAGAAAATGCCATTTCCTTAAAAATTCATTCCAATTTATTATTTACCAATCATCCTACCATTTAATGCTATATAGTCCGAGTGACTCTAACAGCTCTTTGCCATGCAGTCTGTGGGAGAATGAAGGGCACCATGCCAGAAGCCACTTATAGTCATTCTGTTGCCCCTTCTCTGCTATAGCCACATGTGTCTCACTGCTTCAGTGGTTGTAGAACTCACTGATGCTGGCTTTATCTGCATCTTCTTCCCTTTCACAGATGTTGAAGTGACTGGTAGGAAGGCTGAAAGGCTTGTTATGGGAGCAGTAGTCACAAGGTGAGGTGTAGGCTGCTTTCTGGTAGGGGTAGGTAGTGAGATGGCTAGCTCAGGGTTGGGTCTGGAAGAACAGGAGATCTGTCCCTGGGTCTTAATGGGTCTTGCTCTAGCAGGGCTGGAGGAATATTTTAGCACACACTTGCACAAGATAACAAGAATGATTGGCACTGAACTGTGATTTATCAAGCAGCACTGGCAGTGGATTACACTGATATATCACCAACTGCAATTCCACTTTAATAATGTTGAACACTTCATGGAAGTTTAAGTTGAATTTATGGTCCATTTTTGCACTATGATCTCCTAATGATTTAGTATAAACACTCATCTAATATGGTCATTTAGAATTTCTGAGGAGCACAGGTTTTTCATCCAATGTTTTGGAAGGAATCATAGTCCTTTGGGAAATGCCTCTGTTCTGATGCGGTGAGCTATTCAGAGACCCCAGTTTCCCTCTAAGAAGCCTCCCCTAAACCTGTCTTATTGGTCTAATTTAAAATTTATTGAACTGAACACATCGTGTGAATGATACCTTACACCTCCATTTGTACATTGCAGCTGCTTGTTGGCATGAAATGAGTAAGCTGTGGAAGTTACGATGGCACTTGCAACGAACAGTACTGCCTTCCTTATAAAAAATATGTGGCACACTATTTAGAACCCTGTAAATAATATGGTATGTACTCCTTTTCTTTATTTAGAGAAAAGTGTGTAGGGTATATGAGAAAATATGGTCAGAATGATCTGGTATATTTCACTAGAAAATATATACTTTCCAGATGCTTTTTTTTGTGATTTTGTATACATTACTGGCTTTGACATTCATTTACTATGGCACTCAAAATGTATATTGCAGTCTTCTGGGTTAGGACATTACATAGCCTGGTCTGTGGTTACTAGTATTTCTGAAGACAGAGGCAGCAATTTCCTACACGATGTAAGTAACCATCTGTCAGACTACACAGTGCCATAGCACTGAAGACTTCAGTCTATGTAATCCTACAACAGGCATCATAGGGCAGTAAGAAATTATTTTACCTTGCATTTCAGTAAGTACTCACCACACTGAGAAATATTTCATGAAAATATTGTAGATATTAATGTGATCTGTATTTTTGGTAACATAATAATGCTCTGTATGTATACAATTTTGTGTTAACTGATGTAATTCAAACTGAATTTCAAATAAAGTTGAATTTATGTTGCATTGATGTGAACCGAAACTAAATACGACAAACAACCTGCACAACCCCATTACCAAATTGCAATGAATCTCATCAATAGATGAACTATGAATACACAAACTGATAGCACAATACTCCCTCTAAGTTCACTTCAAGTGCTTTGTGCAAAGAGTATAAAAACTGATATATGACAAGGTAATTTGTATTAACCTTTAAACACCAAACTTTTGAAATGGTAGTAAGCTTGAGCTGGCCGGAGTTTATTTAAATGCCCGCTGCTGGTGCACATTTAAATGCCCATTGATGCTCTGCGTTTAAATGTCAGTTCCTGTTAGGGCGCTTAAACAGTTTTAAGCATTGTGTTTAAAAATGCTGTATCTAACATAATATTTATAATAAATGGATGGAATTAACTTTGTTTGAATCAGCAAAGAACATAATGTCACATATTATAATGGATGATTTGAAAATTTCTGTACAAAGAATTATTCTCTTTTTTTAAATTTTTTCTTTTAATGTTGATACGTACTGCAAGAATAATTTCCCAGTTCTTCACAAAATTGGTCTGCATTATAAATTAATTTCCGTTTGTAACACTTGACAAATTTTAGCAGACCCTGGTGCCATAAAACAGATGGAAGCAATAAAATCATTTGGTTCTCTGCTGGGAAACCTTCATTCATTCATTCATTATTAGAGGGGGTGGGTTTCCCCATGCACCGCGACCAGTTGTTGATCTATTGTACGTCTCCCTTTGATATTCTAGCAGTCGCCATACCCTTCCGATACTGGTGCTTGCTATCAGCCCTGTTCAGCCAACGAGTTCGGCTCCTCTCCTGGCAGAGATACCCGATACTTCCCCCATTTACCAAAGGCATTGGAAACTACTTGGGCAGGAAACTTTTTACCTAATTTTGCTCAGAGGTCTCCTAGAGACATGAGGATCTTTTATGTGCTGTAAATCTACGACACAGGACCCACAGCTTAAATTCCCTCCCAGAGGACTTGTTCCCTGAATTTTTCTGCCCTTAAAAATTCCACGACCTCCGCTGGGTTTGAACCCATGTATCTTGAGACATGAGGTGGGAACGTTACCCCTAGACTACGGAGGCCGCTTGCTGGGAAACCTTACATCTTGTTACACCCTTCAGATTTTCGAATCTTTTGACTGAAGGACAGAAGAATGAAAGAATGGCTATTCAAGAAAAAGAGCTAGAGGGGTCCCTTCTTCAGTACTAAGACCTTCCGTTATAGCTGCAAGAGACTATTGCCCTTCCTAGGGTAATGAAGACAGTTGTATCGTGGCTTAGATACAGAGTGCGGTCTGTTTTCTGTGCGTTCATAGTGACATCGAATTCTGTAGTTTCATGTCAGTCTATATATACATCAAGCAGATAACAACAAAAAAGGTATGTACATCAAATTTTACTGTATATTTTTAACACATTAATCTGCAGAATCTGCAATAAAAGTACTGGCTCGTGGATAAGTGTGGGCATAACTCATACGTATATTGTTTTTTGCTGCTGTTCACTTAGGCATCATTTTAATTCCTCTATTAGGGTTTTACTGAAGTCTGTCTGGTAATTACTACATATAAAAATTAATATTTAGGACTGTGCATGCGCTTCTACTAGCGGCGTGTGCGCGCGCTTCCACTAGCGGAGTTTAAATGCCTGACTGGCCAAAACGACTATACTCATCACTGGCACAAACGGGGCACTTTGGACGTTAAAGGTTAAGAAATATGAATGGACTCAAAACTGAACACGTTAGCCTCTAAACTTCAATACATTTATGTTCTGAAAATATAATAATTGTAACATGGTAACCTATAAATTATTGACATTTAACATGCAACAAAGTGTGCATCACTGCACCTGTATGGCATTATTAAAAATCGACATTGTTTCCCATAAATTTCAAGGCGCGAAGGTATGCTACAGTGTGTCCTGTCTACTGCCTACACCTTCATGTGGTGCAAACAAGCCTCTGGTAACTGAGTCATGGCAATATAACCATTTATCTATAGCAAAGGAAATTTCATTATTCAGTGCCAAAAGACAAAGTTGTGACAAGTATAACTATTATATCTGGTGTGATGGAAAAGACGCTATTAAAACTCAAGTTAATTTTAGAAGTGGGCGTTCACAGTGATGACTTTTCCAAAGTGTGGACATTTCATCAGTTGTATATTCTCTGAAAGAAGTGTTTGTATCTGCCATCTCGGGAATTTCTACTGCTACCGCTATAGTTTAACTGGGAAGTTTAAATTTTAGGCTCTGGTTTCAGCATTTAAAGATTCCAAAAGTTATGAATAACCAGTAGGACTGATTTTACTTTAAACTCTTTAACTAAACTATAAATTACAGTTCTTCCTCTGCAGCTATCCCTTAATTAGAGTATATATTTGAAGTTGATAACTGTATCCACACCAATCAAATTCTGCTGGACTAGTATGAACACAGGACGCCACTAACCTTCTCATCTGGGTTCTTATACGAACGTGTGTTAAAACGGAGAAAAACAGAGTTGATGACAAAGTTCAGGTATGGGTCAAAGCCTGGTGTTCGGGTGCCTACACCCAATAACCTTGGAACTGGAACATCTGTCAGTACATCTAGCAGATGCAACAAGGCCCTGGTGAGGGGGAACTCCTCATTGCGGGATTCGACCTCTTCCAACTCTGTCTGTAAACAACATTTAAATTAAAAAAACTACATTATTAAAAAATAACTATACTTAAGGATGTCAAAATCTTAAGATTAACTGAAAAATTGGACAATTTCATACATGGCACTGACAATCCTTGACACTATATATAGCGAGGGATCCAAATTCTGGGGTTCACTTCAGTGGTGTACTGGCAATGATAACCTTTAGTGTAATGTTTATTCTTTATATTATAAATACGATGACGAGTCAGTAAATAGGTCACAAATCTAAATAAAACAGCTGTAGTGGAAGTAATAGGTTTTGTATGTGCATCACTAGGTAGCAGCACAGTCTAGCTTCACAAAAGTCTAGGTAGCAGAGGTGCATGTGCATGTTCAGAGGCTGGTTTCAGTAGTCAAAATGGTGACTGTGCTTGAAGAGTGTATTACCAAAGAGCAGCATACTGGTTGCTTTCTTTTTTTGTGGGAAAAAGAACTCGATACAAGGAACATTCATAAAGAAACGTTTCCTTTTTGAGATGGAAAGTTTTTGTCACATAAAGCAGTTCACAACTGGGTTGAGAAATTCTCTCAAGGACATTCAGAAGTCGTAGACGATACCCCACAATGTCACCCTGTTGAGACTGTGACAGAAACAATTGTGCAGCAGGTGGAACAGTTGATTCGATCTGATAGGAGGATAACAATAGACAGCGTCACAATTGCACTAGGGTGTTCCCATGGTTTAGCATATAGCATAATGCATGATTGTTTGAAGTCTTGGAAAATGTGGCCACAGTGGGTGCCCAGAAAACTGAAGGATCAAGAAAAAATGAACTGAATGGGTCTGTCATTGCAACATCTCTTGTGAAATGCTTAACAGGACTGTTACTGGGGACAAATCATGGATGCATCACTACCAACCTGAATCAAAGCATGCTTCAATGCAATGGAAACATCTCAGTTCACCTTGAACAAAAATGTTAGTTACTCATATGCCATCAGCTAGGAAGGTCATGCTTACTGTGTTTTGGGATTCTCAGGGAGTACTGTTAGCCCATTTTGAGAAGCATGGTGAAAACGTTAATTCTGCATTGTATGAATACTGTGAACTTCTGTTAAGCTTTGGGATGCAATTTACAGAAAACGTCCAGGCCAACTGGTAAGAGGGGTATTGCTTCATCATGACAATGCCAGACCCCATACAGCTCGAGCAACCCAGGAAAGAATTCAAGAACTATGGTGGGAATGTCTTGAACAGCTACCTTACACCCCAGACTGGGCCACTAGTGACTTCCATCAGTTTGGTCTGCTAAAATACCACCTTGGTGATAAGCATTTTGTTGATGACAAATGGGTTGATATAGAGATACAAAAGTGGTTGAGGCAACAGTCAAAAGACATCTATGCTGTGGGTTTTGATGCACTGGTAAAGTGATGAGACAAGTGCAGTGCATCAAAGCTGGTGGATGATATGTCAAGAAATATGTATTTTCCCAGGTTCAAATATCACATGTTTTACATGTTATATCCATTTGTGACCTATTTACTAACTCTCCCTTGTAGATGAACTCACACAAACATATGAACAAAGTCAGTACATATTCTGTGCAATGTGCTATGAAAAAGAAGTTCTGGGAAAACTAACTACTTTCCTTTCACTGCATATTGAGTATTTTACATTATACGGACTGCATAGAAAACACCATGTCCAACAGTCCTTATACTGAACCATGTGTATTTGTTGCCACTTAATGTGTTTGCTGAGCTGTTGCATAGCAACGTTAGGGAGGGAGGATGCAGAGACAGCAAGGTGATACCATAAGTCTGATTTCATTTGGGTGGGAAGAGGAAGGAAGTTGGCTAAAAAGGTAACAGCCAACTGAACTTCAACTGAGAAGTGCCAAGTTATTAGCCACCAAAACACAAGCTGCAGAGCTTCCTTTGTGATGCTCTGCTGCAAGACATTTTTAATACAAAGTGACACTTCTAACTTGAGTTTATATACAGAGATCTGATCTTTCATTTAATACGTGTATTAATCCACCTGTACCAAAATTCAGGATCATTAAAAAGTGTAACATTTGAACATTTTTTAAGATTTTGTATCCTTATTATATATAGCAAAATTTCCTTCAATGCAGATTTGATAACAAGCATGAGAAGAATGTGAACTATTATTTTCTGAACATGGAAAATTCAATTATTAATTATTTCAGCACTAAATTTCCTCCAGTTATGGTTATTCTCAGCTGTGTTCGAATTTGCTGTCCAGTTAAACAAATAATTATGGACTGCACTGTTATAATCTGCACATAGAGGCATCTCACAGACATACATTTGGAAAAATTATTTCTTCACTCACCTGAATACCCCGTGGTTGATAGCTACTTGTGCTTGGCACTGTAGTTAGTATCTGTGATGCCTCTAGGTTGTGCCACAAGGTTGCAGCAGTGCTTGCAGCTCTGGAAAGAGCTGCAAGTGTTAGGAGCAACTCTGCCTTCAGTGGAATGGGAACAGAGCAGCTGACCAAGCCTAACAGAACAGTGAGAGGGGCCCAGTTTGGGTTGTCACACAGTGCAACACGAGCCATCTCATCGTTTTCTGAAACAATGGGGCACTATTACTTATATGCACTATGATACAATCAGTAAATTACTGAGTTTTTTCTCTTTTCAGTGTTGAAGTAATTGTCAAAAATAAATCTATCATGGCACACGGTAAAATCACATGATGTATGGAAACTTTCCTCAACTTTTTCACCAGTTGAACTCCAAAAGAGTGAAAAGATCAAGGGGAAGTATGCATGTGTGCATCTCAAATTTTCAAGATCAAATCAAAAAGAGAAAAATCTTCATTTATACTTGAATGTTGATTTTTCTGTCTCAAATTTTGAAAATTTTCAGAAAATGTTTTCACTTTACAAAAACTGCCTGATCCACCACATTCATAATGGTCTCTAATGCTGGCATGAGACAGCCTGTCAACATAGCTTGGCTCTCCCTCACCATTTCTACCATGAGCTTCTTTTAAATACAATGAGTTATAATAATTTTTCATTCAAAAAGGGTCTAATATCAAAAGCGATAAGTAACATACTTCAGTGGATTGTAAAAAAGTACACAGCAATATGCACTATGCTTGCAGAGGAAAAAGAAAATTTTTGTTCTTGTCTAAGTTCTCAGAAATGTTTCCAAATTCTCATCTTGGATAGAAACTCATTTTTAAACATTCCTAAGGAAAGAATTCATCAAAACAGAGCTATCAGAAAAGGAAGATTTTTATACATACATAAAACATGAGAAAGAGCTGTGATACGAAAGCCAGAAGAGACAGCAATTGCTAAGCAATAGCACAGTAAAGGCCGTGCCATAGCTCAAGCGGTCAGTCGCTAGCTTCCCACCGCAGCGGCCTGGGTTCGATCCCGGGTCTGGTCAAGTGGGATTTCTGGTGGACAAAGTGGCGCTGGGGCAGGTTTTCTCCGAGTACTTCAGTTTCCCTTGCCATTCTTCATTCCACCAAATTCTCCATCATCATAATCACCTGGGGCAGGTACAATCGGCCAATCGGCGGCCGCCGTGCTGAGTGGACCCAGCTGGACTCCACCCCCCACTAGTGAATTAATGGCACAATAAACATGCAATGACATCATTAAACAAAGCACCACTGTTACATAATAGCCAATAAACATGCGATGACATCAGTAAACGACTTCGAGATGATACTTCCTGTGTCAGTACAAGCTGAGGCTATATAGAAAGCACAAGTGAGACAAGTTACTTAGCTGAGAGTCGACAGTTGTGTTAATTAGTTGTGAGGTAGTCACCAGCTAGTAACGTGAGCAGAAGAGGTCACTGCTGGGACTCATTAAAAGGCAATGGCTATTGAAGACTCAGGAGACTTAGCATGAGTTGTGGTATGAAGCAGAATGCACAAATTAAGAGACCATTATAATTATTTGTAGTTACAAGTTATAAGCCTTCAATAAATCCAATTACCAATCCAAAGACCATGTCTAGTCACTAATGCGTGATAGCAGGTGTTGTCAGTGCAACTGCTAAACTACACTTGCTTCATGTATGGTTGTTCAAAGAATCCACACTTACCAGCACAATACCTAACTGATTTTCAAAAGAGATATGCTCCTGCATAGTTGTTTATTAGGTGAAAATTCACTGGACAAAAATTAATTTTTCATTTCTTTAAAGGTAATATTTAGAGTTACTGTGGCCTGAGATAATACATACACATTTAAATAACAGTAAGAGAAAGTAACTTTGAGTCTCAAGTATGAGCACATACAGTCTCCAACATCATCCTAACAATGCCAAACAGAATCAGGTACAGCTGATTTGCACACTTCAAAATTAGCATTATGAATAAACCTAATTCACAGACATCTGAAAATCAAGATGTATAATGTGACTGAAACAAATTGGTAAGTCAGTCACTTTGATGCATATTTTTATAGCATCAGACACTGACAAAGAATGACATTCTGTTGAAGTTTCAAAAGAAAAAAGTTTCTTTGTACATAATACAGTACATATATTTTGTGCTCCTCACACAAAGTGAACTTATTAAGGTGAGGCTGGGTTCTTTCATACATTATATCTATATTATAGAAATGATATTTAGTAAATTTTTTACTGGGTGCCTACATTACAAAACATAAATTTAATTTAATTCATATCAGTCCAATATAATTCCTACTTGATATGAAGTTAACTCAATCTTTATCAGTTTTCTAAAATATGGCTAATTATAATGAAAGAAATAAATACACTATAAAATACAGATCTTAGGAACATCTCAAACTCAATTTAAAATATGGTGAATACTTAAATGACACACATGGAAAAATAATTTCTAACCTTATGCAGTGTGATATCTGTAAGTAGATTCTAAAGAGTTCTGACGATGGTGTAAACATTGAGAATTACTGGGTTTTGGGCTTTGTCCAGTGTTTAGTAAACATTTGGTCATCAACTTACAACCGGCTGCACTTACGACAACAAAAAAAAATGAAAAACAAAAGATGATTAAAATGTAAGTTTTTAAAAATAAATTATAAAGATTATAAAAAGATTAGAAAGGCTAAAAATACTGTTAATAAATATATGGCCGACATACGACCAGATCAACTTACAACCTGTCAGTCAGAATGGAAGTCGGTCGTAAGTCAACGACCAAGTGTACTAAAAACTAGAGAACACAATGTTTTTGGAAACTAGATCTGTTTCTGTCCCCAGGTGAGCAGGACACATCTACTCTGTTGGGTCCATTAGAAAGAGTTAACCTCGATCACTGGTCAGTCAACATTGTGTTTTCCAGGTTTTAGAATACCGGATGATGGACGAAGTCTGAAAACCCAGTAATTCAAAGTGATATCTATAGCTCAGCAACAACATATCTGTCATTTTGGGGAATGGGAAAAGTTAATGACTGCAAAACAGCAAAGAATGCACAAGGAAAATAAGGGCACTCCATCGCTTCCAGTCTTACATATTTCAAAGTTTTAAATTTTAGAAGCATTTCTTTAAAGATGTCATTTTGAAATCACAGCAATATAAAAATTATTTGCATTTTCTTATTATTATTTGTGGCCCAGATGCAATGTAAGTGACAAACAAGCATAATTATCACCTGCTACAGCCCGGACCACTGCCAAGACAGCCTGAAGACCCTGGATCTCCTGAGGAGTGATGCCTCGTGGGTAGTTCCTATGTCTGTACACAGTGTCTGTAGCTGGGGGCAGCTCCTGACGTAAATTACTGTAATACCTATGAGCAACGGATATATTTACTTCTGCATGTGTGTCGTAAATTATTCAATAAAGTTGTACTACGTGAACATGCTATGTAGTACTATGATGTGACATGATAGCTAAAAGCCAGAATAGTGGAGCCAGAGTAGAAGTTATTGCTAGGTAACAACTCCATAAACAGGTCCGCATGGAAATGAACATGCACACAACAACAGATCTAACGTTTCTATGTATTGGCAAGGTAAACACACCTCTATAATATATGAATTGTTAGGAAATGGTGTTTTCTGTTGGGTCCCTCCTGAGGCTATATAATCAGGATGTCAGGCCAGCTGAGACAATAACTGAGGGAGTCTATTGAGTCAGTAGTCGAAGATGATTGAGAAGAGATGGTAACGAGATAGTTGGTGTTGCAGCAGAGAATTGGATTGAAAGTTCCAGAGTTGGCAGTTGATGGAGGAATTGAAAGAGTTCAGTTGGGAGTTGAAAGCCCGGCAGTGAAGAGAAGTCTTTATGTGTACTGTAGTACAGTGATATCTGGAGAGTGTGATTCAGTGAGATCATTATAGTTCTTGTGTTAAAATCCGTTGCCAGGAAATGGATAGTGGAGACTGTAATGGACTTATGACACCAGCAGAGATTAGCAGTAGCACTGTTAATTGCCTGTAGTCCCAAGTGGTGTGTATAAGGTGTCAATAAACCCAAGTATCCAATCAATACCCCGTCTAATAGTCACACACCTTCAATACGTGACAATGTGATATGAATGAGAATATAGTCTGAAATGAAAACTGTAGATGTTTAACATTTTTATGTAGTCAAATTACATCTTTAAATTTTTAAGAAAAAATTATATTCCCATTTCACAGACACCACTACCAAGTTTACTCCATAATGTATTCAGTTTTCTGCCACATTCCCCATTCTGGCGAAAAACAGAGATGTCATATACATTAATCTTAATCAATTCAGAATCTTATCTAGTTTCCAAACAATGAAGCAATATTCCTCTTTGGACTATTGATAGGCTCTTATTGCAAAGAAAAGTACAGTAAAACTTGGTTATAGCAACATCGGTTTCTGCGACACCTTGTCTATTGCGTCAAATATTCAATGGTACAAACTAATTCCACATAAAGCAACTGTTTTTATACCTTGCTTAGTACGACATGCACAAATGCATCAACCTCGTATGTAACGTCATTTTCATTCCTGAATTTCTCTGATATCGTGGGAAAGTTCGATGTGTCTGCCCACCCTCACTTTCTCTACTTGCTGATGTGACTGTCCTGGAAGAATACGACCGCGGGCTGCAAGAGGAGCGTGGGTTTTATACAAAAACAAGGGTGTGGGGTGGGACTGCGTGAATAGTGCAAGAGGACGCAGCAGGTTGTTAACTGCATTCCTTTCCTAGAATCTCGTCTAACAGGACCTCACATTGTCTGCTTACCCTATAGTGTTCCTGCCTAAACCCAGAGAAGTGCAGTAGCGAAAACATGGCAATGAAAAGGAAAGTTTTAAGCATTGAAGAGAAAGTTAAAGTGATTCGTGAAATATCGTGTGTACTGTCAGTGAAAAGCGCTGTAATATGTCTTTGATATTACACATTTGGTCAATTCCACGTTAATGTTACGTTAGTCTGTACTTAACTATGTATTTCACTAAAAAATGCAACATTTTAACTCGGTTTTGGTAGATTTTTACGTGACTAACATAAGGCTACTGTGGAAGTGCCCATTTTGGTTACAACGACATTCGTTTATAACGACACTATTTTTAGGTCCCTTTGATGACGTTATAACCAAGTTCTACTGTACTTGTAAAATGCCAACAAGAATACATACCTACAACAGACATATTAAGTGGTCCTCATAAGCTGGATACAAAGTCCAGAAGAGGATATTCTGCACAACAGAATCCCTATTTCATGTTTAACAACATGTTTCTTTGCCATTTAAAATTAATTTCTGTATTTCCAGCTTAATCACCTACGTCAAGTTCCTACCATGTATGGTTTTCCTTTTTTTTGGTCAAAACCATTGCCCCAACACAAGCATTAAATGGAGGTTCAAGTGTAAATGAATAATACATTTATAATGAGGGGAAAAATGTCTTGGAAAGCAGCATCTTGAAAGACAGAGAGAAAGACTGAATAACATAATGTGTTGATGTAGAGGGGAGGATTTAAAGGAGAAATTTATGGCAGTAGTTCTGAACCATCGTGACCTAAATCAAAGAGTTGTTTAGTTTAGATAAATACACTGCTACTGTATCTCATATCACTAGAATATTTGTGCAGACATCTTCCAAAATGTTTAATATGATGAAGATTTATGCATGTCTTAGAATAGTTACCTGTAAGACCAATGAATAAATATTTATGGGGTACCTGTTCAGTGACTGGAAGAAATGATCCCAAGAGACATTCACCGAATTTCCTAGAACATTTTGCTTCAGCAGATTGAAAGCATGCCGAGCAGCCTGTGGGTGTGATGCGAGGCTGCACAACATCTTCATGTATGGCACAAAGAGTAATGGTGGCAACAGATCAGCACACCCACTTACAAACTTGGACAGAGATGTCTGCAGCAAGAAAAGAAAAGAAAAAAAAAACAACTGTCATTTCAATGAGCCCTGCATGGAGAACAAGTATCCAGCACCTGGAAACCTGTGCATAAAATCCTGATGCTGATAGTATTGTGGGGATATGATGAACCAATTTTACATAGTTCACAAGTTTGCATGGCCACCCTTGTTTGTACAGAAGAGGTGCTTCCAATGGCACACTGCTTACACCAAGTTTCACAAAATTGGGCCAATTTGTGCCTATAATACTGATGCCTAAAAGTGAACCAGAAGACCAACATATGGACATATGAAGGTTGTTAAAAGAATCCCAAATAAAGAAAATTCCTTCTTCAGAAAGCCAAAAAAGTTCCATTCTGGTAGCAGTTGCATTTATAATGGGCAAAAACGGTCATTCCAGGAGCATTACAATGAAAGAACAGAAGCAGCACATGAAAAAATAACCACAGAATTTTGGTGTGCCTATCTACAGACACACACACACACACACACATATATATATATATGAAACCATCTGGTGTTTTAAATTCTAAATTATCTCTACTTAAAATTTATTAAATTATTCTCAAACTTTGCATTCAACTTTATAGGTCCTCTACAATGCTAGCAACAATTCATAATGGCAGCAGACCTGTCTGGATGATGAGTGAAAGTGGTATGATGTGGATCCAGCTGAAGTTGGAGGCAAGACAACAGATGAATTCCAATAATCCAATACTAAATCCAAGTTCAAACGCTCAGTGGTGTGGGTGCACCTGTACAACTTAGCTATAGTAATAAGGAGATGTTCATAGTGCCGAGGAAGATGAGATGGTGGCTCCAATCCCTCCTGTTCAAAACAGTTCAAAAAATAATTTTCACACTATAATATGGAAATCTAACATACAGAGACTGAAACTTTATACTTGCATGAACACCACTTTACGTGTATTCTAGTGATCACTGTGCACGAGTGTCTCCAATATTATAGAGTGTGATATTCTATTTATAGGTCACCTATTGTAATTGAAGATTGTCATGGTTTTCAATGGTCATTCCTGACAACTGCCAGGTATATACCTTAAAACAGGCCACAATGACTTTGTTCTACATTCTTTCCAGTTCATTACAGGTGATAACGCTCCCTTCTGACTCTACATAAACATTTAAATAGGCCTACGTACTTTCAATTTAGCCTGAAACCTATGTCCAACATAAAAGAAAGATTGAAGGGGGTGGGGGGATCTTGCTGCATGAAGTCGTTCAAAACTCTACAAACCAAATGCAGTACAATATCCACAGATTACACTGACTGATGTTTTTAAACATTTAGGCTTTTAAGCAGTTGATGTTTCTAGGATGAGGTAAATTCTAACATTTTAGTCACACTGTGCTGTCAGCGAAGCAAGTGACAAAGAGAGACAGAAATATGTTTCAAGATCAGGATGCTAGCAGGGCCTTAGTCAAAAGGCTCTGGCTCCAGCATTGAGGACAGGGCTCTTTTGAAGAACCCTTGTAAAACTGGGGGTGCACAATGGACCTAGCAGTGGTCTGAGTGCTTGGGGTGATAAAAGTTCCCTCCCCATTTCAGTGATCAATACCAAATACCAGAAGCCTCTAACATGAAAAGCTTGCCCAAAGAACCAATGGCATCATGAATCAGTAGCTGTAACTTTGCAAGAAGAGATATTACAGCAAAGGTAACAAATTTGGGAATAGTGAAAGGCTAAATACGAGAAAGAAAGAACCGACTACTGTATAACATATTTCCAGATATTAATTATCTTTCATATGCTTGTAATAACTGTGTGAAATTAATACTAAATTGCACTTTATGTGCAGACATATTTCTTAGTGGGTGGCTGCCTTAGATTCGGAGTTGTTTTCCACTCAGGTAAATATGGTATTTGTGTATTGTTGTTTGCACAAACAGACCTTGAGGTCTATGCTTCATCTTGTCAATTTTGGGACAGAGCCAGCACAATCCTAAATGGCACCCCAGGAAATGAGAAAGTCCCTCCTTCCAAACAGAAGTGGCTCAGATTTCTCAAAATAATTTATGACATAAAATTCCCAGGTACTGCAGTACTGATGAAAGCTTAAATGTTATATGCTCAGAATACTTCTCTTTATCTTGCACCACAGTTATGCTGCATATCTTACATGGGTGTAAACTTGCATGGTACGAGCAGTCTCATCTGCTCTGTTGCGAAGTTCTTTCAGCTTTAGAGGCATCAACACAATAAAGTCAGTCAACAAGCAATGCAGCCGTCTTATATAGAATTCCTGGAACACAAAACAAGTACACAGCAGCATTAAGTGAGAATACAAAAGCAAATTTTTTACTTTTCGTCTTCCATTAGATATAAAAAGATTTAACCACACTGCAAACAGATCTTTTCAGCTAACTACACTGCACTACCCTAAAAAATTTTGAAACTTTAGTCAATATAAACAACCTGGTAATTTAACTTGAAGGTGAATTTTATTGACATTATCATTGTGCTTCTTTCAGTTCCTGTTCTACGAGAACCTCAAATAAAACTTTGTAAAAGCCACATGTGAGGCAGGTCAGGATAATCAATCAAAGATTCAAATCTAGGACCTCCTGAACATAAAACAATGTTAATCACTTAACCACGATGTTCAGTAGTTCATGCTTCTGTTGTGATTGATATTACCATATTTCCTGGTGTATAGGATATGTAGTGGTTTAGGAAGGAGGATTAAAAAGTAAAGTAAAGATATCCCTGTAACAGGCCATGAAGGCCCTTAGGATTGTGAGATGTTGAGGTTCCCACATTTTCTAGATAATCGGCTCATAGATGGTGGTAAGGTTGTCAGCCTTACGCACTGGCCGCCCTTTACCCCCAAGAATATTCCTGGAACTCATTTTTGTTAGAGACTGAGTTGACCCCAGGGCCATAGAGCGGCTGGAAGGATTAGGTGAATTGAAAAAATCCACCTCAAGATTCGATCCCGTGACCTTCTAGCTTGTAGCACACTGCCTCAACCACCTATGCTACCGTGTGCCCCCTAGGAAGGAGGATCACAAATTTTAATTTCTAAAATATCGTTTTTTTTTTCTTCATTTTTCTTGCCTTCTCAGTTAATATATAATTGTGTATTTTCCTCAGAGAGGTGATACTGGGTTTTTGGCTCTTCTTGGTCCATTTCTGCAATACTAATATCTGTGGTGCATCTTGGCAGTAGTGCAATATTATTTCTTTCACCAGGTGCTGAATTTTCAAGTAATAATCCCAGCAACGATGCGTTTTCTTGTACCCAAAAAGCACAAACCCCAAAAGTTAACCGTGGTTCTATTAATCACCTCATTTTCATTACTACTTCCCTTGTATAAAATGCACTGTATTTTTAGGGCTATTAGAGGAGAAGGAGATATAACTTATATAATCAGGTGTATGGTATTTTCTGCTAGGTGCCTAGGTGATTTAATATCATTTACTTGTAATTAGAAGAAATAACGTGCATGCCTTGTGTTTAAAATAAGGAATGGTGAATCTATTTTAGTGCTAATGGAAGTAATAATTCAAACAAACTACATATCTGAATGATGTACTTAATAAGAAATGAGCTAAACCGAATATCATACCTCTTTATAAATGGCCTCATTCTCTAGAATTGTATGATGAAGAAAGTCAAACACTTTCAAGTCAATAGCTGCATCCACAAGCAAATCATCTTCATCAACAATACCTGGAATATTGGTAAGAAACAAAGTTAAATTTCCAAATTTGTAAGGGGCTATTTTCTACCAAAGAACCGCAGTCTGCCCTAATTTGATTTATTCATTCTTAACTGATGTGTATTATGTTCATGAAACAGGTTCCTCACAAAAGAAATTCATACATTTCTTACTGGAAACCAATACCTTAGCTCATGGAAGTACTGGTATATACAAACCCTGAAGTACTGAAAAGGTGAAAAGCAAGCCTTGGAGGATGGGTTAACATGACTGTTGCATACTAGTAGTCACAAATAACATTGGAAGCAAAATTAAAAATTAACTATTCAGGCAATAAGTATCTGTATTGTAACACAGCCAATATGATGCTCTTGTTCAACTTTACATGCTGACAAAATGACAGCCCCTTAAACATTTGACAGTGCAAGATAAGGGCTGTATTGCATATGTTTTAAGATCTCAAAGCATACTGCTGAGTGTTTCAAGAGTGTGAGCAGCAGTATAGGGACAATACCGTTTGAGTTGTGCTTTGTGCTCATTCTGAATCATCAGCCTCAGCCTATCAAGCAGCATCTCACTGAAATGCTAACCATAAATGATCACATCCCTTTCCTGATAATGCTCAAGGATTCCTGTTTGCAAATCTCAAATCAGTGCGAACTTCTGGCTGAAATCTGGACCTCTTTTTTCACATGGGGCATCAGACCTTCTTGTTCTGTACTCATTTAATATTTGCTCTCTGGCTAATAGTAAGGGATCTATGTTTAATCACCAATAATAATGCAACTCCTCGGGCAGATCCATGGCTAGCCTGCAAACGTTTGGCTACCTCATTAGAAATCTCTTGCCGGTTGTCGAGAACTAGCACATGAAGTTGTTCGGTGTCCCTTTCAGTGGTCAATCTGGACAGGCACTCTAATACTTTACCAGTGACACCAGTTTGGTCATTTCTAAACATGTCAATCTATCTGTGCTTTTCTATAGCCAAACATGGTCACCATATTGTGCTGATGATACATGATATATTTCCTCACCTCTGACACCTTCAGTCCCCAAATACATGTGGCAAGCAGAGTGGCCATGTTCATGCCACTAGTATTGGGAAAGAAGAGAACCTTGACGGTCAAATAAGACACTAGAGAAATAGGGCGTTTCCATCCTTATGGCTGTTTGCAGTCAGCAGCAGGGCCAATTGTAGAAAAAGATGTGAACATACTTTCCAGCTTACCTTCTCATGAACATGCATCTGGCAATACCTGCCAGAATTTGACCTGCTGGCCTACAGGTAAAATCATTAGATTCCTATGCTAAATGTCTCTGGTTTGAGACTGACCAAAACCAGCACATACTTTTCCACAAGCTTCCCTCTTACCTCACCTCTAACCAAAGGTAACATTTTGTGAATGTAAAAACACTAGATACCCATTTTATCTGTAGGTTATTTTGTATATACAAGGTGTGGCAATAAAGAACCCGGATTACTTTTATGACTCATTTCCGGCCACGTCATTGACGAAGAGGAGGGTAGGGCATTGACCCTTGGACTTCCCTCTACCGTCACACAAAGTTTCATTCACGTGCATCGGTTAGTCTGGCCGCGACCATTGTTAGAAGCGGATCGTGTTTCTGAGCTCCGTCGGAATAATGCTGAGTGCTAATGCAGAACAACGTGCTAACATCAAATTCCTCACAAAACTTGGAAAATCTGCCACTGAAACTTACAATTTGTTGACAGAAGTATATGGTGATCAGTGTCTATCTCGCACGCAAGTTTTCGAGTGGTTTAAGAAGTTTATGGAGGGTAGGAAAAACGTCGGGAACGATCCAAAATCGGGCCGTCCTCCCACTGCGAAAACTCCAGAGAATGTGGAGAAGGTCGCTAGAATTGTTCGAAGAGATCGTCGACTGAGCATTCGAGCAATTTCTGAACTTACGAACATCAATAAGGAAAGTGTTAGACAGATTTTGCACGACGATCTGGGCATGAAAAAGGTGTGTGCTAAAGTGGTGCCAAAAATCCTTACCCCCCAGCAAAAGGAACATCGAGTGAATTGCTGTGTTGACACTCTTGAAAACATTGAAAATGATCCTGATTTCTTCCAAAACGTAATTACGTGTGACGAAACTTGGATTCTTCAATATGATCCAGAGACTAAGCGACAATCCATGCATTGGAAGAGCCCCAAATCCCCTAGGAAGAAGAAAGCGCGCATGAGCAAGTCCAAATTCAAAGCAATGATGATTGTTTTTTTCGATATCCGGGGGGTAATCTACATTGATTGGGTGCCTGAAGGTCAGACTGTCAATCAGGTTTATTATAAAAATGTTTTGACGTACCTCCGTGAACGTGTGCGACGAAGGAGACCAGACATGTGGAAGAATGCCTCATGGGTTCTTCATCACGACAACGCGCCAGCACACAACGCGCTATCTGTGAAGAGGTATTTGGCAAAAAACAACATTCCAGTGATGGAACATCCACCGTATTCTCCGGACCTAGCACCGTGCGACTTTTTTCTCTTCCCAAAAATCAAGTCTGCGCTGAAAGGGACCAGGTTCGAGTCCGTGGATGCAGTGAAAGCAAAAGCGACGCAACTCTTGAAGAGCATAACACAAGATGACCTGCAGCACTGCTTCCAACAGTGGAAAATTCGCATGGAGCGGTGTAGGGATCGGGGAGGGGACTACATTGAAGGGGATAACATTTCGACTGTCTGATTTTTTTTTAATAAAGGGTTAGAGCATGAATCCGGTTTCTTTATTGCCACACCTTGTAATCAGGTAGCAGAGTCCTCCTAATGGGTGCTCCTACCTCTGGAATGGATTCCTTTATCATTAATGATACAGGCAGAGGCCAGGTAAGTTGAACATACAGTCAACTCTCGATTATCCGGGCTAATGGTGGGGATGGAAGTCACGGTTAATCGAAAACCCGGTTAAGCCAAATTTTATTATACGGGCTGGACGACTGTGAAGGGTCGGAGTTCGAGTCCCGGTAGGGTCAAGAATTTTAACTTCTCCAAATCGTCCAGACCGGCTCTGGGGTCCATCCAACCTCCTATCCAATGGGTACCGGGGGCTCTTTCCCCGGGGGTAAAGCGGCCGGGGCGTGAAGCTGACCACTCACCTCCAACTAGTGCCGAGGTCAAGAAAATTTGGATCTATACATCCACTCCCCCACACGCCTTAATGGCGTAGGGCTTAATTCGTTGAGCAGAGGAACAACTTTACCTTTTACCTTTTAATACCTTCATAATACTATAGACCTACCTGTATTTAAATTTATTCATCCTCATTTCTATGTCATCTCATGGCCTATTTAATACTTTCTTTACATTACACTCAGTATGAATTAGTTATTTCAATCACTGTTCAACAACATCCAGCACTTTTTACGGTCACACTTAACACTTAAAATAATTTAATACTGTCTTTTGCTTTTTCGCGGCATTTTCCTTTTTACGGATATCCGTACGAAGCCTACGTAATATTAGCTTGTCACTTAATAAACTGTCCTCTTCACTCTCAAGATAGTCTAGTAAGGATTCCAAATGATTAAGCGCAGCACCATGTGATACTTTCTTACTGGCAACACTGTCCACCTCTTCCTCATTCTCACTTTCTTCCCGCTCTTCTGGCTGCACCCCCATTGAAGTTACGATTTCGTCACTGCTTAACATTTCGAAGCCCGGTTCACACGAGTCACAGTTAAACCACTCTCTTATATTTTCCTCGTTGACTTCTTCACCACCATGAACTTGGTTAGCCACTTTTGTCAATTTTATGGCTATCTCATTTTCACTGAATCCAGTGAATCCATGGATTTCGTCATCTTCATTAGTGATGAAAGGCATCAGTTTCTTCCATGAATTTTTCAATACAGATGGCTTTACTGTATCCCACGCTGTTGAAATCTCGTATATGGCATCTAATACTGAAAAGGACTTCCAGAAACACGTCAGATCATTGCCTTCATCGATGTACTTTTGTAGCAAATTTGATCTGTAGATTCTCTTCATACTTGAGATAACTCCTTGATCCATTGGTTGGATAAGTGCGGTAACATTAGCGGGAAAATATTTCACAAAAATATTTCCATCATCTGACCTCAGGAGACTTTCGTTAGGATGTGAGGGCGCATTGTCAATGAGGAGCACAGCTTTCTCAGGTAGGCCTTGGGATTTTAGATGGTCACGAACTTGAGGCACGAATTTAAAATCAAACCATTCTTTAAATATCGCTCTATTCATCCAAGCTACTTTCTGGTTAAAATAATGGATAGGCAGACTTGAAGCTACTGTTCCTTTAAAAGAGCGTGGTCTTTTCGCTTTGCCGATAACTACTGGTATTAGTTTGTGTGTTCCTGATGCATTAGAACAGCACAAGACTGTCAATCTCTCCTTACTGGATTTGTGACCTGGAGCCTGTCTTTCATTTTGAAATGCCAATGTTCTGGTTGGCAAGCATTTCCAATAAAGACCCGTTTCATCGGCATTATAGATTTGTTCTGGCAGCAGATTTTCACTTTTCACAAAACTATCAAAATTGGTGCAAAATTGATCTGATGCTGACAAGTCCCCTGACAATTTCTCACCTTGAATACTGATTTCTCGTATTCCATGACGCTGCTTGAAACGTGTTAGCCAACCGGAAGAAGCGTCAAAACTCCCTTCTAGTTCAAGTGCTTCGAAAAAATATTTAGCTTGTTTAGCACAAACTGGTCCTGTTATTGTTGTTCCCTGTGCCCTTAGTTGATTAAACCAGGTCAGCATCGCTTTGTCGAGATCATCGTATGTTGATTTCTTCATGGTTTTTCTCTTCTTCATTCCGCTTGAATTAGAAGACGAAGCAAAGGAAATTAACTCATTCTTTTGTTTTTTCAAATCACGAACAGTTTGTTCTCCAATACCGTATTGCATTGCTAATTGTTTAACTACAGCTCCTTTTTCCAGCTGATTGATAATTTCAAGTTTCTGTTGAATACTTAACACAACACGCTTCCTTTTAAACCCCGACATTTTGCTAACGCACTTGAAGATCTATATTAAGAAACTGATACTTACTTTCACAATGCACTCTCACACTGAGATGGTACCGTTAAATAACCTGGGGCGGTGTATTTGTCCTTGAAACTTTCCAAAAATTCTTGCATTCTTTCACCCCCACCCTAGAACATTGTGTTCGCATAACGGGACGAAATAATGCAGAGCTCGGTTCACACTAGTGCGAAAATAGTGTTAAACTCACCATGTGAAACAAAAGTGAATGAATATTAAACAACATATAAACTTAAAAAAAAAAGCCCCGGTTAAGCCGCAAACCGGTTAATCCGCCCCCGGATAATCGAGAGTTGACTGTATTATAATTCGGGTCATTAACTGCAAAACATTAATCACATATTTCTTACCTTCTGCTGGATGGAGATGTGGGGGTGCCATATGAAGAGTGGCCAAAGCTAGACCCCAGGCAAGATTTGCCAATGCCTGTAGGCCTGAGCATTCCCAACTTCTACCAGAAGGGGACAGTTCACGTATCAAACCTGTGATAAAGTCTGGTTCTGCTATGAGTGGCAATTTCTGCACCAGTTCTGTAACAAGAAATAACAGTCTTATGTTCTACTTGCATTACAAACTTATACACTACACTAGCAGAATTAAGTATGAAGCCTTGGGGTTAATATGTGTACAACAGACTCACTAAGGATTAATAGTTTTCTGTGGAACTCCTGCAAAGTACCATTTGTAAAATGTACACCTCTTTATATTCAAAGAATAAAAAACAATCACAAGAATTTATGCCTATTCTTCTACAAATATACTGAGAGCAGGAGTCATATATTAATAATTAAACAACCTGGTGATCTATGCCGTAATTTGCATGCATTAGCATAGTTGGTTGTGACACTATGCCACAAGCTGACAGGTCAAGGGTTCAACTCCTGATGACCTCTCAATGCAGGCTTTTAATGACTCCAGTAATACAATCTCATTCTAATAGCCACATAATCAAATTCACTTGCCCATAGTCAAAGAGATATTTTTATAATACTCACCATCTATTTCTCTTTTTCCTGTTGCTCTCACTTTGGAGCATATGACATCCACAAAACACTTTGTTTCACTCCAGTTTTTTAATCCTCTAACAGTTAGTAGGACTCTTTGAATGGGGGATCAGCCCATCGCAAGGTTGCTACCTTCGCAAACACAGACATACTTTATAGCGTGCTGCCACTGTGATTGACACTCACCGCCAGTCACTGTCAATTCATGGTAAGTGAATAAGCATATTTCTGGAGTCCTGACTATAAAAAGATGGAACAACATTCAAGTTTCAAATGATATCACAGACTTACTTTCTCCATCCTCTCGTCGCTGAAGAATGCTCAAATCGAGGGCATACATCAAAGCCATTACCAGGCCAAGGGTCACACTATCAATCCCTCCTGCAGCATCTTCCTCCAGAGTTGTAGTTTTCAAATGATTTATCAACCTGTAAGCATGATTAAAAATTTGTCTGGGAACACCAATAACAAAGATGAGAGGATCACAAAATTAAGAGAATGATCAATCCTGCAAATTTTGGAAAAGGAGTGAAATGTAATCTACTACAAGGCAAGAACATAAATTAGAAGTTTTAAAAAAATAATGTGCTCAGGGTAACAATTGGACTTAAAATATCACCAAGAAGACAGAAGGAAAGCATTAAGATAGATCTTAGGGAAACAGGTTGTAAGAATGCAGGTTGATGAAATTGGCTCAATACTGTGTAAAATGACAGGCTTTGCATAAGACATTCCACTAACATAAGTTAAATAATTAATGTGAAATTTGTATTAATCCATAACAGCATTGCAATAAACATGTTCATGCACTATTATTTTCTAATGCATTATAGGTACTTCATATGGATATTTCTAAGGTTGAGCTGACAGTGTACTCAAAATAAATTACTAGAGAGAACTGGACAAAACATTTTATATTTTAAAACCAGTATTTAATCTAAGACTTATATACTTGAAGGTAGGGTCCTTGGGGAGACCACACTGGGCTGCCCAGTAATAGACAACATCTGCAAGTGTCTGCCGAATGCCTAGAAACAAGTCTTCCACTTGACGGTGATGACGAGGACCACCAAGTGCCCGGTTCTGCTGCAGTAACTCAATCTCCTTTGACAGGTCCAGTGTTTGCAGCAACTCTGAATGGAATACATATATATAAAAGTATATTTTTTCCCAATTGTGTGAAATTTTCAATGAAACAAATATAAAACCTGTTTACTGAGAAGTTTTAAATATAATGTGATTTGTGGTTTTCATAGTGGCAGAAATTTGGGTCCTTTTGTGTTTTGATACTGTGTAGTCTCACTGGAAGTTACAGATGTTCTGGAGGAATCTGACACCCCTGTCTTCAGGGTAGAAGTGAAAATGGAGACAGAAGGCTTTTTGAAAACACTGTAACTACCTATGAGACTACACATCATAATGCAGAACACTGCAATTTAAATACAATATAGTACTTTATATCAGAGAACAATTTTCTGTGATATAACACTGTGTAGTGAATTCATAGCCAATTGACAGTTTGGAGGAACATATCACCTGCACCATATGGGTCAAAAAATAAACTCTGCTTGCCACCTGCTTTCATGCTGGTTTCTTGCTTCTTCGACCCTGAAGACTGAGGCGATATGTTCTTCCAAAATGTCAGTGGACTTTCAATGGACTACAAAGCGTTATATCCCAGAAGATAGTATTCTTCATAACCACCGCTATAAACCTCAAATCCTACATATTTCATAACAGTTCACAAACATGTAGCAAGTAGTTCATAAAAATTAATATATGTTTCTAACTGCATATTTCAAAATTTCCTGTTCTTAGATGCCTTGCTCCACATTTGCACCTTGTACCTTGCTATGATGTCCACTATCCACAGTATGTAACAATGGCTTCTTTTGGGTCAGGGCAGGAGAAAATGAAACTCTTCTACTGAACCGCAGTAAAGGACTGTCATACAACGGATTCACACATTAAGTTGAAAAATCAACACATTGAAACCTACAGATTAAAATCTCATCCCTATCACTCGGCTAACCACAATAAGCAGTACAATCGAACTAAAACACTTAGTTTCCTCAAAAGAGGTTCAATACTTACAACAGCAAGTTTTCATTGTTTTATTTTCATTCATGTACAGAAATGTAACTTAAATATACCAGCCAAATAACAAAATCAATTCTCCTTGAATCCTGCAGTATGCTTCTTAAAAACACCTTTGTGCTAACCACCAGTCTCCATTTAGCGACCTGAGGCAAGTGCGCCAGCAGATTTCTGACACCCGCCTTGTAAGTTTATAATTCTCCGTATTTATTAATTTATGTATATGACACTGTACAACTGGCATAAGAACTGTTACTTTTAAAATATCTTAGTAAATGCCTGATACATTGGTATTTGAACTGAACTCATCACACTACCGAATTTAAATACATTTTAACAGAGTACTGCATGTTTATGATTAGCCTTCTATTAACTTTCCAATGAGAAACTTTACACTGTGCATCTCAAATTAATTAGTCCATCTTATTGTAGATGGAAGAGGTACTCACATATGAAACATTCAACAGATATAAGATAATGAAGATTTCTATTGTGGTTTTCTGGGTTATGCTACCATGCACTCCAGTAGATGGGTACCAGCAAAATCCCGTAATATGAACTAACCTCAGAAAGCTTCAAAATCCAACTGCTCCACTTACCTAAAATCTTATTGATGAGGCCATATTCCATAAGCTCTTGGGTGTACTGAGTAATGTACGTCACCACTTCTTCAGAAGACTCTAAGGTCCAAGAGATGCCTCTCCGGGCCTGAACAAGTGCACGAAGTGCTGTTGTAATTGATTTACGGCCATCATAATATAGCAGTACTGCTACCAAACCACGTGTCAGTCCAGGATGATATGGCATTTGTTGTTGGGCTTAGAAAAAGATATACCTGTATTATTTTAAAACTGCCTTTTGTGTCCCATAGGAAGTTACTTTCATCTTGACAATGTTCATAATATCATTCACAGTAATTCGTTTCTGATGGCAACAGTACATCTCACCAACACTTTTTCCATAAAACAAAAATAATGTATTTAAAACATGCAGCTAAGTTCTGAGAATAAGACTTCAAATTAAGAAAATATGTAGCCACATGGATGGTTTCTGCATGTAAATTCAGCATTTCCTTTTTACTCCCTCCCTCCCTCCCTCTCTCTCTCTCATTTGAAAGCACGCACAAACACTATACACAACAAAAATTCTTTAGAATGATTTACTGGTAGTGAATATGTTATAAACAAAATTACTTCTGTTACTTAGTGCACCTTTATGAAAACACTGGGACTTAGTACTAAATTTCTGATATACAAACAGAAATATGAGATTCATATTCATCCAAGAAACATTTGTCCTATTTCTAATGTTATATTTTAGCATCCTGTTGCACTGATTTAAGTCCATGATTTATTTAAACCGTCCTGCAGTGCATACACTCATTTATCTCCTTCTCTCCCCCGCACTACACGCTTCGGCACAATAATGTCATCTTCAGGTGCTTACTTATCCACGCCAAACTAGTTCACTGCATGCCTTGTTCTCATATTAAAATAACCAAAATATGTATCTATCATATACATTGTCAAACGTTAAAAATATTAAAATTGTTCAGGATACCACATCACTACGTCGCACCTCACTACGCCAGTCACGCCCATTCTCCTCTGTTGGAGCACTCCTTCACTATCTTGTGTGTGTTGTGCTTTTGTTGTGTCTTGCTCCTGTGACTGCGTGTGTTATACTGTCAGTATACTGTCACAACGTAGCGATGTGGTATCCTGAACAATTTTAATATTTTTAACGTTTGACAATGTATATGATAGATACATATTTTGGTTATTTTAATATGAGAACAAGGCATGCAGTGAACTAGTTTGGCGTGGATAAGTAAGCACCTGAAGATGGCATTATTGTGCCGAAGCATGTAGTGCGGGGTAGAGAAGGAGATAAATGAGTGTATGCACTGCAGGACGGTTTAAATAAATCATGGACTTGTCCTATTTATTTAAAAAAAGATAAGTTGTGGTGGTGGCGGCAGCAGCAGTAGTGCACCCATGTGTATCAGGGAGAAGTTCTGTAGATGGGTGTGCATGTGTGGTGGCAGGTGGCATCTGTAGCATGATTAAAGCAGAATCAGCTGGAAAATTGTAAAGAACTGGAGGGACATTACTTTGAAATTCTAGGTTGCTAACATCTGCAGCTCTTGAAATAAATTTTTAAAAAATTAGTCTCTAAACTTACTTGCCTGACCTATTAACGCTTCTTGTGTTTAGGATATATACAGTAGTCCAGAACAATCATTAACTAAAATTTAATGCAAAGACAGGACAAGTAAAAAAAAACAAAACAACAGTTAATGGCTTACCAGTGCAAAGAAGATCCAGAGCCATATACTCATTCAGTTCATACATATCTGATATGATGATTGCTTCATCCACCAGTTCTTTAGACAAAATCTGATGTCCAATGCCAGGAAATGAAATGCCTTCAGTAATCCCTTTGCGCAATTCCTCACGACTCTTGGCACTCTTTGGCTAAAAAGAAAAAAACTGTAACTACTGACTGCATATTTCACAAACAAAACAGAGCAGACACACTTACCCTTTCACTTGCCAGGCAAGCAGCTTGATTGATTGATTGATTTATTTATTTCGTCACTGTAGATCATTGTACATGATATATGACAAGTCAAGTTAATTCTGAATATTAACAATTTGATATATAAGTAGATTAAAATTACAATAGTTACAATTTTACTGCTGATTACAATTTAGAATTGGTTAGATATTCTTATTTGTGGAGAATTTGATGGAATGAACATTGGCAGGGGAAACCGAAGTACTCGGAGGAAACCTGCCCCAGCGCCATTTTGTCCATCACAAATCCCACTTGCTCAGATCACAGTGGTGGGAAGCCAGCGACTAATCGCTTAAGCTATGGCGTGGCCTTAGAATAATGATATTGATAGCTAATGTAATGTTCTCAGCAGACTGATGCCCTTCTTGATGGCCTGGTATTCTCGATCTCTCTCTGAGCGGCCTACGTAGACGTCCCTCCATCTCATGATGTCCTTTCTATCACATCCAACCTGGTGTCTTGATTCCTTTAAGCAGAAGAGAACTGCGCAGTATACATTCATAGCATGCTGGTATATGCTCAACAAGTCACTTATTCTTGAATTATCTGGTAATATTGATGTTAACTAGGATTTATCCCCAAACAAGAAGAACTCATCTATACTATAAAAACAATGTTCAAGTAGAAATGTTTTCAAAGTCTTTTTAAATTTGTATAGTGCTGGTATGTCCTTTATATATTGCGGCAAGTGGTTTAAAAGACGAAGTCCAATATTATTGAAGTTGTTTTTACACAGACTCGTCCTACATGGAACTATGTATAAGTTGTCTTTTTTTCTTGTATTGTGTGAGTGTACTGCTGAATTAGTGATGAAAACATTCAAGTTGGATTTCATGTAAACTAATATTTCATATATATACAGACTTGGTAGAGGTAATATATGTAACAATTTAAAATATTGTTTGCAGCTGGTTGTTTTTTGTATTTGCATTATAGTTCTAATAGCTCTCTTTTGTATCTTAAAGATCATTATTAAGCTTATTAAGCTTCCACTCCGACCCTGAAAATGGAGGCATTATGTTCCTCCAAAACCTTGGTAAACTCAAAATTACATGGCATCACATTCCAGAAGACAGCAGACCTCACAGTCACTGCCTACACACCCTCAAATCTCACATCTTCAATCCATCAAATTCTCCACAAATAAGAATATCTAACTAATTCTAAATTGTAATCAACTGTAAACAACTGTAACTATTGTAATTTTAATCTTACTCATATATTAAATTGTTAATTTTCAGAATTAACTTGACTTGTCCTATATCATGTACAATGATCTACAGTGACGAAATAAATCAATCAATCAATCAATCAATCATAAGTTATAATGGGTTAGACGGGGAATGGAGATGATATCTTCAACAAATGAACACATGGAAGATCAAGGAAAGGATGGAAGGACAGTGAACAAAAGTAGATTGGGAAATATGAAATATAGTGAAGGTTGGTTTTGATTTATTTTGAAAACATAACCTCAAAGGTTCATACACTTACCAATTTAGAATTTTCAAACACGAAAGACTGTTTCATAAAATACGTGTACACATTTTACAAACTATTACCATACTGAATTCTACACATCTAGCTTTGACAGTTCATTAGCCTTCAAAAACATCAAATTACAATTTTGTGCAATTAGAGTCAGTATTTTCCAACATAAATAGAAAGAAGTTTCAAAATTTGCAGGTCATAAATTGCCTTCATGTCAAATGTTATATGCACAGCTCCAAAATTCCATCAGTTAACCATCATAAAATCAAAACCAAATATTCATAAGTGTGGTTGAAAAGTTATCTATTGTACAAATCAGACGCTTGATTTTCTCAGGACAATCTATTAAGAATAGAGGGCAGATGATATACACAGCAGTCCTCCACCAACTGCAGTTTTACCAATCATGAATTTGAAGTATAAAATCTTCCACCTGTATCCAATTTTGCCAGATATGGTATTTGTTTCTGTGTACCCACGGTTTTTATTTGGAAAGCACTGGTAGTAGTACACACCATGAAACACACAATTGCTGGGAGAACTGTAATGGCATCTCGCCAAGCAGGCTGGGAGTGGTAATGCTCCATGCTTGTGTTTGCCCAGGACACCAGCTATCCTGAGGTTTTGCTCAGTCCTTGAAAACAAATGCTAAGATAGCACCTCAATTAGGCCATGACCACTTTCTTCCAAATCCTTTCCTATTCAAAGCTTTATAGTCTACATGTTGACAGCATCAGAACAAAGCCAGTTTCCAGCTTCTAGCTTACCAATGTTGTGCATCATTTTGTGACTTTCTAAATTTTATATCTAATGTATTTTTAAACATGTTATTACATACAGCTTGTGTTTAGAGATGGAAGAGACAATCTCGTTAGACTTTAATAATGTTAATAGGATTTTTGCACTAACTTTGCAGACAAGCGGTGGTCACTTGGTCAGTATAGTTCGCTTGCAGACTAAAACCATGGAGTTTGTTTGTTTGTTTGTTTTGTGGTTTCCCTAATCGCAAATTTCCTGCCAGGCATTCCTCTTGTCAAATGCAGTTTCACCATCTGTGATGCAGTTCAGGAATGTAACACCTACAGCTGAAGAGGGATTGCTGCATGTATGTAAAACAAAGGCCCTCATGTGTGTTGATCAATGCATGTGAATCAGTCACAAATACTGAGTAACCTTATGCATGCAAAGTGACTGGAATCAGAAATGACAGACTGTTCATGTACTATCACTATGTAGCATGACTGTAGAAAAGTTGTCTTACTGGATTCTTAAGCAGGGCGATGAAATTCTGTTTGTGTTTCCGAAGGATACCTTCCACCTGCTTGAGTACACCTTGAACAGGTCTGGAAACAACTGCTTCCACTATAGTCTGCAACTCTTTAAATGGAGTCCACATGTCCTCACTCTTTGCCATTTCTTAAATAAAAACAAAATTACTCTTAAAACAAGGTTAACTCTATATTAGGCTAATAGAAAAAAATTATAAAAATAAATTGCTATGAAGGTCCATATCATTTTAAACTCCTTACCGGAACCATGTCTAAATTCAGGTTTTCTTCTGCTTTCACTATCTTCCCAGATGTTAAAACCAATGTTAACTAAAATTATACTTTCATATTTAAAATGTTAGACTGTAAGTAAAGTTGAACTGTGTAGTGACACTGTGTCACTACTGTAAGTATCGTTACAGTGAATGATTTATTCAGTAATTCACATATATCTTCCAATGTTACTGAAAAGCGTACAATCTCATTAAACTCATAATGAAATCTGATATCTTCACTGAGAAACAGCACACATGGTTTTTCAGGTTGCAGTCATCCTCATTACTTGACTGCATTTTGGCCACAACTGATGAACAGTGAGTTGAATTCCCAGTACAACATAACCAAAAATATTTTTTTTAGGATTAAAACAATGTATAGCATTAATAAATTTCGACCTTCAACATGCATTCCATTGGATCTCAAACTGTAAATAATGTATTAGACAATGTGGCCTGTTACAGTTCCATGGCACCACTTCAGCAGTCTTCAGATTTCTCTACCCCTAGGTTTGTATGCAATTATAATGTTTGTTAATATGTTCAAGTAACTTAAAAAAACATCTACTGCCTTATTAACTGGTTAGGGGTCAAGAAACCTGTAAAACTGTAAACATGCCGACTTTATAACAACATGTGCAAGACTAATACTCAGTTTATAATCAAAATGCAAAGCGTTAGAAGCTCCCTTACTATACACATATTTTACACCACTAAAATTATTCTGAAAAAAAGACTTGGAAGAAAATAATTTAATATGCTTTAACGCAAGTAAAAGAAGTTCCACAGCAATTGTTAACAAAACTCGACAACGTGTAACGTTTCACTATGCATTACCTTCCGACATGATTATAAAAGACGGGAGAGGCAATTAATTCGTATGCTAACAAATAAGAACCAAATTCCACATTACACTTTCCGACTCAATCCCACGCGCCGCCGAAACCGCTAAACAGATGTTTCGAAAAACACTGCCAAGCACTGCTTAATCAAAAAATACCATAAATTAATATTTACCTCCAAATATTCATTGCTGTCACAAATTTACCTACTGCAGCAGAGTCAAACTCATCCGCGTGTGCTAACTTCGTAGAGTGATATCGATGTGATGACGCAGGAGAGCTCAGTCGGTATGGTCGGTATAACGACCGATAGCGACTGGCTACGGGTTGGACGGACGAGGGGGTCAGAGTTCGAGTCCCGATAAGGTCAAGAATTTTCTCTTCTCCACGTAGTCCAGACTGGCTCTGGGGGTTCACCCACCCTCCTTTGCAGTGGGTACCGTGGCCTTTTTGTCCGAAGGTAAAGCGGCCGGGGGCGTGAAGCTGACCACTCACCTCCAGCTACTGTTGTGATCAAAACGTGGATGTATACATCAACTCCCCCCTATACCTTCATGGCACAGTGCTTAATTAAACAGAGGGACAACTTTACCCTTAACATTTAAGGATGTGTTACATTATGCTTGCATTTATGAGTTTGACACAAATGCCCAAAACAGTAAGGAGTAAATAAATCTTTTTGGGTAAGTACCATAGAGTTGATGTTTGCCGTTTCAGAGTCTTACCTGTTTCCATCATCAGGTTTGATGTGATCAGTGTTGTATCCATAATTTACTTTACGGACACACAACTGCCAGCCCATTACCAAATTTGTCCCACTGTTTGATGCCCACATAGAATAAATGCAAGCTCAGCCTTTCCAATAACTGGTGCAGCTCCACTTCGATCTCACTGTTATGCCAGTAATATTTTCCTTTAAAGTGCTTTTCTAGTGAGCCAAAGAAGTGTAAATATCAAGGGGCATGATCCAGGCTAAATGATGGATGGGCAAGACATTTCCAAACAATCTATGGAGTGAAGAAAGCAGTCTTCTGAGATTTGGCACCGTGTATATGTGGTGTTAACAGACGTTTCGGAGGAACGTCAGTTAACACCACATATACACGGTGCCAAATCCCAGAAGACTGCTTTCTTCATAGTAACCGCCGTGAAAGCCTCAAATCTTACAATCTGTGGAGTGTTTTTGTTTATGGCATTTCAAGATGCATAGGGTGTGTAGTAGTAGTCGTGGTGGTGGTGACCTGTCACTGGGCATTCATCTTCGTTAGTTCTGGACCATAGGGTAACAGTGAATGTATACCCATATTGTAAAGTTGCATTAGTGGGTACAAACACATTAAGCTTGATATATTCTCCACAAGACTCGAATATCTGGTGCACTGCTGGGACATGCATCACTTTCTCTGACTGTTATGTGCAGAAACAAGGGGTTATTCCTTGTTGCAGATGACATCTATTACAATAAATATGTGAGCACAATACACTCTTCAATGTCATTGTTAAACATCCCTTATAGTTTACAGTTATTACATGAGCATTTTACTGCTGTTATGATAAAATCAGCAGAGAATTTTGATTTGTAGATTATTTGTCCTTCTTAAGAAAAAAGCAGACTTGCAAGATCGCCATTCATCTATATGTAGGACTGTTAGCCTTTGACACAGAAAAGGCAATTACCTGGGTTCACAAATATGTATATGCACACTGTAAACTTGTATAAACAGTAATAGTAACAGATCTGCGAGACCCTAAATCTGTGCAATACAAAAGCAGACTTATGAATTTTGTTAGAAACTCCTTGCTTTAAGAGAGAAAACCTTACAATAATAGCTGCATTATGGAATCTATAGGAGCACCATTACCATATGTGATTTAGCTGAAACTACCTACATTTGATTATTTTATTGACCACTGCAATTCAGCTCAAATGCATAATAACTGTTCTTCATTTAGAAACATAAAATTATAAAATAGGTCAACCTGACCTAGACTCACATCATGGAGCTTCCTATCTTATGATTGTACTGGGTAATCCCCAACCTCTTTCAATTTAATGATCACTACAGCTGTCATAACTGTTTTGGTCATTACCTACTACACATTATCAACATAATATAAAGCAGAGTTGTCCTTATGCTTAAGCACTACACCATGAAGATGAATTAGGTGTACATTTACATCTTTACACATTTTAAATCTTAGTTTTAGATGAAGGAACAACAATAAAAAGCGTATTTATTTTAATATAGGTTTATGTATAAAAGTACAATAAACTGATAAAATACACTAGTATTAATGCCATTATGCTGTATTAATGAACAAGAGAACAAAATGAAAATAATCGTTTCAATGCAATAGTGGACATGGAATTCAAGAAAGATATTCAACATGTAATCTATCACATCATCTCTGAGACAGCCTAAATCATCAATAGTTACGCAAAAGTTGTAACAAACTCAAACATCAAGACATAGGCCTTTCTTTAGTTATAAAGGATCATCTCTTTTACAACTCTTACCTCTGAAACTGGCAAAGTATTGCCACAGCCATGCTGTTGTAACAAGCCAAAGTGCACAGAGACACAAGGTGAGAAAGAGAACTTACTAAAATATGGACTGATAACATTCAATGTTCTTGGTACCAGCAAAATAAGTTCTGTGTTTTTGTTGTTTCAGCTTTGGGAAGTATTCTGGCAATTTTTCAGTTAGCATGAGTTTGATTAGATTTAACTGACAAATCATAAGATTTAAGATCTACCTTCCATGACCAATACTGCTTGTTATATAATACAGAGCATTGTAAGAAATGCTTATAATTTTTCTGGACGGAATACAATCAGTTCCACTAACTTCAAGATATCTTCACTTCATTTTAAAAACAATCCATCTTCCCAACATTGTTCACTGATATAACATTAATATTAGGAAGTTTTATCACACAGAATACTCAATACGGACGGAAGAGACTAAGTCATATGCAGTTCATGGTTACTTTAAAGAGGATGTTGTTTTGACCTAGGAGGAGGATTTCTTAAGATCTATCAGCACTGCTTTCCTGATTGGGTTTATAGCTTGGAATGAGTCAGCAGACAATATCAGCTATATAATCTTGAAACTCTGGACATCTAATGACACATCACATATTAATGTGTACTTGCTAGTAACCTACCATGTGACATTCATTACTAACCAGTTAAAACAGTATCCATTGTGCTTAAAACCTACTGCCATGCCGAATATTCACTGTCTCTTATTTTTATAAATATGAAAAGATACATGAAGTACTACTAACTGATTCAGTAATTTATATTAATTTCAATGAAGTGATTCTATCCTATGTTTCTACAAAAATTCAGCATAAAATACTTCAGTAGAGTATTAATATAAAACCATAAAAAATAATACCTTTTACATCCATAAAATAACATATCAAAATGAAAATTTACCAAAACACTCTGGGCCTCATGTAATAGAGCTGGCCCATATGCATATATGAAATAATAACCATTTCTATCTCCTACATGTTCCCTACATTATAAGGGCAGCTTTAAGTAAATCTAAACAATTTCAACAGAATTCTAAACACTGCTTAGTCAAAAATTTAGCAAGACTACATTTTATGGTAAAATGTTCCGTGTCTTTATACAGCTGTAATGCAGTTATATTTATTATCAAGATAGTAATGAAAGCAATTCAAACTTGTTCAAAGTGTTTTAAAATTTTGTTTTTATAATAATATATACCACCTTTAGAGCCTCATTATCCTGTACAGTTAACACTAAAAAATTATTTAATCATTTGTTAAAAACAAAATCTGGAGTTCTGTCTTCTGGGATACAGAACCATGTAGTCCAATGAATGCCAACCCACATTCCACCTTCAACCCTGAAGATGGAGGTATTATGTTACTCCGAAACATCGGACTTTCAACAGGCTACATCGTATTATATCCCAAAAGACAGAACACTTCATAACCAGCGCTGTGAGAATCTAAAGTCCTATAAAATCAGGATTCATAAATGGTTAAAATAAAAAGTACTGAAGTTAACTGTTACATACCTGTATTAAGTTAATTTTTCAATAGCAAGATATAATTCTGTGTGGCGGTGGCTTACATATAGCATATCTGATAGCAAACACAAGAAGAGGTGCATTTTTGATGAATAACCCTGTACATATTTGTGAAAATATTTAAACTCAATACTAAAATAATATAAAAGATTATCAACTCTGTCCAGTGTGATTGATAATTGTTTTTTCCTTTTTAATCTGTCATCCTTCACACGTTTCAGTCGGAGCAACCATCTTCAGAAGGACATGTCAATACATGCGAAAACTACTATTACAATATGACTGGTCATTGTATATGTCTTTATAATAACCAATCACATTGTAACAGTAGGTTTCGCATGTACTGATATGTCCTGCTGAAGATAGTTGCTCCGACCTTAACATGTCAAGGATGAAAGATTAAAAAGGAAAACACAATTATCAATCACACTGGATGGAGTCGATAATCTTTTATACTACTGCTAATGTGACAAACCAGGATGAACCAAATCAATGCTTACAGCAGAAAAAGCCTTGTTTAGAAATTCTGGTACTCATCAGTAATACATATAGTCCACACAGAATTTGGGACTTCAGAAACAATCTTGTTAAAAAAGTTATATGTATAAATTCTTCTACTGAACTGTCTCCTTCCCATGGATATATTGTGTGTTTACAATGCTGAGGTTCACTTTATTATGAGGTATTTAAACGAGTTACCAAATCAAACAAGCTGCAGGTATACCAGAAACTACTACACCAATAATATTACACCCTTCATAACTGTATCCAGTCTGAAAATTCTTGCCTCTGCACTCCTCTTGTATACCATGTAAGTTTCTAAACAAACTAGCATCCTTCCTTAGACTGGGTGCACAGAGGAATCAGGCATATGAGACCTTCTGTTCATAGGTTTTATCCTGCCAGTCGAACTCATTGGGCTTGGCAGTGTGGCGTGTCTTGCAGAGGCGTGGTCCGTACTTGAGCATGATGACAATTACTCCCAAGAACACTAGCATTGTAAGTGCAGTAACAGCTGGCCAGTACACATGAAACATCTTGATTCTTAAAAATGTTAATGTTACAAATCTTACAGATCACTCTCTTTCTTGTGTGTTAATTCCATATACTCCAAAGGTACTTCTGCTGTATCAAACACCTGCTGTGGTGGCACTGGACACTTCTCTAGTTCTGTGTAATCCAGTGGAGGCTGGTTATGTGGAGTCTTAGTCCAGATGGGAAGAATCCAACGATTACCTACAACAGACAATGTCCCTAGCAGAATTTTAAAAAAAGCCACATCATCCATTTTGACCATATGATACCTTTGGTCAACAATTTGTGACTTTTTAGTATGTGGTGTGTTCAAAAAGTATCGAACCTTTGGTCAGCAGAAATACATTTATTGATTTGGAGGTACAAAACCCTAATCCCCTTCAAAGTAGTCTCCTTGGTAATGCACACACTTCTCCCAGCGCTTCCGCAATTGTTGGAAACACTTCTGGAACGTGTCTTTTGGAATGGTGATCAGCTGGGCCGTCGCATTCTGCATGATGTCTTCCCTCGACTCAAATTGGGTTCCTTTCAGTGGCATTTTCAGCTTGGGAAATAGCCAAAAGTCACACGGAGACATGTCGGGAGAGTAGGGAGCCTGACAAACCACAGGGATGTTGTTTGGCAATGAAAGTCTGAATCAGATGCGCAGAATGGGCGGGTGCGTAATCATGATGGAGCTGCCAAGTTTTTGCTGCCCATAGATCCGGTTGTTTGCAACGCACAGCATCACGAAGGTGATGAAGGACCTCCTGGTAGTATTCCTTTGTTATGGTTTGGCCTTGCGGTTCGTACACATGATGCACAACCCCACGGGAGTCGAAGAAAACGGCCAACATGACCTTGACATTGCTGCGGACCTGCCGTGCTTTTTTTGGCATCGGGGATGACGGATGTTTCCACTGTGATGAGTGCATCTTGGTTTCTGGGTCGTATCCATAAACCCACGACTCACCGCCTGTAATCATGGTGTTCAGAAAGTTGGGGTTACTGTTTGCATTGTCCAGCATGTCCTGTGCAATTTCCAGATGGCGTTGCTTCTGCTCCATTGTTAGCAGTTTCAGTACGAATTTCGTGGACACTCTCCTCATGCCCAAATCCTCGGTCAAAATTGAATGTACCGATCCAATGCTTACCCCTATCTCGTTCACAAGTTCTCGGACTGTGATACGACGCTTCTCCATGAGCAAAGTCCACACTTGCTCAGTAACATTCTCATTTCGGCTTGTTGAGGGTCTGCCTGAACGCGGTTCGCTGTCCACTGATGTGCGGCCATCTTTGAAGCGGTTGCACCACTCCTTTATCCGTGAGTTGCTCATGGCATCGTCCCTGAAAGCCTCTTGAATCTTGCAAATGGTTTCCACTTGGGTATCACCAAGCTTTGGGCAAAATTTGATGCAATATCACTGCTCATGTTGTTCCGTCATTTTACACCTTACTGGAATCCGACGAGCGCTCACTACACGTCCTCACTCATAGGCCGACTGCCAGCGACTGATGCTTTCTGCGGGCGGGAAAAAATTCACGACTGCGCATGAACGTCCCCTCCACATCACCACTGAAGGGAGCCTCCCACACTTCATTGGTTTATGCGGGAAAAAAGAAGGTTCGATACTTTTTCAACACGCAAGTATCATTACTTAGCAATGGTGAGTAAACAGCTGTTGCTAGGCAAAGCCTACAACAATACGGACGGTGACATGTTCTCTATATGTCCGACTCTTGGTTAAATAAGAAGATACATTGAAACATCTGGTCATGAGCCCCAGCTGGGGCTCGACACCAAGACAGACAGACTGACTGACCGTCAGTGGTAACGTGACTCTGACTGACCCCATGGAGTGTTTTTGGCAACTTTGGCATGTTATCTCTTATATCCCACNACCACTGAAGGGAGCCTCCCGCACTTCATTGGTTTATGCGGGAAAAAAGAAGGTTCGATACTTTTTCAACACGCAAGTATCATTACTTAGCAATGGTGAGTAAACAGCTGTTGCTAGGCAAAACGAGTAAACAGTGGTTGCTAGGCAAAGTGAGTAAACAGCGGCTACTAGGCAAAGCCTACAACAATACGGACAGTGACATGTTTTCTATATNCGTCCCCTCCACATCACCACTGAAGGGAGCCTCCCACACTTCATTGGTTTATGCGGGAAAAAAGAAGGTTCGATACTTTTTCAACACGCAAGTATCATTACTTAGCAATGGTGAGTAAACAGCTGTTGCTAGGCAAAGCCTACAACAATACGGACAGTGACATGTTTTCTATATGTCCGACTCTTGGTTAAATAAGAAGATACATTGAAACATCTGGTCATGAGCCCCAGCTGGGGCTCGACACCAAGACAGACAGACTGACTGACCGTCAGTGGTAACGTGACTCTGACTGACCCCATGGAGTGTTTTTGGCAACTTTGGCATGTTATCTCCTATATCCCACTTTGTTCGCAGGGGTTTATTTCTCGTTTTTCATTTATTAGTTTATCTATTGTGTTGGCTGTTTTGAAGACTGCCCTTATGTTAGTGTTTTTGAATAGTTTTGTGA